ATTATATGATATCACATCAAGATGAAAAGCCAACCTTTCCATCTCAACTAGCTTTTGGTTTGACTTTGGTTGGGGCTTCTGGACCTTTCTTGTATGTCTTATGGGTCGAAGTCGGGGGTCGAGGCAAGGCAGCTTGACGAGCAAGAGGGCCAAGAAGTTCAACTTCTTCTTTGGAATCGGTTGGATTGGTTGGATTGGATGGCGCAGTGAGAGCAGATTGAGAATCTTTTGGCGGGATGACCATTCCAGGCTGAATTCAAGAGGGACTGGGGGGTTGAAGACTTCTCCTAATGGGTGCCTTGCTGGGAACTTGAAGGCTACTGGTTTGTGAAGAGGGTCTAGATGGTGGCATTCTGAATCAAAAAGATAATGTAGTTATCAAAGAATTAATATTTGATTTATGAATTCAATGAGTTAGAAAAGGAACGCACCTTGAATAGATTGTTAAAAAAGAAACTAGTAACCACAAGTTGGCCATGGTCGTATTGGAACAAATTGAAGGCCAGGGCGCAGCATTGATCGTGGTATGGACAACCATCCTTTGAGAAAACTGTCTGTATGATTGATGTTGTTGTTTGTTTCATGAGATGGGTGTGGCGTAAATTGGAGGAAGGTGAGTGGTTGGTGGGATACCCTGTACCCATCTGTGTGTACAGATGGGTACACTATATAGCGGAGTAAGACTTCTTGGGCTGGGTTGCGGAGCGGTTGCTCCGCTATAAAAAAACCCGGCCCGGTACTGCATTGCACAGTCTCCGCCATGAAATTCGAAGAGCATGGCGCACTCAAAAATCGCAACACTATTGCTCCGCAACCGCCATTTATTGCGGAGCGGTTCGGGTATTGCCCAGATGGAACAACTTGGTCTGGGCAGTTGACAAATCATACACGGAAATCACAATCCACAATGCAAAGACTTCTGAACCCGGAGAGGTACAATTGATCTTCTTACACAGACAAGACTCCCTTTTGGACCCGGTCTCAATGCTCAAATCTTGGTACACGTTCAACCTCAAAAACCTACAGATGAGATATTTTCTGTAGTGCGGCAAGGGAAGAAGGTCCAGCTTGGCAAAGTGGAAGCTATTACGGAGTTCAGGAAGGTGTGAAATCAGAAACGCTCCAAGAGAAAACAATTACTCCACGGCCATTCATTTCGAATAGGCGGAGCTTCGCTCAGATGGAACCTGGGAGCGAGTAGAGACGAAGTAAAGCGGTGTGGCCGGTGGTCCTTGAAATTGTACATGATCTACTTGAGGAAGTTCTTGGCAAAGGAATTGAAGTCATTGATCAAGTTGATGGAACAGCTGAAGTGGTCATGCACAGATTAATAGAAGAGTGACTCACGTGCTGTGGTAAATCACTTTGGCTGTGAGTATGGTTTGTAGCTAAAGTTGCCTGTCTAATCGTCTAAGTACTGACTATGATGATTGGTTGTAGCGGTTATCTTGTGGTAGAGTAGAGTGGCTGAAGATCAACGCTGTTTACGCCAGATTCCTCCCTTCTTTAGAATTCTTAGCAGATCCTTGTCTTGGTGTATTGTACATATGAACTCTAATTACATATACTGCTGCTCGGAAAGTGTCTTGATCTGTAGTGCAAACTGTAGTTGCATATTACTTCCAAGTGGAGAAGACGGTTTGGCAGGGGTACCTCACGGAGGACCAAGAATTGGGCTCGTCCCTAGGTTCACGTCAGTCCCCTGTGAGTTTTGGGAAAGAGAAGACCCCATTGGGCCTCCTTTGTTCTCAACCCAGTTGAGCGGATTATTCCCTGTGGTAGACATCTACCACTAGGATCCGCTCCGCTGGGGAATACCCCTCACACCACCTCAGTAAGAAAAATAATGTACTTGTTGTAAAAAGACAATTCTTATCTTTTTACAGTTGTGGTTACAAAGGTGTCCTGTAAGGTTTATCTGCCTGTAACTACTTACCAATTAAGAATTGAGTTTAGTACATCGAGGTTTATAACTTGGTCTAAACTGTGAACCCCCCCACTAAGATTCCCTAGTAGTGAGAGTAGTGGACTGCATGTATTACATATGATTCATGTATCCAGATGAGGATATAACTGAGCAGCCCTGTATGTACATAATAGCCACCTATTCACCCAGCCTGCTGCACATATGTAGTATGGGTGTTATGGCTCAGGTGTGCAGTGATGAATACTTTTATGACAAATTATACTTCTAATTGTTTTCCCCTTCCCACTTGTGGAAGTTGGATGATCTTCACAGTGAGGCTGTGGTAATAGCTCCAATATAATAATGTCCTGGTATCATTGGTTAAACAGTAAACTCATTAGTATATCTTCATTTTTTATGACCGTAATAATAGCTATTGTCAATCCTACATACCTAATAGGATTCCTTGTCACAGTTACTAGTTATAACTTGTAAACTTGTCTTTTAGTCAATCAAGTAAGTGCCACCCTGACAGATATGTGGTCAGTTCCTTTCAAGAATTTGTAGTGCTTCCCACTTTGGTGCTGGTAAACAACCAGAGTGCAGTCCAAATAAAGAACCTACAAATTCATGAAAGGGTAAGCATTTGTTCAGATCAATTTACTTTGATTATACAGATAAGGGTGACATGATGTTGGATGACAATTACACATTTGCCTGGCTCATTTGATTTTTGAGTACTGATGATCTCAACATCAAAAAGACCTTGTAAGGCTTTCTATTCTATGAGTGATATCACAGGGGCCAAAATAGATACTCACATACATGTGAGCGTTGTAGACTTTTTGGAATTCTCCAAAAAAGATTCATTTTCTTTCAGATTGATTCAATTCACAATCTTGTTTGTGTTCAGGTGATCATCCTGTGGTTCTCATATTTTACTTGACATTTATTGAGAAGGCTCATTTCCCTCTTGGATGAGCAATAACTGATTCCCGATGAGTACTCAGGATCAGCTCATGAGGCACTGAATACTCAGCAATTTGTTCAAAATGAAGATCAGCACATGAACTATACCTTCCTGAGGCTTCATTTTTCAGTGAAGAAGCCTGCCCAGGGGCGTCCCATTTGAGCTGCTCAGCAAATACTCAGTAGCATCCCCTGACTGGATCACTGATGGGCCGGACTTTTCTCAGACTTCCTTGCTAAGGAATGAAGCCTGATAGAAGTGTCATCCCATCTGCTCATTGCTCAGCTAATCCTCAGTGATATCCCCGGATAAAGTTTTTCACACTGAGGGGCTGAGATCAACTGAGCAGCCCCTCAGCCAATACTCAGTGACATCCTTTGGATCCTTCTGATCCGGCCAGGAATGCCCCTGAGGACTAGCTGAGCAGGCCCTCATCCAATGAGCAGTGAAATCCTCCGGATCCTCCTGATATCAGGGATTCCCCTGAGGAATAACTGAGCAGCCCCTCATCCAATGAGCAGTGAAATCCTCCGGATCCTCCTGATCTCAGGGATGCCCCTGAGGAATAACTGAGCAGCCCCTCATGTTCAGCTCAGCCCCTAAGCTATACATTGGTGGCATCCATTGGAGCTTACTGAACCAGGGAATGCCGCTCAGGATCAGCTGAGCAGATGGATCAGCCCTTCCTCAGACTTCTTTGCTCATGAATAAATGCTGAGGAAGGCTTAGTTTGTCTGCTCAGTTCCTGATGATCACGTAATCAGAACAGAAAGAAAAGGGAAACAAATGGGAAACAAATGGGAAACAAATGGGAAACAAATGGGAAACAAATTGGAAACAAATGGGAAACAAATGGGAAACAAATTGGAAACAAATGGGAAACAAATGGGAAACAAATGGGAAACAAATGGGAAACAAATGGGAACGAAACAGGAAAATTTCAACGCTCACATAGTTGTGAGCATCAATTTTTGCCCCTGTGTATCCTGGTCATTAATCACTGCCAGGATTAAACACTGTCCCTAATGAAATAATAATCACTTTTACATTGATTTCTTAGCATTTATATGGCAAAAATTGATTATCCCAAAAAAGCGACACATTATCCCAATTAGGACAGTGTTTAATCCTGGCAGTGGATCCAGCCATGTTTAGATTCACATGAGTGTTCCAAAAATTTCTTGGTTCGGTACTACATTTATAATGAGTTGGTTCTATACTGTCCTAGTATGTTAATGTTGCTCTCCCAAAATTCACCAGTATAACAAAGAAATTTGACAGCTCTCAAGAGTGGTTAAGACTTCTTTGATGGCTAAATTTCTTGAGAAAACGTGTAAAACTTTGAAAAACCTGACAATCTTCATCAGGGCTCTCTACAGGAGATTTCCAGGGTCCTTTTCACATGCAGCTGGCTAGTGGGTGAATGTGTTAGTTTACATAGTCCATTCATATTCTCAAACATCAATGTATGTGTTGCAATTGTATGTTGCAGGTCCATACACTCCCAGCAAAAGATGATTTTCCCAAGGAAAAAATGATCACATTTAATGCATTTTTAATTGAAAATGCTCATTTAATGCTGAATAATGCTGAATAATGCTGATTTAATGCTGATTAAATGCATTTTCAATCATTTTTTGCTCTGAATGTATCCATTTTTCACTTGGGAAAATTACTTTATGCTGGTAGTGATATGACCGTGAGACAAGTATCAAATCTACTACATTTCTGTCAACACATGTTTCATTGATTAAAGAATATCTTTGACATATAAATTAAATTGACTGCTTTGTTTCTTCATGGCAATCAAACTTACTAGTCTTTGCTTTGATCATCATGGAATATCACTTTTGGGTTCTGCTTGTGTTGCTCCGTCTATCTTACTCAGTATCAAGCTCAGTCAGCATAGAAAATCAACTCTACCAGCAAACCAGAGAGTTCAGTTCATCAAGAGGGATTGAAATTTTCAAACCTTTCAACATCTACTCTGATTCACCATCATTGCTCAGCTCAAAATCCACAGATAGAAAATTGATTGCAAAGAATTCTCAACTGTCTCAATACCAAGAGTTCAAAAGCATTCTCTCTTTGAACAAAAAAATATTACAAAGGAAAGGACTAGATATGAGTTTACAAGATTTAGCATCACCTTTCAACAGACTGTTTCCATGGGTCCCTTCAACAACAACATTCAGTCCAAAGGTTTTCAGTAAAGGACAACAATTTGAAATATCAATTCAAAAAGCAATTGAAATACTGGAAAATCACAAATTCCTTGATAGAGATTCTATCTGGGCACTTGCAGTCTTAAGACATCTTCAAGGTTATTTGCCAAGTGGTGACTTGGAGCCATTGAACAAAAACATGAAGCAGGGTCCCATAAGTTATGCTGCCCTTCTGCTTCATCTGACAAGGGGTATTATATGATTACTTCCTTTGAAAATTGAATGGTTTTGTTGATTAATGAATGTGGTGGTTTTTCCCTACATAGGTGCGGATCTTCTAGGAGTAAGTGCCACACTTTGGGAGGACGAGAAAGTTCCACAGCTGTCAAAGATTTCTTCAGGTGTGTTTCCTCCCTATCTTTGCTTGAGCATGTGATTCAATCTGATTTTGTGTGTATTGGAGTATGAAGCAATAGCAGAAGCCTCATTGAGATTAAAATTCATCATATGGATCATGTCCCAATTCAACAGGAATGAATCTACCAAATCCTCTAGATTCTTAGTTGAAATTTATGATATGTTTCTTCAGGAAAGCTGTCCAATGCAGCCTGAGAATTTCAAGGGCTTCTTGTTACTGTGTTCATCACATATAAGAGGCATGGATGTGTCAGATCAACTAGGACTAGAGGAGGGACTGGCATATGAAGCACTTCATATGTATGGAGAGATATATCCCATAGTCAGATACTTCATAGGGGAGGAAAAATTGAAGAATGATCAATTCAGGAACCGATTTGAATGTGAAGATATATTCCGGGGTATAACAATCATGCTAAGGACACCGTCTTTCAGTTCAATTGTGGACCTTCTTTCCCCATTCCTCCACTTTGAAAATTGGAACATGGACAATTTCAAGAAATTAATATATGCTATGATACATGCTAGACAGGACATCTCAAGATGGACAAAAAAGTCTTCAAGAGACTATACCTACACAGAAAGTGCACTGATCAGGCTATTACACCACATTGCTGTTTTCATTGATGGTTCAAAATTATATCTTGAAGCTCAAGTGGAGTGGATAAGTAGGTAATAATTTCTATGATGTTTTCTCGATGTCTACCAAAGGATTCATGAGAATCACTTTGAAATCTCAATTGAACCAATGCTGATCTCATGTTCACAATTGAAGACTTACTCAAAGACATCAGCTTAATGCTTGGGGAGAATTCTCTGGGGCCTTTGAAGGAGCTCATTTTGCCATTTCTTCAACTCCAAAATTGGAGTCTTGACATGTTTGTGCATGCAATTGATGTCATGATCAATTCTAGACAAGCAAGGTCAAGATGGGACAGAGTATCAACAGATTATTCTACTGCAGAAAGTAGGGTAATTGAGCTATTGTTACACCTTGCTGTCAAGGTGGATGGTGCAAGATCATATCTTGATGCTCAAGTGGAGCAGTTAAGTAGGTCACCTTCAAGATTTTATCCTCTTTACAAATCAGCCAGAAGGATCATCATATTCAACTTTTATAATCTGAATAGGAAAGACTAATAATTTATTCTCATAGGCAAATATCCTGTGCTTTTCACAGTCAAAAGACCTGCATTAGAATTAGAAGAGACTGGCCATGAGTGTTCAATTTGCATACATCCTATCTATCATCATGACTTTTCTGTTGATCTACATGGGGGAAATCCTGCAGGTCATGTATTTCACAAGGATTGCTTGCATGTATGTTGAAGAACTCTATCACCATTTGCACTTCATTTTTGTCTTAAAACAGCTTGCTTACAATTTGAATTTTTCATATCCACATGATAGCACATGATTTGTAGCAGGCCTCTGTCCCCATCAGGTCGTACAAGCTTCAAATGCCCAATTTGTCGGATGGAATCAGATATAGATACCAATGAACTGGACTCCAACACTGAATGAAGTAGTCTCCAAGGACTTGTATCTATGTGCTCTATGACAAAACAGGATCGTCCCAGAGGTTTTTCCATATATCAGGGAAGGATAAGAAGGCATCCAGATTTTGAAAGTTATTCTATAAGTAGTCCTTATATATACTCCCAGGATTCAAGCCTGGAAACTACAGCACCTATCTGATCCTCAAACACAATCTTTGTCACCCATAGACTTTGAATATAATATTCTTGCTTTTGTTCTGTTTATCCTTTCTTGCTTTGTAACTGAAAGTGTAGCTGCACCTTGAAATTTCTCATGAAAACTGGCCTCATCTCATTTCCCATGATCATGTACACCCAATAATGAATTGACTTATATGATTATGAGTTCAATGTTCCATAAACATTACTAAAACTGCACACCTAATCCATAACACCCACACTAATGTGCAGCACACTTAGTGACTAGGTGGCTACTGCTTACATACAGGCCTGCTCAGTTATCTGCTCATCTGGACAAGTGATCATTTTGAAAACATGCTGTGACTTTTTCAGCTTGACAAAAGGATTTCAAAAACTGACTGCATACACTGACTCAAAGGTTTGATGTAATTTCATCAACTAAACTTCATGTAACACCCTTCTTGTTACTAAGGCTGCCTGTCAGGGTGGCTATGAAAAGGAGCTTACGAAAGGTCTAGTCTACTGGTCGTAAGGGAGCCCTGACTGATATTCCGCTGGTTACGGGGAATAGGTACGTAATTCTTCCTTCAGGGTGATCCAGTGGAGCAGGAGGTGAAGTTAGTATATTATACTGACAGGTGACAAAGTTTTTATTCCGTGAATTAATTCACGACGGGACAGGCACACTGCTGGTTAGCAGGTGATAGCTGGTCAAGCCTGCGCCTGGATTATCTCCTAGGTAAGAACCTGGAGTAGCCTACGTCCAAAGGGTGTAGGGATCTTGCCAACCTTCCGGTGCAATAACTGGGTCTGAGACCAATAGAGGAGTAGGACTAACCTAAGTTAATCCAAAGATAATCCAGATTGTTCCTTAGAAACAGGAGAGGGATAACTACTACGGCTGGAAAGTGGTTTAAAAGGCGATGAAGCTATAAGTGAACAGTTATGGATCTCAAGGTTCAGAAACAAATCTAGGAAGTTGGAGTGACACTAATTCTAGGGGTTTGTTTAAAATAAGAATTTTATGCTTTTCAAACTGGAACTAATAATAAGTATTCTTTTGGAGAAGAACTTGCTTAGAAGTTGGAGGTCGAAGAAAACTTGGATACTTTAATTAGATGGTGGTCTGAAAAAGGATGAGGGGAATTAGGTGTCCTTCCTTTTTCTAGCGAGGGAGGACTGGTATTTATACCTATTCCTTCTCTAGCGTTGACTTGTGGTTGGGCTTCTAGGATTATGTCTTATCCTGGTGAAGCTAGGTTGTTTGTGTCGTTTTCCGATGGGATTCAATGTTGCTTCCCAATCCGGTCATTATTAAATGTAAGAGCTCTTTTGTGATAGAGTGTTATTTTATCACGCAAGGTCGCTTACTATTTTATTTGTATCACTCAGGTCTCTTAGTCTCTTGTCTCGTCATGGTTGTACTAACGGTTCGTGGGCAAGAGACTACTTTATTTGTAGTTCATCTTTTGATGTAATAGTTTTCCTGTTCTAGGGAACTTGTACAATTATTATTCTTAATACTAAAGTCTCTAGTCTATTTATGACTTTGAGTCTCTGATTATTTGTTGGGTCTTTGAAACTAGACCTCAAGTTGTAAGTGTTTTATTTTTATATATGTGTTTTTACTTTTTGTTAAGACAATTTAGAAAAGGAATCTGTTGTCTGTATTCTTTGATCTTTGATACTAGATCTAAAAAGGTGTATTAGTTTTTAGATAAGGTGATTAGTATAACTAATGGAGTGATGAAAACATAATATCAATTGTGAAGTCCTTTCGGTTCTTCTTGAGAAGAGCTCGAGGGCTGACACTGCCACTATACTATACTAGTATATTATACTATGGGTATAGTGTAGTTCAACTATACTATACTGACTACTATACCAGTACAGTTTGACCTATACTATACTGTAAAATATACCCAGTATAGTTGAATTTGCCAAATCTCCTGAAATATGCCTATACAACTTTTAAAAACAATATCTGACTATACTTCAGTATATTTAAGCTATACTGAGTATATTTCAACTATATTCTACTATCTTTAGAACTATACTATACCAAGTATAGTTCAGATGTGGTATAGTATATATAGTATAGTATAGTATAGTATAGTATAGTATAGTATAGTATAGTATAGTATAGTATAGTATAGTATAGTATAGTATAGTATAGTATAGTATAGTATAGTATAGTATAGTGGCAGCCTTGTTGTTACTGACAAATGACTTCAAGAAGCTATGATGGTGCATGTAGCCAATTTGTGGCACAATTTGGTCAAGGTGTAGAAAGTTACATGATGTATCACATATGATTTAATTATTCAGATCAGCAGATCACTGAGCAGACCTGTATGTGTGAAGATACTATCTTGCTGTGTGGTCAAAGATCATTATCTTTTTATGGTAATTGGAAGGTTTAGAAATGGAAGTTGTTAGAGTTAGACCAGAAGATCTCATGTGATGCATTGGTTAGTATGGAAATCAGTTTAGGTGTACAAAGGGCGGATTTGGAAAATCAAGTCAAGGGGTAAAATGGTGGATTCTTTGGGGTTTATCTTTTTACTTTTTGTAATTCTCTTTTCCTCACTTTTTCTGCTTCTTTTGGTGTCAAAAATAATCATGAAGTTTATCTCTAATATCATCTTCCTGAATTATCATTGATCAATGAGTCTAATACTGTTATCCTAAACTTAGATATGTTTTATTTTTATTTTTTCATTCCATCTACTTGTGATTGGGGGCTTTGAGAGAAACTAAAAGAAATCTCATGATACACCAAGAATACAGGACTGATAAGACAAAAGTAGAAATATAAACAGGCAACAATGTCACTATTAACAACATGCATAAAATCAATAGCCATCCTTGTTCAAAGAGATCAGACTAAGAAGATAATACTATAAGCTAGTGACCAACCACAAGTCTGCCATATACCTACTCCAGGTATAAGACGAGGGACTTCCCTTGACCAAAGAAAACAACTAACTTCTTATGAACCACTATCTTTACCCTACCCTTTGTCCAGTGAAGTCCAGCTGCTTGTTGCCATCAACAATAAATATTCCCATTTTTCTAGAATTTGTTTGTTAGAATTTCATACAAAGATTTAAGAAACATTCATTATTCAAGTTGGCCAAAAAGTGCCTAAAAATGTTTTTACTTTTGCCTCCCAAACCTTGAATTTTCATTCATTTTTTATAGAATAAACACTAGAATGTGCTTCTTGGGAAGGGCTTTCTGGAAGTTTTTTAAAAATTTGAAAGTTATAAGCTATGTTTTTATGTAGGGACATTTGAATTTTAGGCATTTTTTTAACTTGAAACCCCCTGAATCTTGTTATCCTGTTTCAATAAAATCCAAATTACTGAACTAGTTAGATTCTCCAATGGAAGTTCCATTGTAGGAACCTTTTCTGCTTGCCAGCTATTCCTTTGATGTAACTTCAAGACTTTTCTATTCTTATTTAGATGTCTTACTTACTACTCTGTTCTAGGAAAAGTAAATGACTTGATCAATTACCACGGTTCTTGCAAATCATTCTTGACAAGATCCCTGTAGTTTTTGAACTCAGGCTACTTGTGGATGTTTAAACAACCATCTTCTGCATCCCTCAGTAGGTCACTGTCAGTACTTCAACTCTTTGAATCTAGTTTTAGTGGATCATCACAGTCATATACTCACCACCACTCCATAGCTCTCAAAGTGATACTTTATAACATCAATCCTACGTACCCAATATATATGATTGTGAGGGTTGGGTATTCAAAAGAGTACTTAAGGCTCACTAAAAATGGCAAGGTAGGTTTGTAAATTTATATAATTAAGGTTATATTTCAAATATAATGTAATTACAATAAAATTATGAAGAAAAGAAAGGATGAGGGAGAGGGGAACTGGCCTGTTTGGGTAAATCCAGACAGGCTACAGTTAAATGACTCCTGAAGAGGAGATTATTATTATTAAGAATATGAAAGCTGGATCCAGGGCTTTCCTTCAATCTTCAAGGTGACCGATTGGAGAGTGAGGTATAGAGTCACTAGTCTGGTTGTTATAAAGTCACCAACTTATGGTTATTCAAAAGGTACACCAACCTGAGAGTTGATATAGGTCACTAACCTACGGTTGTTCAGAAGGTACACCAACCTGTGAGTTGATATAGGTCACTAACCTGTAGTTGTTCAAGAGGTAACTAACCTTGAAGTAAATTGGGAGGTCACTAACCTAGAAATGATCTACTTAGGGAAAGTAGAGGATCCAGAAGGTGAAGAAAGGGATTACTTTATCTTTTAGTCAGGAAGCTGCTTTAAAGATATGAAGTGAATCAATAGTCTTATTATTATAAGACTTTTGATTATGTACTTCAATTGAACTTTAAAGGGTTCTCTAAAAGATGTGTGTAATAAATTGCTTGAGGGAAAGTCCTTGAAGGTAGGCCTTTTCATGAGGCATGAAATGTGATGTCAGTCCATGAAGGCGTGCACTAGATAGATGACAGATAGGAGTGAGAGGGAAGAGTAGCGTGTCATCCTTAATCCAGAAAGAGGAATATCATATTCCTTCTCGAAAGAGACGGGATTACGAAAGCCAGATAATTTGATTAAATACGTCATAATATTGGAAATAAAAGAAAGGCGGAAGACATGATGATATATAAAGCATCAAAAGGAGAGAAGGACTTTCCTCCCTTTCTTTTTCTTTTCCTAGACCGTATCTTTTTCATCTCAATCATCTTTCCATTTACTGCACTGCATTTACTATCAATTATCCGTAATTCAACTTACTATAAGAATTTAAATTAGATATCAATTCATCCCTAGATTGATATAAGTTTACTACAATCCTTTAGGTTGTTACAAAATCTTTCTTGTTTGTTTCTAGATTACAAAGTCCTTTTTCAGAAGTACCATTCTCGTTTTTTAACGGGACTCGATTCATTGAATTTAGTTACGAACTCTTCATCGTTACTTCCTTGTTTCGATCTTTTCGTCGTTACTTCCTGTTTGGAGTTGTTGATAGCAGTCACCCAGCAGCTCTCTACGTTCACAAATTCATCCTTACTTAATCCGAGTCATTTCTAGATCCTTCACATATCTCTAAATTTTTAATACATCTGAAAGACAACACAAGTCGTCTTATAAATTGTTACGTCACATCCACCTTTAATAACATCGGTTGAATCTTTGTTTTTTCAAATGGCCAACAGTCAAACAACTAGCCGAATAACTCGTATTGCTAGAGGAGAGGCTATCGAAGAGGGAACAGTCATCATCGCCCCTCCTTCATCAACCACGACCGTTCCCCCCGCTGCTCCGGCGGATGATCTAGAAGGTACTGATGATCCCAACAATGATCAATTGGATGGTGAAACAATTGAAGAAGAGCGACGTGACGCGATAGCCAGGTCCATGGATAGCTACGCAGGAGAGGATGAAGTAGAAGATGATGAGGTAGAAGATCAAGAGTCGGAAGAAGAAGATTCCAAGGACGACACGTACAATGCAGAAGACGACCATGGGAGCCCAGACTCTTCATCTTCGGGAGAATCTTCAGCTTCATCCGATTCCGACTCCAGCACGAAGGCGGAAGATTCTTCTGAGGAAGATTCGTGGTCATCTGAATCTTCGAATGATTCGAGCGACTCGGATGATTCGGAATTGACAGTCAAGGAGAAAAAGAAGCGTAAGACATCCTTTTATCTTATCATATCATCCTCTAGCTCCCATCGTTTGAGCGCCCCACTTTAGGGAAGAGACTTTCTAGTCTACAGGCTACTCACGTAGCCCTGATTCAACATCTCCCACTGGTTGAGATTGGCTTCTAACAAAGCTGGTGTGTTTGTCCGAACATAGGTTCCAACATGTCAATCAAAGCAATCGATAAAGTGATTGCAAAAGCCCTTAAAGCGAAGGAGAAAGCAAAGGCCCTCTTAGCAAAAGAGAAAGCCCCTTCTAGAGGTAAGCAGACTCACCATCTGTATCATCCGGTTGTCACATACATGAGATACCGATGTCCAATTCCACTGAATGGTTAAAAAACGTGAACTTTCATCATACCTAGATAGGAAAGCGATGACGTAACACGGGAAACAAGTGTCGTCTTCAAAAACCAAGTCTTCAACCAACAGGAAGAGCATCAAGAAAGAAAACGGCATTCGTTTTCAAGAAGGAGCACCTTGCAAATCTTCCCTTCCTACTCTCCAACCTTATTGGGGAGAGGCCATGAAGAACTTATCAGATAACGTTCCCCTTACCGTTCTGAACCCAACATTTGTACAGAAAGACAAAGTCGAAAGTAGAAAGAACCAACCCGCCACGTCTTCGTCTAAGAATACTTGTAACCGAGGTCTCACTCCCCCATCCGAATATGCGATGACTTTCGGCGAATGGGTGGATGGTATAACCTTGTTGAGAAAGTACCTGAAGAAGGTATATCACTTCTCGATCTTATCTGATCAGTTAAGAGGTCACGTGAAGCATGTCAAAGACATCAAGTAAGATCTGGTTTATTCAAGAATTTAGACATTCCGCGTAGAACTGACAGATTGAATCACAGAGACGCTACCGAATGCTGGATGGTAGCTCTCCGGTACGATATCTTGTTTAGGGAACAACTGTTCGGTCACAGAGGTAAGGGCGTCCCAGTCCCGGATGCTAGTATCTATGTAGAAATCATTGAGAGGGCGGCGAAAGAGAAGGCAACTCGAAATGGTGAACTCAGCTCAGGAAATGAGAATCCATACGCTAAAGGAGCTCGATTTGAGCATCGTGATCCTATCACGGGGGTTTGGGAAGAGTGAGTGCCTTTTCCTATGGACGCCACGAGGGTAATAGTGAAAATGCTTAGCACTAAAGTAGACCAATAGAATTCAACAAAGGTCGACGGCTACCCTGTCCAAGAAGAGGAGGCGCCCTTTAACCCGTCCGAACTCGTCCTCGAATCATAGAAGAGCGACTCGCTTACCTAGAGCTCCTCGCCTCCCAGACATCATAGAGATGCTCCCGCCCTTATGAAGAGATCAAGCATCAGAAGTCCGTCAACCTAGTAACAGAGGAACAGCGCGTAGAGGTAGAGGTGGAGCGTCTAATGGTAGAGGAAGAACTCGCCAACAGTGAGTGTCCTTCAGTTGTCGGTACCTGTGATGCAGTCTTCTTTCCCTATCCTTTATGAAGGGGCTGTAGTGTGGTCGTATTTCTCGTTTTTTCTCGTTTTTCTTGAAATTGTGTTGTTTTTTGGTTGTTGCAAAAAAGCGCACTCACCCCCTGTAGCACGTGGTCTTATCTACCACCTTACTGTCCTTACCGCTCACCCAGTCACATGTCAGAATCCTGTGAACGTGTTGTATAAATGTTTGACAAAGGTTGGCTGGTTTGCGTTGGCATTCAACCCCTGGCTCGAATTATACGTATTGCTAGTCTTGATGTGATTCCCCTTGTCCGATGTTCCTTCAGAAATATACAACTATGAATTTTGATCGGCGTAATAACATTGTGTATTCTCCCCTAAAAAACTACCTTTTTGCCTTGGTCAGTCTAAACCAAAGATCAGCATCAAGACCTCGCCCGAATGAGGAGACGACATCTACACCACAAGAACCTACAGGTTTAACGGAGGTGCACATACCAATAAGGGACTCTTTGCCAAGGGACCAGTTCGACTCTCTACCAACTCGATGGCCAGAAAAACCTTACTGCGCTATGAACATAAGGATGTGGGAGGAAGAGTTGAAGAAGTATGGCCTACTACCGCAATTCAATTTTGTTCTAGAAGGCTTTAGGAACGGGTTTGATCAGGGTATACCAGATCATTGTATTGGTAGTCTTCCTTTTTACTGCCCACCTAACCACCAATCCTTGCAGGCAGTCAGGGATAAGATCATGGAGAACATTCGTAATGAAGTGCTAGAAGGGAGGATGTATGGCCCTTTCACAACAGCCGAACTACAATCACGGTTTCCTTTCTTTTGGTTGAGCCCGATGGGAGCCGTCATAAACGGCGATGGGTCCTTTAGGCCCATCAATGACCTATCTTTTCCAAAGAACAATCCAGACATTCCCAGTGTCAACTCTTTCATTAATAAAGACGACTTCAAAACAACATGGGATAATTTCTTGACGGTCTCCGAATTCGTAGCGGAAACAGAGGTTCCCATAAAAGCCGGTTTGTTTGACTGGGAGAAAGCGTACCGACAAATCGGAACTCTCCCAAGCCAATGGCCATTCTTACTGTTAACGTGCTTCTTAGGTTTTCAGTATATAGACACATGCATTTCATTCGGAGGCGTAGGAGGCTGTGGAAGCTTTGGTGGTCCAGCCGATGGATGGAAGGAATTAGTTAAGAAGCATTTTCGACTAAAAGAGGCTTTTAGATGGGTGGACGACAATCTTCTGATCAAAGAAGAGGCGAGCTCGCTAAGCATGGAAGAAGTTGTGGCTTATAGTGCAAGACTGGGAGTAAAGACAAATGAAACCAAATTTTCCCATTTTGCCGATGAACAAAAGTACATTGGCTTTCTCTGGAATTTCAAAGAAAAGACAGTATGCCTCCCGCTACAGAAACTACAGCTACGAATCAACCAACTCAGTGAATTTTTACGGCAGACACACTACTCTTATAAGGAGGTGGAGAAGATGAATGGTTGTCTAAGTCATGTTTCATACATCTTACCGCAACTGAGGTGTTATTTGTCTAGTAGCTTCCGGTGGGTGGCAGAGTGGCACGATAAGTACGCTAAGAGGATGATGGCGTCCGCGACGAGAGGGGACCTTAATGTGTGGATGGACGCTCTTCAAAGCTTTCCAAATAGACACCTCTTAAAGAAGAGAGAAGTGACAAACGTCGGTTGGGTCGGTGACGCTTCGACGTCCTTTGGCATCGGAGTGATAATTGGGAAGGATTGGTCACAGTTTAGATTACTACCAGGTTGGGAAACACCTATGGACCAACCCAAAAGAGGGATCGCATGGCTCGAAACGGTGGTGGTCCGTCTTGGACTACTGACATTGGCGAAACTAAGGAAGATGGAAGGAGGCCGCTTTCTGGTCTTAACCGACAACACCACGACGGAAGGGGTGCTACGAAACAAACGGTCCCGCGATTTCTGGGTGAACCAAGAATGGAAAGAAATTAGCTCTCTTTTATACTCTTATGACTGCCAGGTTGAACAACGAAGGGTAACTTCCCTAGATAATGCAGCGGATGAGCTGTCTTGGGGCATGTCCTCTTCCAAAGATTGGTTTAGACAGATCCATTTAGAAATTCCAGAAGACCTCACTCTCTGATTGAGAAACGCGACAGAAGAGGATCAGTTGGTGAGATAGAAGCGCTGACAGGAAGCAGAACCAAACCCAGAGCTGGTTATAGTACAGTCGATCCTTTTCTGGTACCTTAGTATAAAAATTTGTAGCTAGCATACGTGAGACCTTGTAATGTTAAGAATGAAACAATGTAATATTGTTAAATCCCCCCAATCCCATTGAAGCGGTCCCTGAGAACCAAGGTCGGTTGCTTAGGTAATAACGATAAATCCTGATAGCCCGGAGTCGGTATTACGAGAGCGAAGCTGAACGATTCAGGAGACTTTCTCAGGGACCAAAAAAAAGGTCCTTCAGGGTTGCTGAAATCAGGAGGTTATAAGTCCAGAGGGTCCACGAGATGCGGTTTGGTTTAGGAAAAAATTGAACCCATCCCCCTGTTTTATCTTCGGAAAGTTACCAATTCGGCTTCAACGTACAAGTTAATCCAGACAACCGTCTCTTAACTAGCAGTGGTAGAAAAAGTAAGAACATCAGCGAACATAGCACCTTCGCTATAACATCTCTGACTTGCTTTAAAAATTTTTTAGAAGATAACGGGATTCCAAGAATGAAGGACTTAACAACCTTTCTTCGAGTAAAAGATGACACTCCTCGACGACTCACAAGCACTCAGAGACACATGATACGGGGCGGATGGAAGAGGAGTACCCTAGAATCTTATGCGTCTGGTGTTAAAAAATTTAAAGTCTTTACAACGCAGTTCGGCCTAAAACCATTCCCAGCAGCTCGATCTACAATCGAATCTTTCATTGTATGGGCAGGACACAACCATAACAAAAAAGCTACAAACAAGCCAACACTACACCAAATGTAATCTTTACCGGGTGGTAAAGAAAACTACTGACATAGAAAAGTCCTGAGGCAACAGGAAGAGAGCTAAAAATCTGAAAAAATATGCACCTTGTTCCTAGATGTTGGGGCGTCATGATGAGTATTTTTTTGTATTTTACATGCAGATATTGGTTAATGTACTAACAATAAAGGCTGAAAATCATCAAAAACCCACCTGTAACAATACCTGAAATTTGGGTCATGATTATAAAGACAATATTTTGTGGTCTAAAAACTTCAATAACTTTTGCAATTCTGCTCCAAATAACTTGATTTTTGGTTCATTCAAAAGCTGAACCATTCTCCTTTACACTTCATAATGTCAGCAAGGTGCTATCTAGTCATTTGAACGCTCTACATATGTCCAAACAGTTCTGCATGAATAGCTCTGTAGGACCTTCTTCAGACGGGCTACAGATGTGATGTCTCAATGAAAAATGTAGAGCAAAGACTCACCTTTCCAATGAACCAAAAATCGAGTTATTTGATTCAGAACTGCAAAAGTTATTGATGTTTGAAGATTTCAAAAACCTGTCTACAAAATCAAGGGCCAAATTTCAGGTATTGTTACAGGTGGGTTTTTGATGATTTTCAGCCTTTATTGTTAGTAAATTAATCAATATCTGCGTGTAAAATACAAAAAAATACTCATCATGACGCCCCAGCATCTAGGAACAAGGTGCATATTTTTTCAGATTTTTAGCTCTCTTCCTGGTGCCTCAGGACTTTTCTATGTCAGTAGTTTTCTTTACCACCCGGTAAAGATTACATTTGGTGTAGTGCAATAAGAGTGGTGACGATACACAAATATTTGTCTGCAATCCGGACTTGGCACGATTTTCATGGACAGCGATGCCCGACTATTAATGAGACACAAATGAAGAGTATTCTACGTTCATCGACGAGGTTGGAAATGGAAGCGAAGTTACTGGGAGGCGACAGAAAACCTGTATCGCCAAAAGCTCTAGCACAACTACTCGACTTCATCCAGGACAATGAGGTGGATCCGGTAGGGATTACTGCGTTGGTCCTCACAGCGTATTGGGGTTTGGCTCGAATAGGAGAACTTGTTTATAGAACAACGTCCTACAATAAAAGGGACATCCAAGCCGTTCTAAAGTCTGATTTGCAGTTTATCTCGGTAGGAGGACAACGAATGGCGAAGATAACGCTTCGTGATGCAAAGACGTCTAAAAATGGCGAGCTACAGTATCTATTACTTAGAGAAACAGGCGGCCGCCTCTGCCCATTCAAAGCTTTAGGACGGCTAGTGCAAAGAATGGAAAGGGTAAAAGACCCAAGACTTTTTATGACTTGGAGAGATGGTGGGACAACAGCGATAACAAGACCAATCTTCATTAAGGTGTTAGAATCAGCTTGGGGAAAATCGAGCAACATGACAGGCCACGCCTTCAGGATAGGCGGCGCAACACTCTTGACAAGAGCAGGGGTTCAAAAGGAAGAGATAAAACGCCTGGGCCGTTGGAAGTCGGAATGCTGCTCACTGTACCAGCGAGAGTGGTCAGAGATAGAATGGCGGTGCGCACAATATGTGCTAGATAAGGAGAGATGCAAAATCCCTACTTACGTGTCATGAAATGTATATAGACCTTTTAGTCTCTAAAGTACGTTAGAAGTGAATCTTTAAGAAGAATCTGGCTGATTGGGAAAACGTGTGGCTAGCGACGGTGTGGGGAAGAGCCGGAGAGGCTCAGGACCGACACTAACCTGAGTGAAAGGAGACCCCGGCTCCCCACGCTCTAGTCTTTCAAAGGGGTAACTCCTTCAGGTTCTAGATAGGTTAAGAAAAACCTCTTGTAGAAGCCTGGAAAGGAAGTTACCTCTTGAAAACTGGCTTCCCCAAAATTCACAAGAATTTTCGGGGAGGCCTCTAGCCCACATAGTTTCTTGTCTTGTTCAGTAAATAGACTGAAGAAGACAAGACTCAATTCTTATGAAAGACAATTGAGTAGCGGAATAATGGATAGGCCTTTTCATGAGGCACGAAATGTGAAGTCAGTCCATGAAGGCGTGCACTAGATAGATGACAGATAGGAGTGAGAGGGAAGAGTAGCGTGTCATCCTTAATCCAGAAAGAGGAATATCATATTCCTTCTCGAAAGAGACGGGATTACGAAAGCCAGATAATTTGATTAAATACGTCATAATATTGGAAATAAAAGAAAGGCGGAAGACATGATGATATATAAAGCATCAAAAGGAGAGAAGGACTTTCCTCCCTTTCTTTTTCTTTTCCTAGACCGTATCTTTTTCATCTCAATCATCTTTCCATTTACTGCACTGCATTTACTATCAATTATCCGTAATTCAACTTACTATAAGAATTTAAATTAGATATCAATTCATCCCTAGATTGATATAAGTTTACTACAATCCTTTAGGTTGTTACGAAATCTTTTTTGTCCGACCCGCCCTCCCTAACACAGTGATGGAAACCAACATAGTGTGTTTTCCAGGGGAGACCCCGGCTCCCCACGCTCTAGTCTTTCAAAGGGGTAACTCCTTCAGGTTCTAGATAGGTTAAGAAAAACCTCTCGTAGAAGCCTGGAAAGGAAGTTACCTCTTGAAAACTGGCTTCCCCAAAATTCACAAGAATTTTCGGGGAGGCCTCTAGCCCACATAGTTTCTTGTCTTGTTCAGTAAATAGACTGAAGAAGACAAGACTCAATTCTTATGAAAGACAATTGAGTAGCGGAATAATGGACTGAGAGAGGAGGGGTTTATATACTCTCCTCTCCAAACCTAATTGTAGTGATATTTGATTGTATCATTACTGTGGTTTAGGGTTTAATGATTACCATTAATTATTATTATTATTATTATTATTACATAATTACATATACGTGTCATGTAATTTATGTAGTATAAGCATTTTAACTCTTGACACTGAGTTATGAGGTGTAATTGGTGTTTTATTACATGTTACATATGTTTTTAAATGTATATGTATATGTAATTTATGTTTGTATATGTTTTATTATATCTTACATGTGTTTTATAAGCTGTATGTACATGTAATTAGGTTTATAAGTGAAAGTTCAATATTATAAGTTAGTTTTGGGTACATGTATATGTACCCAGGGCTGACAATGTACCAAGTAAACCAAACTACTTAGCCACTAGTGTAAGTGCCACCCTAACATTCAGGCCCCCACTAAAATTGGATTTTGTTAATTTGTGGCCTCTATTTGAGGCTCAACCACTGCATGTATGCTCTAAGCTCCTCATAATCCTCATAAACAGAGAGCACCCCAAGCTGGCAACAGTGCTCTACAGTCTATTATGGGTGGTACTGTAGGGCAGGATTGCTAGAGTGCACAGGTCTTGAGAGCATCCCCAGCCGTGTGCCGTAAACCGTGACATACGTAGATTTGGAGTATTTTTATCCACAGCCGTTACCCCAAATACATACTTAGCTTAGGCAATTCTCTACGTGCGAGCCAAAATAGGCCAAATATGTTCTATTTTGGCTCGCACCCCAAATCCTTCCGTACCTCACTTTCCCCATAACTCCAACCTGTACAATTGCACTCTCTGCAAATCATACACCTCGATGATGAGCTAACCCATAATACACTTTGCAAAATATGCTACAAGCCGTACTGTACGGCACCACGGCTGTGCATGGTTCAAAATCCATGCATCAAACAGTACCCTAAGCGATCCGTGCGACCCTCCGTACGGTACGAATTTACGGCACGGCTGGGGATGCTCTGAGTCCATAGAATTGGGACCAAATCAAGCCAGACTGATTCTGGTGAGAGGGAACCAGATGTTGACTTGATAGCACATGAGAAAAATTTCTTTCTTCACCCCAACTTTTTCTCTTCCTCTCTTTTGCTTGTTGCTGAACTGTTAAAACTCCTACACATCACTACTCTCTTTCTTTTCACTTCTGAAAAAAAATTGTCTTGCTCACCCACCTCCTGGGATTTGTTCTCTCTCCATGGAGGGTAAGGGTAATTGGTCCTTGAAAAAGGTAGATTTCAACCATTTACTCTCCTTGGGGGTACCCCACATCACCTCTTGCTGCTTGTCCTAGACTTTCTAGGATAGCTGGTTGGGTTGTTTACAATGCCTGGAGTAGGCCTTTCTCTTGCAGGACAAACTTATAGAAAGACTTGGTGAGGTCACCCAGTTACTTTCTCATCACAGCTCCCTATTTCCCTCTACTGTCCAAGTAGTGGATTGATAGGCTTTTAAGGTATGTTTGCCGTTACAGTAAATGTTCCATCAAACACAAACTCTGGATAATTATATACCTTTGAAGATGTATTTTCAAGACTAATTTGCTATTGCTTCTTTTCATAGGTTGTCAAGAGTATCTCTGATCAGAAAGGATTTCTACTCGAGGATACACAAGCACTTAAGATCTGTTAAGAGAGGCGTTTGATCAGAGAGGCGGTAGGTGTGGATTTACCAAAATGCTACTTGCTCTTTCATTCTTCAAATTGCCCAAATCCAAAATCCAAAAACCAAACCAACTCAAGAAACGAGTAATCAAAGAAAGAAAGAAAGATGTCAACCTCACCTTTACCATCAACTTCAACCTCAACTTCAAATCAAATCTTAATCAAACCAACTTCAACATCAACCTCCAATCAAATCCATCAAACCGAACCTCAAAAAAAAAGTTCAATAAAAGAACACGAAATCCAAAGTTACAATCTAACCCATCAACTCTTACCACACTCAAACATCTATAAACTAATGAAACAATCCTTACCGAACGAAATCAAAATCACAAACTCATCTAAAACTTTAATCCAATCATGTGTTTCTGAATTCTTGATCTTTATCTTATCACATTCGAATTCATTACTTTCGAATCCATCATCTAAATTTACCGTTGTTCATCATCATCATCATAAAAGAAAAACTATTAATGGTTTAGACCTACTGAATTCGTTTAAAGAATTAGGGTTTATTGGATATTTTAATGTTTTGAAAATTTATTTAATTAAATATAGATCTAGTTAAGTTTCTTTCTTTCTTCTTTTTTTTTTCAAATGGATAAGGGTTCTGATTGGTTTTTTTTGTATATTTTGGTTTGGAATAGTTGTTAACCAAAATAATCATAGGAAATCAATCAAATCACAATCACAATCTCAATCTCAATCTCAATCTTTAAATCAATTACAAATCCAATCAGAACTTACTACAACAGATCCAATTGATTCAAGACCAACCAAACGAATCAAATCATCCAATCCAAATCCAAACACAACAGAAGAATAAAAACCTTTCAACCTGATCTCCCAAACCTATCAATCAACCAAAAAAAACATTTTGTTTCATTTTATAAATCTTCTTTGTGATCTGTTTCATGCTTGTTGTGATCGTTGATGTTCAAGAAAACTTTCAAAACCTTTTTTCTTCCAAATTATTTGTACAAAAAATATCTACGAACTTTGATTTTTTTTTAAATTTGCAACTTTATATATGCTTCTATATCTATGTATATATTAAACCAACAGAAATAAGTCACAAAAGAAACCAAAAGGTAAAAAAATAGATCGTAAAAAAATCCACAAATGAAAGTTACAAACTTCAACAAAAAAAATCCAATGATGACTTAAATATAATCAAATCAAACCTCTGACCAAATTAAACACAGAGAAAAAAAATCAATCGGGAATTTCAATTCCGAATTCTTTCTAAAACTAAATCCCATTCACTTTCAGCCACTCCAGCACCTTCTAATCGATTTAATTTAATTTGACGTTCTTCATTCAATTCATCAATCAATTCCCTCAAACTATTTTTTTCTTCTTGATTCAATTCTGTCTGATCAGACTGTAAAACGATAGTCGTAATAGCTCTTAAAGCTTTCTCAACACTACAAGAAAAAAAAACCCATACCCAAAAGAGAAGATTAAGATTAATGAAATGTTTAAGAGATAGGAGAAGGAATTGTAAACACTCAACTAATCTTCATCTTGTGATAATCCTTCACCATTTAAACCAGTAGGAATTCCAAGTGTAGGTGAAACTGAACTGATTAAAGTTTTGAAAAGATGATGAGACCTTAATGAATTTAAAATCGAATCGGATTGCATAGCCAAAGAGTTAATCAAAAACACCGTTTTTCTTCGAAGATTCATTGAAGGACCTAAACCAAAACCAAAACCCAAAAGAAAAACCAAACATAAATAAATCAACCGAAAAGAAGAATGGTTTGGTTTTTGTTGCTGCTTTTGGAAATTAAATTACCTTTTAAGATTGTATTTAAACTTTCTAATCCTGATGAATTGATAAACGAACTTAATGCATGGGTAGAAGAAGGAGCATGTTTTAAAGTTGAACTTAAACAATATAATGATTTAGCTTTGGTTTCTTCATCATTTGATTGATTTAAAACGTTTAAAATTAATGGAATCGGATCATATTTTAAAAACTGAAATCCACCAAAGAAAAACAAGACAAAATCGGATTAGTTTTATTTTTTTCGGGAGGGAGCGGGGGGTTTGGGGATCTTACGGCTAATTGAGATTTTGGATTGTTTTGGACTGAGGTACCGATGATCCAACATGTATAAAATTGGATTTGATCATTAGGTTCTTCTAAAAGTTTAATTAATTTAGGCCAAACACCTAAAACTTCCAAATCTAAAAAAAATAACAAAAAGACCGTAAAGTAAGATAATGATTAAACCAGAAAACCCAAAAAAATAGAGGTTCATATATATATCAATGAAAGTTAGATTTGAGTTTAGGAAATTGAATCATACCATTAGCATTATCTAAATCTTGAACAAGTTCTTCTAACCCTTCACCCGCCTGAATTCTTTCCTCAATCTGAACTTCAAGATTTTCAAAAACATTAATTAATTCTTTAATCCGAATGGCATCTGTTCTACCTAAAATAGTATCTAAGATAGATGTATCTAATTTTTTTATAGGTTCTTGTTTTAATACTACTGATGTATTTGAATTGGTTTCTAAGTTTGGTCGAAAGTTTATTTCAAATGGTCCTTGTGGGTCGTTGGGATGTGCGGTTATTGAGGTCGGTTCTGGGCTTGTGGGGTTTGGATTGGTGGTTGTGTTTTCTACGGCCCAGTGTAGTAAGTCGTTTAGTTTTGGTGCTGATGGGTTTGGCATGTTTTTGGTTTGGTTGGTTTTGCTGGTTGATTGGTCGGTCAGTTGGATGAGGTGACTCCCAAGTTTGTAAAATCCAATGGGTTTTGAAGTATTGGTTATGGGGTTAAGTATATTTACATAACTCGTTAAGGTACTTTATTAGTTGAAAACAGAGTTACATAAAACCGATTAAAATTTAATCCATCGATACAAAAAATCCAATCATCTATACTCGCTCTCCCCCTTGCCCTTGCACTTTCACTGATCCAAGAAGATATCACTTTCAATCAATCGAACTTCAATCATGGCATCAAAAGATTTACTACACGATCCCTTAGATTTATCAGAAGAATCAGAATCAGAATCAGACACCGAACAAATCCAAAGCAAACCTAAATCATCAAATCCTACATCTTTATCAAAACCTAATGTTAATAAGAATGGAAAATTGATTTCAAATCTTCATGTTCCAATTGAAGATATTAAAGAAGTTAAAGTAGATACTTCTAATTTAAATCCTTTAAGTCCTGAAGTGATTTCTAAACAAGCTACTATTAATATTGGTAAGTTTCTCGGATTCTTTCTTTTTCTTCTTCTTCGGTTTTTCGTGCTTTATATGTTCGATCGATCATTGATGATTTTGTGAGGTTTTTTGATGGACGGGTTTAGGTACTATTGGTCATGTAGCTCATGGTAAATCAACTGTCGTGAAAGCTATTTCTGGAGTACATACTGTTAGATTTAAAAACGAATTAGAAAGGAATATTACCATTAAATTAGGTTATGCCAATGCCAAAGTCAACCAGTCTTTATTTCATCTTCATTTCGTTTATTTTAAACTGACTTTTGTGTTTTTGTTTTCGTTTTGTTGGGCATGGCGATTCATTGTATAGGTTTATAAATGTGAAGAAGAATCTTGTGATCGTCCTGGGTGTTATAGAAGTTATGGATCTGATAAAGAAGATCGACCGATGTGTGACGTATCAGGATGTGGTGGTAGAATGAAATTAATCAGGTACCTTTCAGAACCCCTCCTCCCTCGATCATCTCTGAACTTCAAATCCTGATCAATTTATTATTTTGGGTGTTTGGGAAATGGGAAAAAACAAAACAAAAAAACAGACATGTATCCTTTGTAGATTGTCCAGGTCACGATATCTTAATGGCTACCATGTTATCAGGAGCAGCTGTGATGGATGCAGCTCTTTTGTTGATTGCAGGAAACGAACCTTGTCCACAACCTCAAACTTCTGAACATTTGGCAGCTATTGAAATCATGAAGTTAAAACATATCATCGTTTTACAAAACAAGGTGGATTTGATTTCAGAATCAGCGGCTGAGGAACAATACAAGACGATCCTTAGTTTTGTTAAAGGTTTGCATTTTTCTCTCTTTCTCTCTTTTCGAATGATTGAGTTTGATGTTTTGGGTTGGGTTTCGTTTTCGGTTTGTAGGTACAGTAGCTGATTCAGCACCTGTCGTACCGATTTCGGCTCAATTAAGATATAACATCGATTCAGTTAACGAATATATTGTGAAAAAGATTCCCGTACCATTACGTGATTTTAGTGCAGATCCTAGACTTACGGTCATCAGATCGTTTGATGTGAACAAACCAGGTGCAGAAGTAGACGAATTAAAAGGTGGTGTAGCTGGTGGTAGTCTTTTACAAGGTGTCTTAAGGGTACGTTCAATCTTTTTCTCTTTCATCTTTAAAACTTTAATCATCACTGGATCTTCTGTTGAATCTTTTGGTTTGGTTCTTTTTTTTTGACGGACGTTTAGATGGGTCAAGAGATTGAAGTTAGACCTGGTGTGGTGACTAAAGATGCAGAAGGAAAAATTCATTGTAAACCGATCAGAAGTAAGATTGTGACGCTTTTGGCTGAAAAGAATGAATTGAAATTCGCTGTACCTGGTGGATTGATTGGAGTGGGAACTAGTTAAGATTTCATTTTTTTCACTTTTCTTTTTGAATCGAAGTGAATCATGGATTGGTTTTTCTAATCAGAGGGATATATGTGTGTTCTTCTTCTTGAATAGAAATCGATCCTCAACTTTGTAGAGCTGATAGATTGGTTGGACAAGTTTTGGGAGGGGTTGGAAAGTTACCTAAGATCTTTACTGAGATTGAAATTAATTATTTCTTACTGTAAGTTGATTTTCAAGTGTTTTTTATATGATTTCGAAAGAAAAAACATGATGGAATTATTTGTTTCCTGAAACTGATGAATTCGAATTTTGTTTTTTTTTCTTCATGACTTACTAGTCGAAGATTATTAGGAGTTAAAACAGATGATAAAAAACAAACCAAAGTATCAAAACTAACCAAAGGTGAAATCTTAATGGTCAACATTGGTTCGACTTCAACCGGCGGTAGAGTGATGAGTGTAAAAGCCGATTTAGCTAAAGTTTTATTAAACCAACCTGCTTGTACTGAGATTGGAGAAAAGGTAGCCTTGAGTAGAAGGATTGAACAACATTGGAGATTGATTGGTTGGGGTAGTGTTAGAAGAGGTGCTGAGTATGAATTAAATGAATGATGTTTAAACTAAAAAATAAAAACATAAAAAGTTTTATATATACATATATATCAAAAGTTTGGATTTCATATATTAAAACTTTGGGTCATTGGAGAGACGGGTTTTCATTTGGTTTTTTTAGTTTATAAGATTTTTTTGATAAAGATTTAGTTGAGAAAGTTAACTTTTAAAAGAGGAACCCAATCGAATTAGAAAATACTTTTTTTTGGTTTGGATTTTCAAACAAAGGATTATAAAGTAGAAAAATATCTATGTATACAGAAATGATGATCAAAACAATTGGGTTGGAAGAGTTGTTGAGGTTTTTGATTTCATGATGATTTAAAGTTTTCATTTTAATTAATGATGTGTAAGGAATTGTGCAAGATTTCTTGGATCAAGTTTGCAAGTTATTTTTTTGACAAGCCCTGGTATTGAGTTCCAACTGGTGCAAACACTATTTGAGCCCAACTTGCAAGATCTGTGTGCTCATATTCTGCACAGGATTTGGGCAAATTGATTTTTTCAAGTTTGATTACCGTTGTTAAGATGTTGAAGGTTTGGTCATGATTTCATTTGAGGGTTTAATAAGTGATTTTCTAGGTGCATTATGTAAGATTAAATGTGCCGGTGATCAATAAGATTTGCTTCCAGTTGTGTTAATTTAATCGTGATATGTTTTAAATCAAAATGTTGAAGTGATTGAAAAAGAGAACTTTCACAGATCATTGAAAGACCTTTCTCGACGTCTGAAACTCAAGTCAAAGGAATACGCTGGTAGTATCTCAACAGAAAAGACCTCCATGGTAAGGTGTTCACACTCACACCAGTATGTGGCAGAAACAACTTCACCCAAGATACTAGGATCAACGCTGCCACAATTACTTTACCAGTATTGGTATTGTAGCGGTATTGTAGTTTTTTTTTGGGTATCGTATTGTCAGTATCAGTATTGCAGCCACAATACGGTACTGCCCAATCCTCCTGGCAGTATCGTGTATGGCGTTACTTTACTTAGTATCGTATTGCCCCCCGAGTACAATACTGGAATGGGCCCAAGGAAGTATCGAGTACAAAATCTCTATTGATTTTGTGTCTGGGAGTGCAATACTACAATACAGTATCAGTATCTGATCGGTATCGTGACAAGATACGGTACTAGGTATTGGGCGGCACAGTATTGCCATTGCGATACTTTACTGAGCATTGTATTGTGGGTACAACTACGTTACTGAGGCTCAGTTTCTCTAGTATTGTAGACCTGTTACTTTACTGAGTATCGTCGATACGATACCAGTATCGTATTTGTGGCAGTGTTGCTAGGATCAGTGGTTGCTGGGTTTCCAGAAACAGCTGGTGCGGCCAAAATATCTGGAGCTGCAGAGACAGCTGGTGCTGATACCAAAGGAAGAAAGGACTCTGTTTAAGAGGAGGTAGAAAGAGGAACAGATGTAATGTATCCTGTCACTCAAAATTAAAAGAAGGCTGATACTATACTCAACACCTTAGAACTTAACACTACACCAAATCAATAATATACCATGGAATTTAGAAAAGTCAAGATGTAGAAAATTCTCAGCAATGCATGAGAGGTGGGAAAGATTTGAAAAAGTTCTGGTCGAATCAGTCTGTGATTTCCCATCATTTTGCATATTTTTTCATATTTTTACCTTGAGTTTGGAAGATGTTCCATAGAGGAATGGGTCTGGGCTCTGGTGTAAAGGACTTTTAGTCCTCACTTGAAGGAAAATCTCAAAGAGGGAACAGGTTCAGATTTGCCACGTAGTGGACTTGCTTTTCTAGAACCCAAGTACTGATTTATTATATTGCCTGACTCCAAAGGACATGAATCTGAGATCAGTCTCAATTCCCTAAGGAATATACATGAATGAGAAAAGAAAGAGAATTATATAAAAGAGAAATAATGTAATAGAACTCACCTGACTCCAAAGGACATGAATCTGAGATCACTCTCAATTCCCTAAGGAGCCAGTACAACGAGAATTTTCACATGAGAGGTAATATGTAGAATAATTGTTAGGTCTAAAGGTTACGTGTCTAAGTTATAATTCGTGGTGTATGTTTATAGTTGATGTGTTATGCTTGTAATGATGGAAGCATCATTACATCTGGCAGTTCAACCGCTGGTTTACGCTTGACTGCCGTGAGGCAAATGAGTCTTATTAGCGTGCATGAGAGAACGGAACCTGTGTAAGACTGAGAAAAGAAAACACAGAGAAAACTCGTTTTTTGAAACCTGACAAGACTGAAACACATAAGAGTTCAGTGGGTGGAATCATTTTTAGGTACAAACTAACAAGTTTTGTCAAAGGATTTGAAAGAGAACAATCTGAATTGATGTAGTAGAGAAAAAGAGACAGCTTCTTTGATTCAAATAATTAGCCTGGGCAAGTGGGAGGCCAACAAAAAATTAGAGAATTTTTGTTTTAATGACACTGAAGAAAAAGGCTATAGAGAGAGGAAAAACGTGTGGAGTAATAAATTTTTGAAAAAAAAATTATGTGGGACAAACGAGCTTCCAACAGAGGACAGGAATTATAGGGAAATAATTTATTGACACTCTTTGCATCTTGACGTCAATCTTCTGCTGGCATGTGAGATGGAAGTATCTCCGCCAGAGAGGATGAGACGTCAAGGTTCCACCCCGCGTGTTTTCACTACCTGATTGCCTTTTTGACTCATTCCCATACGTCAATACCCATACCAACTCCCAAGAATGATTTTGGGGTGTATTTGGTCCGGAACTCAAATTTTGTCCAAAACTACCCAGGCTTGGGCATAAACTTTTCAACAATCACAAATACAGCAATTTTCTTTTGATCAGTTTAGTAGTTGCACATTATGAAAGCCACATACTGGATCTACAGTTTCCATTTGGATGCTAAAACCCTTGTGGAACAGATTTATAAGCTTTGATAGCTTTGCTGTTGGGGACAGTGATTGCTGTGCCTTTTTCATTTTTGGACACACACACACATTCTAATGTGTATCTGGTAAATCAAACATCTAGCTTTCAGAATGGGCAGACATTCCAGATGTTGACACAAAATTGACAATTTTATTGGTTTCACAAGGTTAATGCCTCCATGACTGCCAGTTTCTGACCTGTTATACACTGCTGCCATAAAAATATGTAAAAGATGCAAAATGATGGGCACACATAGGGGAATGCAACCCCTTTTTGCATATTTTTTGGACCCCTTCTGCCTTGTGTATAATTTTCTATGTCTTTTTAATTTTCTAAACTCAGCGATAAATTTGCAATCTGGAGTAGTGTAAACACTTAACATTACCATATTTCATCTTCTCAATTGTGACCTTGTTCTGACTCTTTAAGGATCTTTGACTGATCTTTGCCATTGTCTCATTTGGAGTCAGGTACATTGTCATAACATGTTCCTCTTTCATTTATTCTCTTTCTTCTTAAAAGGATCTTTGACTGATCTTTGCCATTGTCTCCTTTGGAGTCAGTTTGTAAATAAAACTTTCACTTTGGTTCTAGAAAGCTCTCCGCCACTTTGGTGGTGTCAAACGTCCCAAAGCGCCCCAGAAGTGAGATCATAACTTCAATTACCTTCTATCCTTCCCTTCCTTCAGTGAGGACATACATCGTCCTTACAACAGAGCTCTTCTGTTTTCCCTTATCAACCCTTGTAAAAGTCCTGAGTTGAGGCACTTGACACAGTAAAGGTCAAGGAGACAAGACCTGACAAGGGATTTTCAAAAATTGAATTCAATGTTATAAAGAGAGTTCAGTAGCAGGTTTTTGAGTCAAACAATGAGGACAGGCTGCCAGCAAAACCCTTCCTTGCAAAGGTGGGGAAGGTTGTAATTGATGGCTCCCCCAGAGGTTCCCGCGGGAAACATAGATAAGTTGACATTTCCTAAAGTATCAACAGCAGAGGGAGATGGAACGGAACAATTGGTGAAACCCTTGAGTGGTACAACTAACTGGATCCCCAGAGGGTCTTTGATTATCACCCAGGACAATGACGGGATCCGCCAAAGGTTCCAGACTGACTGGGAGATTATTTGTTGTTTGAAAGACTGGTCTGCAAGATCTTTTGGCCAATTCAATAGCACAACGGCCTAAGCTTGGCCATGGAGGAGACCAGACTTACCCCCCTCCAATTATCATAATTCTCAAGGATCTTATCAATATCTTTAAACTTCTTTGCAGCGAGAAAAGACTCTTCAAGCATAATCAAAAACTGAAAGTAACATAAGGGATTCTAATCAAAAATTTGTAGATAAAAATAATTTGTTTGAAAACTTTTCAGGATAATAGACGTGATAGTCGTCGAAAGGAAATGAAGGGAACATGTCTTTACTAGCCATCCTAGATTCCCATTCCTTACGAGATGAGAGAAACTAGTACCTCGTTCTGCAGGATTGCAGGCAAGCTAAGCAATGGTAACTCTTGCGTACCCGTCTACCGTTATCCGAAAACCTTTTCCCGAAACATTCCCGTATGTCAATACACGACGTAGCAACTCCCAAGCTTACAATCATGTGTCAAGCTGTGTTCAATTGAGACTTGACCTGACTTCTCCATCCAAAAACCTTTTCACTTCACTGATCTCAGTCTTCAATGACGTCTTATATATTTTTTGAATCAGGTACAGTCAAACCGGAAAAGCTTGACCAATTTTGCCCGCAAAACTCGAGCAAATTGGCGGGGAATTGGTGGCAAGCTTTTCCGGTTTGACTGTAAACGATGTCATATCGTCCTGTGGAACAGTGAGACTGGGTATTCTGCTCATCATTATAATCATCCCATCACATGCTTCTTTTTGTCAAGAAATCAAGTTCACTTTGATAATCCTTATCACACCAATCCGCACAACTTCACAACTTCAAAATGTTCAAGTTTAAGGTCGATTCATTTTTGAAATCGATGATTAGAACGAGAGCGTTTTTTTCAATGTTGAAATTTCAAGATTTCCTTCAACTTTTTCTTGAGAAGTGGAATCTGTACTTTTGGTTAATCTAACCATCATCTTCATCCTAATGGGTTGATATGATTGATTTTGTCATATTTGAAGTGATTGATTTGTCTGACATATGCGCAAGGGTAGAGATGAAGCCAACTGACCCGAGTTCCTCTCAGCGCGAGATGGGAAGTAGCTCGCCGAGAGGGACTCACAAGCTGAGTTAGGAGACGAAATCAAAAGAAGAAGATGGATGTAGGCTCAAATCATTGGTGATAGTCCTTTAATCTACTTCCGTGATGGGTATGGATCGATTCAAATGATCTTTTGGGTGAAGCTGTTTATGGTTATCTGCTTTTCTTGAGCTTCCCTTCTGAGTTATAGGTCGATCAATTTTATGAAGTCCATCGTTCAACTTCCATATAGGTGTAATGTTTCAAAGTTCTGTGTCGTTATGATGGTGTGTTGATTCAGTCTCACTTGGGTATATATTTGTAGCTTCAAGTGTCATATCTGATTTGGCTTTCTGAAACAAACTTGCTTGCTACCAGGGGTTGGCACGATGTTTTTTACGACTTCCATCTTGCCTCGGAGGGGGGACTTCGATGCTCTCCAAAGTCACGACCAACAAACACTCCGGATCAGGCATCAAGCGACTCGACCGTGGATCTATCCAAGATGAAGTCATTACGAATTATGATCTTGATGTCCAATTGGCCTATTTCACTGACCGCTACGGGCATTTGGGATTTATCCAAGACCATGGATCACCCTGTTCCAACCACGGAACGCTATACAGACTCATGGCCTCGCTTTACAGGACCTGACAATACAGCACTTCATCAGCAAGAAGTTTCCCGACCGGAAGGAATATATCGGTCGAATGTAGGGCATTCATATCCACAGACAGAACCTTCTTGGCTGGACACGCAGCTCTTCAACGCACATCCCTCGGACGCCTATATAGAACACCTTGGAGAACAGACATACCTTGAAGACCGGCTCGAACGCCCTAAGGACTACAACCACTTAAATCAGCTTCCAGGAATCAAGGCACAGCCACAGTCATGGCTCGACCTGCTCAGTGCAGACGACTTCGATGGAGCTCTGCACAATGATGGCTTCCATTCAAGTAGTCAGAGTCTCAGGCGTCACTCGGGAGTGCACAATATCGACTCTCATGACCCTCTGGCCGTCTGGACTGCACCTCACATCCAGCTCTCACAATCAGTATCAGGACACCACATTCCTGCCGAGCATTTGACTAGATCTTCAGAGAATGAGTTTGCTCATATCCTTGAGCAAAATCACAGAATTCAAACATCTCACGACGTTCACACCTCTAACAACCCACCACCGCCAATCTTAGACAGCACTTCGGGGCTCGATCTGCCCAGCGCAGGCGATGGTGGAGCTCGACACCATGATGCCTTCCATTCAACACGTCCCTACAATGGCTTCACAAGCTTCAAAGGTGACTCAGAAGTCCACAATGAGTACCCGCAACATTCTCCGGGCTTTTCCTATGCACCGCACGTTCAGATCTCGCCATCGCCATCAGGCCACAGTATTCCTACCGAGCATCCGATCGATTTTCTGGATAGTAATCTTGCTCGTATGCTTGATGAAGATGACAACTTTGATACATCTCTTTTCTCTCAAACCTTGAACAATGAGCCCACAGAAATCTCACGCGACGCTTTATGGCAACCCCCTGTTCCTCAAACAAGTTCTTCTGTCTCAAGCGGAAGGTGGCCTCTTGATACCTTTAGGGAGAATCTCGATCATGTCGCTCACGACACAACTCACAGCGCACAGCCCAAATCGGCTATCTCAGATGCAAGGCCAGCGTCAGAGTTGTCTGAAACCTGTGAGTGTTCCTGACTGGGTTTGATTTGGAAGAGAAATCTTTTTCTAATCCTTGATTGGTCTAAGCGTCACAGGGCTCAGAGGTCACTCGAAAGTGCACAATGGATATACTCATGATCCTCTGGGCCTTTCCTATGCACCGCACACCCAGATCTCACAATCGCCATCAGGCCATAGTATTCCTACCGAGCATCCGATTGATTTTCTGGATAGTAATCTGGCTCGTATGCTTGATGAAGATGACAACTTTGATGCACCTTTTGGATCTCAAACCCTTGACCAACCAATCTCACAAGTGGCTTCCTCGCGACCCTCTGTTCCCCAGGTCATTTCTTCTATTTCAAACGGAGAACGGCCTCTTGAAGCTTTCAAGGACACTTCCAGCCATTTCACCCACAGCACGCCTCCAATCACACATTCTATATTACCTATTCCAGAGGCCAGGCAGGCGTCAGAGTTGCCTTCAAGCGTGTTAGTATTTATGATCAGATCCGTTAGGAATGGACTTTTTTCTAATCCTTGATCGGTCTGCAGTGCCTTCGGAGGTCCTCCAAGTACATCGAACCCCCTCCTCTGGTTCTTAATGTCATCACCGGCTACTCGTTTGTATGAAGAATCCCTGAAAAAGGCAGACGTGTCATTGTTTAGATCAGGGCAGCTCAAGCGTCCGTTTCAGACAATCGAAGTCACATATCCATCTTTGAAACAAGAAACTCGTCAGAATCCTTCCTCATTTGATGACAAGGAAGGGCTCATCAGTCAAGTAAAAAGGCGTCGCCCATCCAAAGCTGCCGAGATTGACACCTTGACGTCATCGACACTCCCGAATCAGAAGCCCTCACGGTTACGATCCAAACCCTCTAAAACTCCTGCACTCGACTCCAAAACAAATGATATTCCAAAACTCCCAAAACCTCGTCGTAGACGACCTAAACCTGCTATTGTATTTCAAAGATCGAACCTCAAAGCTATAGAAAAGTATTACGGGTCCATTTGGCGTCTCGAAAAGGTGAAGAAGCAGAAAATGTTGAAGCGATTTGATTCAGAGCTTGCTCAGAAATTTATATTCAATGCCAATCATCCATCAATTTCACCTAGGAAATTAATTGATAGTTATGAACCTAAGATCCAAGCATTTTTGAAATCATTCGACATAGAGCGTGAAATTCCTGGTCATACTGAATATCTACAAGAAAACATGAACAAACTTCTGGATAATTACTTAGAGGTCCTGGCCATATGTTCTGAAGTGGTTTTTTCCAATGGTTTATATACAAACATGGAGGACGATGTTCGTGATGGTTACATCTGGCTCAAGGAAAAATTAAAAGGACTTCCAGAAACTCATTTTGACTACTTACCTATCAAGAATAACAAAGTACCAAGACCAACTACAGATAGAGTATTTTCGGAACCATTCAAGGATCTTTCGACTGTATACGACCGTACAGTCTTTTGGTTACGTCATAGATTATATGAAAAAAGACGTGAAAGCGTGGCAACTACATATGCATTAGACTTTATGCGTCAACATCGAGATCATTGGATCAAATATTTGACTCGGTCAGGGGCTCATCGGTTAAACGTCAAAACTTTGATGGTTTCAACAAACAGGGTAAGACCATTGAAATATACTGGTATAAAATGAAGAGGATAACAAGCGGGGTGATTCAGCTGAGAGAAGGGGTAATGGGATTATATGAGATGTTAGTCTAGGTGTCATTGTAGAAGACCATTTTATCATCTTGATCCCAACAATGAAGGATTGCTACTGACTAATGAGCCCGAGTTGAGATGACCAGCTCTTTAGTTATGCAGTTTAAAATATGATGGTGACCTGAAGTCAATTGTTTGTAGGTAATAGCACCTTGAAATGCTCCCGTCAATTACCATGTTCAGAATGCATAGGTTTGAGGCAAAGAGCTTTAAAATATAAAACCAGATCTGTTCCCATCAAACAGCTTGATTCCTCTACATTTTTTGCATCCAACTACCTTCATAGTGGCGTATCACCCCTACATAGCTTTCCGGAATTTCAAAGGATTGATGGAACACCCAGAAATTGTTATTGTGCCACCAAGGTAGTCTGTAGTCCATTATTAACTACAGGGAGAGCTGCAGGTGCAGATGGGAAATGAACCAGGGTTTTTTGTTGTATCTCTTGGTTCTGATGGTTTAAGGTCAGTATTCTAATATAGTTGCAGGACTATGCAGATAAGCTTGGAGTCTACTTATCTTTGTAATAACTCCTGACAGGCCCACCCAGATATCTCACAGATCAAGAAGTTGTACCACTCTTAGTTTCTCCATCCTCTGACAATATGTTTTAGATTCCTGATGAGTATGTGTAGGTGATTTGACAGCACAAGACTATTCTTGTTACCCGAGGATATTTATCTACAGGTGACTGAGCTATAGTGATTAGTGAAATTATCCTACAAAGGCTGCCTCTCTCATGTGGCACTGTTCTGGAACATGGGGTAAGTCCCACTCTCAAGTACTTGCTTGTCCAAGAGATACTTTTTTTAAGCTTCACCAAGTCCCTCACTCCTTGCAAGGCTTTGAGCAAGACACTTGTCACTAAAAATGGACTTCTGGTGTGAGAAGTGGCAAAAAACACTTCTTAAGGCAAAAGAAAAGGGCATGGCATGGGCCCGTTAGATGTGCTCAAACTTTGAGCTCCCTTGTAGCTCTCCTTGAACTCAAGCATTCAGTTGATACATGATCCAAGTTGACCACTTGTTTTTGAATATACAGGTTTTGGGTGGGTTAGATTACCATCCAGAAAAGGTGAAAATGACCCATCATGGCTCACCCGGTAGCAGGAGATCCAGAACAGGTATGGAGGAGATTGGAATTGGAGCATACATAATAATTTTTTTTGTTACCCCTTTATTTACACCAAGGACTGTTTATCAAGAGACAAAACAAGAAACTCAATGTGTCAAAAAGGGCATAATCTGTCTCAGCCGCCTATCTCCTTACTGACACATTTTTCTAAAGTACTTTTGATTTCACATATTGCACTAACTAACTAGGTATGTGTACTGTAACAAAGGAGGTATCTCAATTTCTTGTGGGTTTTTTACTATATTGCACTACCAAGCCTCTACAATAGATCAATGTTACAAACAGACCAAGAACACTCCCAAAATAAACACATAGAAAGAGAAAATCATAGAGATATGAGAAATGAGAAAAGTATAAGGCATAATATCTTTGTCAAAGTTTGTCATTTAATTTTTTAAATATCTTTTCAGGTGTAAGAATCAACCTGTTGACTGCATAGATTGTGCTGAATATGGATAGCAAGAGATTCAGGTGTGGAAGATTCTTTGTCTGATAAGAACAAGGATTAGGAATCAGTTTATGAAGAAGACTGATGAGTGATTGAAAGAATTCTACAATACCTGATAAGAACAAGGATCAGGAATCAGTCTATGAAGAAGACTGATGAGTGATCAAAAGAATTCCACAATCTAAAGAAAAGCAGATTGTAAGGAAATCTAAATATGAGTTCAATATTGCAAAGAGAGAACTAAAAATGAAGAACAACAACTAACACCTGATAAGAACAAGGATCAGCAAACAGTCTATCACTACAAAGAATATAATGTTTTCTGGGCAGAAGACACAAATATTGATATACAAAAATATTGGGCGGTCAGGAGGAGGGCAAAAAATACAAAAAAATATGGATATTGTTCCTGGTGTTCAGAGCTTCAAGATGAGCATTTTTGTGTATTTTTAGAGTGCATATTGTTGAATGTACTAACAAAAAACCCCATATTCATCAGATATACACCTGTAACAGATGCTGAAATTCAGTTCCTCAGATTGGAGAGGATATTCTGAATTCTACAAATGCTCATAAAATTTGCAATTCTTGCTCAAAAGACTCGCTTTTAGGCTCATTAGAAAGCCACAGTCTCTCTCTAAATGTCTTAATAATGATTCAAGGCTTCATTGTCTCTCACAAGTCAGCTATAGTCACTTTGAAATATCTTCTTCAAAGCCACATAGATTCTTTTCAAAGCTGGACACAGCGCCATGACCTTAATGAGAGAGCTGGAGACAGAGTTCAGCTTTCTAATGAACCAATAATCGAGTGTTTTCCTTGCCAATTGCAAAAGTTATGAGCATTTGTAGATTTCAAATTGTCCTCTCCAATCTGAGGAGCCAAATTTCAGCATCTGTTACAGGTGTACATCTGATGAATATGCGGTTTTTTGTTAGTACGTTCAAAAGTATGCACTCTAAAAATACAAAAAAATACTCAGATAGAAGCTCCCAACACCAGGAACAACAGCCATATTTTTTTGTATTTTTTGCCCTCCTCCTGACCGCCCAATATTTTTGTATATCAATATTTGCGTTTTCTGCCCAGAAAACATTATATTTTTTGTAGTGTATGAAGACGACTGATGAGTGATCAAAAGAATTCCACAATCTAAAGAAAAGCAGATTGTAAGGAAATCTAAATACTAGTTTGATGAAAGAAAGAACAAAAAAGTTTACAAGAGTTGTTTATATATACAGAAACATTGAACACATATCAATCATGTCATGATGTTGAAAGAACCTCTTCTATAATGTGCACTCAAGTGTACATGTCCTGCTCTTGAGCATGACATTGCTACACAACACTCAATTGATAGGCCTTAGGTGTGTCTAATAGTGCAGTAGCTGAATTGATATACAAGCTTAATAATATTAATCAGCAACAACTTTAATCATGAGGATTGATAAGGCAAGAGTGAAATTATTCAAGAAAGACAGGAATTTGAGAATGGTAAACAAGGGTGCTACAGGATTTATTCTTGTGTAATGATGTCATTGAGGGATTTGATGGCTGCCAAGAGTTTCATAATGATATCTAAAGTTATTCTTAGAAATGGGTTGATCTACAAAAATCTTATGATGTAGAAGAAATCAATATTGGATGTGAAAAGAGGTGAAAAGGTGTGCAAATCATCAAGAATGACAGTTTTCAGCTAATTACATATGTCAAAACTTGGCAGATCATGATAGGTGATTGCTCAATCAACTAAGAATGTTACATTTTGTAATAGGGGGTTCCAAGGTGACTTTTTTTGTATATTTACACTACAACAACTTGCCTGTTGTTGTAAAATATGTGTAAATGTTTTAAAGCAGGACACCTTTTTTGTTGGTTTTACTACCTTTGCTAAAAAGCTTGCCCGGTTCAATCGCAAAGAAGAGACAAGAGAGGTCAAATTTGTCCGCAGCTTGCTGCAAGGCCGCTGCGCAGCTTGTCAAGATCCCAAATTTGGCCAATCACAAATTGTGAAAGACATTGACTTCACCTGTGGATCTAGGGACTGATGAGATCAGAAGACGTTTTGCGCCTAGTTGCTTTGTTCTTAAGAGCTCTGATAACTGTGGCAGAATTCACAGTGCCTTGTTGCATGAGGGGAGTTATAACAGGCAACCAGTCAAGAGGAAGAGAAGTGAGGATTGAGGTAGTGTAGATATCATCTACAGTGAGAGGAGAGTATGTTGTGATAAGGGAGTTGAGTTGTTTGTAGATTCTGTGAAGTGAATTGATATGAGCGTCTATATTGCTACCCACCATACGAGTTGTGATGAGTTTATGAAGTAGATGCATTTGGCCCTGTGGTTGAGTCTTCATGAGCTACTCTAAGAGGATACCACATGCCGGCAGCGTCACAACAATGAGGTTTGATGTATTTAAGATTTCCATCTTTGATGGAGCGGGAGATGAGGGTGCAAGCTTTGGTGTTGTTGTTTTCCCAATTGTTCAATCTGTCTTTGACAGCAATTGGTTTGAGGATGTAAGCCAGTTTGGCTGCATCCAGGGTGAGTTCAACTTTGAGCTCCCAGTCATGGTAGTTTGAGTCTTCACTTGGAGGACAAAGGGAGGGAATACCGGTGAGCCAGATTTCCTTCTGATTCTCAGCAGTGGACGACACCATTGGATGAGAGACTATCTTCATGCAACTTTGGACCTTTTCAACACAAAGAGTGGGGAAGATAGAGAGATTGAATTGAATAGAATGATTAAAGTTTTGAGATTTGTATTCAACAAGATAGACTTAGGTGGTAGCCGATGGGCTCATAACCTCTTGAGATCAATGTATGATCTAAAGCAGCATAGAAAGAGACAAAGGAAAGGTGAAAAATATATTTCATATGAGAGAGAGAAAAAGGAGAGAACTAGACCTACCTGAAGCAGTGTAGAAAGAGACAAAGGAAAGTTGAGGAAAAAGACACCTTATACTTTCCTCTCTAAACCCAATTGTAGTGGTAATATAGTAATATTCAGTAGTTGTTATGTACTATAAGCATATCAAATCTTGACACTAAGTTATGAGGTGTAGTTGGTGTTTTATTACATATCACATGTTGTTTTAAGTGCACATGCATATGTAATCAGTATTTTTATGTATTTTGTTACATGTTACATACTGTCTATAGACTGTATGCATATGTAATTAGGTTTCTATGTTATATTTTTATAGTACAAGTTAGTTTTGGGTACATGTATATGTACTCAGGGCTGACATAGGGCCAGCTCTACTGGCCTTAATTGATATCAGAGACTCAACCAGTTCTAGAGCATTGATAATCTAGAGCTGCCCCTGGTTGTTATGGGGGCCAGATGTAGGTGATCAATTACCTAGAGCTGACAAGGGTTCATATGGGGAATTTTATCTGTCAGCTCATTATGAAATAGATATCCATGTCATATATATCCATTATATTGTGTCTCAATAGTCTTCCTTAAGAATTGAGCCTCCCCTCCCCAAGTCTTTACTTGTCGAGAGGAGGTCCAGTGTGGGCTAGAGGCCTTTCAGAATTTTCAGGGAATTTCCATATCCCTTCTAAAATTCTAGAAAGCCAGTTTTTTAAGGGGAACTATTTCATGTTATAGAATCTATGAGCAGTTTATCTTAACTACTCATAGTTTCTTACAAGGAATATCTCCTTCAAAAGACTAGAGCGTGGGGATCCGGGGTCTCCTATCTCTCAGGATAGTGTCGGTCCTGAGCCTCTCCGGCTCTTCCCCACACCGTTGCTAGACTCACACTTTCTCTCTCTTTAAGAAGGACTATGTACTTTCTCCTTTGTTCTACGGCTCGGTTGATCCACCTGGCTGCTCTGTGCGCCTCCGTTTGCATCATAACCTGAATCTATTGTTGCATTCTCTCTTCCCTGGTCTTAACTTGCCATTATCGATTTTAACAACTCTGAGCTATAATTCGGGAGTGTACATGCCGCGCTTCGTAACACATGTTGGGCATTGCGGCACTTGATCTCCGACCATTCCCTCTGGTATAGCAAATGACAGGATGAACGCCACCTCCCCAGTTGTTTTATTTCCTCCGTATCTATCCCTGCTTTCGTTAGCAGCGTCGCACCTCCAATCCGGAAGGAATGCCCTGTCATGTAGCTCGACGTGCCCCATGCCCTCTCTAGAACCTTGGTCAGTATCTGTCGTGTTATAGCGGTTGTGCCACCATTGCTCCACGTCATAAACAGTCTTGGGTCTTTGACTCGCTCCATCCTTCTCACTAATTTCCCTAAAGCTCTGAAAGGACACAGTCTTCCGCCTGTTTCCCTTAGTATCAGGTACTGGACTTCACCTCTTTTTGCGGTCTTTGCGTCTTGCAATGCAATCCTTGCCAATCGTTGTCCTTTGATTGAGAAGAACGCCAAGTCCGATTTCAAGACTGCTCCTATGTCCCGTTTCACAAATGAACTTGACTTATAAACCAATTCTCCCATTCGTGCCAATCCCCAGTAGGCCGTAAGCACCAATGCTTGAAGTCCCACTGGATCGATTTCGTTTTCTTGAATGTCGTCCATCAGCTGTACTAAAGCCTTCGGAGATACTGGTTGCCTTCCTTCTATTTCTAGTCTGGTCGAGGACCGCAGTATAATTTTAAGACGCGTCTGATTCACCTCGTGGCACGGACAGCCGTGAAAATCATGCCAAGTGCGTATTGCGGAGAGGTATTTGTGTATCGTCGCCACTTTGATTGGTTTGTTCGTTGCTTGAGTATTATGGTTATGGCCCGCCCAGACCACGAAAGACTCTATTGTAGTTCGAGACGCAGGGAAAGACCTCAGGTTGAATTGTTTAGTGAAAATCTTGAATTTTTTGACACCGGACGCGTAAGATTCCAGGGTGTTTTTCTTCCATCCTCCCTTTACCATATGGCGTTGAGTGCTCGACAGCCTACGCGGGGTTTCGTCTTGGATTCGTAAGCAAGATGTTAAGTCCTTCATCTTCTTTCTCTAGTTCCACATTCATCTATTCAGTATATTTCTTAGCGTGTATTTCAGCGGGATAGCAATACTTACTATTCTCCAAATCTTGATAGATTCGTCTCCTGATACAAGTTACTCAACTACTGGTTACTTCTTATCGCTGTGCTTGAGCTGCTGTCTCTCTGCTTCTCTCATCTCACTTGGTTTCTTTGTCTAGGGGTTTTATAACCCGCGAGGGCTGTGTTTGCTTATTTGGTTCGCTTTATCACTTGAACCGCTCACATAATATTGTCTCAGGGGTCTCAACCGGTTTGCTCCTTCCTTTGGATCAGCAATTCTCAGTTGATCAATTCCTCTCATTGTACGACCATCTGTGTTTGCATCATTTCAAGCTAAACTTCTCTCTTGGCTGATCTTAGGTCATTACATTCAATTCCGCTAAGCATTCAGAGAACCTTACATATTCGCTTGTCTACCTCTCACAGTATTCCTCTGTTGGAGGTCCCCTACACTACGGCAGTTATTAGTTCCTGTCCTCTGGTGTGTTAATCTTAGGTGAGCTTTACTTGCCTGGTTCACTTGATCCTCTTCGGTAGCGTTTCTCATCCATTGTTCGAGGTCGGGTGGGATTTCTACATGAATCTGTTGAAACCAATCTTTGGAGGAAGATATGCCTCTTGATAATTCATCAGCCGCATTTTCTTCTGATGTCACCCTTCTCTGCTCCACTTGGCAGTCGTGTGAATACAGTAAGGCACTGATCTCCTTCCATTCCTGATTTACCCAAAAATCCCGTGACCTTTCGTTTTGTAAAACGCCTTCCGTAGTTGTGTTGTCGGTAAGCACCAGGAACCGGTTTCCTTCTAGCGCCCTTGTCTTCATCAGTGTCAAAAGGCCTAACCGTACCGCTACTGTTTCCAACCATGCTATTCCTCTTCTTTGCTGGTCTAATGGTTCATTCCAGCCCGGGAGTAGTCTGAACTGTGACCAATCTTTACCTATCACGATTCCGATTCCGAAGGATGTCGATGCATCCCCGACCCAACCGACGTTTTTTAGCTCTCTCTTTTTTAGCAAATGTCAATTTGGGAAATTGTTGAGTGCTTTCATCCACACGTTTAGATCGCCCCTTATGGCCGTTGTCATTTTCCGTTTAGCGTACTTATCGTGCCACTCAGCTAACCATCGAAAACTACTTGAGAGATAGCATCGTAGTTGTGGTAGAATATAAGACACATGGCTAAGTCTGCCATTCATTTTCTCAACTTCTTTGTAAGAATAATCAACTTTAGCAAGGAACGTTTCTAGTTGTTCAATCCTTTGTTGGAGTTTTCCTGTTGGAAGGCATACCGTCTTTGTTTCGAAATTCCACAAGAAACCTATATACTTTTGTTCTTGTCCGAAGTTTGAGAACTTTGTTTCATTTGTCTTCACGCCTAACTTTGCGCTATAATGAACAATTTGATTCATCGACACCTCGTTAGACCTCTCTTTGATTAAGAGATTATCGTCTACCCATCGAAATGCTTCCAATAGTTTGAACCGTAATTTTACTAACTCTTTCCACCCGTCTGCTGGTCCACCAAAGCTACCACAACCTCCAACGCCTCCAAAAGATATACAGGTATCAATGTATTGGAATCCTAAGAAACATGTTAATAGAAGATAAGGCCATTGGGAGGGAAGGGTGCCTATTTGATGGTACGCCTTCTCCCAATCGAAAAGTCCCCCTTCAATTGGTACCTCCGTTTCTGCTACAAATTCAGCCACCATCGAAAAGTTATCCCAGGTTGTTTTAAAGTCGTCCTTGTTGACAAACAAGTTTACACTTGGGATTTTTGGGTCATTTTTTGGAAATGACAGGTCATTTATTGGCCGAAACGATCCATCTCCATTCACCACTGCTCCCATAGGGCTAGACCGAAAGAAAGGATATCGTGTCTGAAGCTCCTTCGTGGTGAATGGTCCGAACATTCTCTTTGCTAGCACTTCCTTCTCGATGTTCTTCGTTATTTTTTCTTGTACTGCTTCAGATGAGTGGTGGTTTGGAGGGCAGTAAAAGGGAAGGTCACTGATTCTGTGATCTGGAACCCCTTGGTCAAATCCAGATCTGAAGCCGTCTATCACGAACTGATATTTCGGAAGCAACCCGTAAGTCCGTAACTCCTTTTCCCACAAATCAATGTCCATTTCACATGTTGGTCCCGTTGGCCACCGTGAGTTACTCTCTCCTTTTGACATGCTACTATGGCTTACTCGTTCTTCTTTTTCTTTCATCGTCAGTTGTTTCTCAGTTTCGAACGACTCTAGCGCTTGAGGTTCCTGCGAAACCAGCATTCTCTCTTCTCTCACTCGTTCTTTTATTGACGACCACTTAATTCTACTGGGGTGCAAAATTAGAGGATTGGGGGGTAACACAATTTGTCATTACTCAGAACAATCGTAACGGAACACACTTCACTGACAATCCTCAATATTGGAGGGTTTTACAAATGAGCGGTAATTATGTATAAATAAAGGATGGAGGGGGTTGGATTGGCTGCAACTCTGTTCCCCCAATTCGGGGCTCTGTCTATCTCTTCCTTCATAGGAACAAGAGAAGGAGCGGAGAGACTGACAAGACTACAATCTCCAGATTGGTAGAAAAACTTCAAGAAAAATTTCGAGGACAGCTCTCTTTCATAAAGGAAGGGGAAATGAGGATGTCCTGCACTCGTGGTTTGTAGAGAAAACTTTCTACACTTACTGCTGTCCCCCTCTCCCTCTCCCAGTCGATACTCCTCCTCTGCCTCTTCTCACTGCCCCTCTTACAACTCTCTGACGGACTTCTCTAGGTGGTTCTTGTCGTAACGGTGGCAGCATCTCGATTATATCGGGGAGTCGTGGTTCCCTCGGCAATCTTGGCAATCGTCTGTTGTTTGATGACAGTGGTCTTTGTCTTATCAAGTGTAGCTTGCGTTTGTTTGCGTTATTCTTTGCCGAACTTGTGTATGTCAGCCGAGGAGAGGTAACTCGTCTTAATTAGCAAGCTGTTATATCGCTTTCTTTCCAGTTGCTCAAACTTCACTCACTCATCCCATAATCCGGTAATTGGGTCTCTATTCTCAAACCTCGCTCCTTTTGCATAAGGGTTTGCGTCTCCAAAGGACAGTTCTCCGTTTCTTGTCGCTTTCTCCTTCGCTAAACGCTCGAACTTCTCAATGTGAATGCTTGCGTCTGATACCGGAACTCCTTTTCCTCGGTGACCAAAAAGTTGTTCTCTGAACATGATATCGTATCTTAGGGCCACCATCCAACACTCGGTTGCATCTCTGTTTATCGGTGCTTGTTAGCTTGGTTTACTTGGTCCTGTTTGAGTCAAGAATCTATCCTTACTTGATATCTTTCACATGTCTCACATGGCCTTTCAGTTGATCTGACAAAATCTAAAAGTTGTACGTCTTCTTCAAGTAGCGTCTCAACAACATGATACCATCTATCCATTCCCCGAATGTCATCGCATATTCTGACGGGGGGTTTAGTCCTCTGTTCCTAGTAGACTTCGAAGACGACGTAGTAGATTGATTCTTTCGACTTTCTACCTTATCCTTTTGAACAAAGGTAGGGTTCAGGACTGTAAGCGGGACGTTATCGGACAGGTTTTTAATCGCATCTCCCCAATAGGCTTGTAAAGTTGGTAGAAGCGATTTACAGGGGGCTCCTTTCTGAAATTTTATGCCGTTTTCTTTCTTGATGTTCTTCTTACCCAAGGACGACTTTTGCTTCTTTGAGGTGGCTCGTTTGCCATGCTTTGTCGTTGTTGCGTTCTCTGCTCCGGGGTAAGTAAGAAGTACCTCTTTAGTTTTTGATCTCTCGATCATGTGAGGAGCCGTAGTGATTGTCCTCACCTTGCTTCTTACTTTTCCCTTTTGCTAGCATCACTTTGGCTTTCTCCTTTGCGCGGATTGCCTTCTCTATCTTTTTATCGATAGCTCGGATGGATCTGTGTTTGCCTATCAAAGGATAACATAGAAATGAATCATATGTCAGAACACTAGGATTACTGTCGCGTCCCCGCGCAGACCACTTATTGTTAAGTCTCTTCCCTTTCACAGGGGCGCTCAAACAATGGGAGCTTAAACGTCCGCCAAGATGGGATACACCTTACGTTTCTTTCCATGTCGTACAGTATCTTCTGATTCTTCCGATTTACTGGAAGAATCATCCGATGAGTCTGAAGACAATGATTCAGAGTCTTCGCCAGACGACTCGTCATCACTCGAGGTGGAAGACGAGTCAGAACCAGATGAGTCGGGTGAAACTGAAGATCCTGTCACATCCGAACTTCCATCATCTTCTTCCGCATCGAAGGTAGCATCTTCTGAATCTTCTTTTTCTTCTTCCTCTTCCGCTCCTTGATAACTGTCCATTGATCTAGCTAATTGATCTCTTCTCTCTTCTACTAGGGCTTCTCCGTCTAAATCTTCTCCTACCGGGTTGTCGGTACCTTCTAAACCATCTTCTTGTTCATTCGGTAACTCCCCGTTCAAATTGGAGGAAGGTGGAGGTATCATGTTCACATCTTCTTCTTGCACCTCTCCTCTGTTTCTTCTCGTCACTCTACTAGTAGGTTGGGTGTTTGACATAATAAAGTGATCAACTATAGGAAGTCGGTTGAAAGGGTGGGTTACGACTAAGGTATTTAAGGATTTGTAAAAGAATTACTTTGAAAAAGTAGATAACAATTAAGGTTTTAGGAGGACAGAAGAAATTCAATAATGCCTTGAAAAAATTAGAGAACGATTAAGGTTTTTTTAGGAGGACGGAAGAAATCAATAAAGTACTAAATTTTTTGTGGAAATTTTATTTTTGTATTTTCTTTAAGAATAAGGAGTAAGGAGAAGGTGTAAGACTTTTAAGAGAGCTTGTAAAGAAAACTTTAAGAGGACTAAAAAGATTTAAAAAATTAAGAGTATTTTAAGAGAGATCTGCAAGAATGCTAAGATAATAAAAAGAATATCTTCTTTTCTGCTACTTGGAACTATGTAATATTATCAAGTTAGAGATAATGAAGACTATCAGGATTATTAGTTTTATTGGGACACGTATAACTGAAATCTGTAGTAGCTTTGGAAAATGAAGATATTTGAGGAATTGAAACTTAATAGGAGTGAAACGGGCAAAAGGGCGGGAAATGGTATCTTCCCCTTCTTACTCCTTATAACTTTTGTCTTGCTGCTATTAGGGTGTTAATTATCTAATGACATATCGCGTGTTCCTCATTTGAATGTTCAGACGTCGTTATGTCCATTCTTGGAACAGAATTTGTTATTCCTAATTTGTCAATACATTAACACGAGTTTCTTTCCTAACATCTGACTCTTACGCGTCATTTTCTAGTGTTTACGTTTACATGGACTTACTCCACATATCGTGCCTCATGTAAAGGCTTATGTCCCATATCTCTTCAAGACTGGGTTAACAACTTGCAGAGATCTGTCTGCCCAGTCAAGAACATCACAATGCCCAGTCAAGATATATCTAATAACTGGTCAAGATGTATCCAAAAGCTTGTCAAATACTGCATGATATAAGTTGAGCAACAAATTCAAACGGATTGAAAACAGATTGAAAACAAATTGAAGTCACCGGGACGCAATGGTCTGCCAGTGACTTGCAATTGGGGGCTGTGAAAGTTTACCAAGACAGATCAGCCTTTGACAACCACTCAGACATAGGGTGTATTGGATGAAACCAAGCTAAAGCTGAAGAACCGGCTCTTGAGGTTCCACTCTCTGTTGCCAAAATTTGAAAGGCAGCAGCCAAGGGTTCTGGCCCCTTTGATTCCTTTGTTGTTGTCACAACTAATGCTTCTTTCAACAATCTGACACTAAAACAGATGGCCTGTGCATGGCTTATTTGCCATGCTCAATCATGGAGCCAATTAGAAGATCTTCTGCTTCAAGGTATGGTGCAATACCTTCAAAAGGAAGTACATCTTCACAGTTGTTGGTGGGCAGCAGATGTAGCCAAGCAGATCAATCTCTCTCTTAAAGAGTCTGTGTTCTCTCAACTAAGGTGAGTGGTTTATTTGGATTTTCTATTATTATTGATCAGTAGTTGTATTAATCAAAGGCTCTTGATATTATCAACATTGGGCTCTCAAATCAAAAAAACCTTGAGTCATGATGACTGAACAATGAAGGGTAATTGACATGCTTTTGTTGGAGTATTGGTAACCTTTGTGGAAAGCCACTGGAACTATTGGATCCGTCACCTGACTATGAAGGTAGTAACCTGGCACATGGGCCTTGGTTATGGCTAGAGAGATGGACCATCAATTCTCGGAGCTGAAAGATCTTTCCTACACGTGGGAGCCCCAAAAGATGCATATCTTTTGTTTTTGCCACAAACTGGCATTGATTGTGAATGCAGGTTTGGCTATGCTTGGCATCAAAGCACCTCCTCCCATCGATTCAAAGGAAGAAAGTTGAGGGTGATTTCCTTTGATTGGTACAATCATGGAGGAAGCTGAAGAGGACAATCAGTCCTCACCCCAAGCTGAAGATGTCAAGCATGATCCACAGGACCTTGAAACTGATGGTATGACTCCTACAACCAATGGAACAGCAACTGTTGAGGTTATCCGCAATTTAGATGATGAAGCTGAGTGGAACACAGCTGATACTGAAGAGGAATACAATTACCCTCAAATATCCAAAGTGGGAAATCTTGATTGCATAGGATGAAAAATGGGTTGTGTTTATAATGTATGCGGACTCCGGAGAGTTTAATGGCCAGATTCAGCAACACAGTTCTCCAAGTTGGGAATTTGGTTGATTTTGTTGGTAAATTCAGAATGTTCAAATTCCAATGAACATGTGGTATATTGACGCAGGTTGTTTTGATTATTATTGCATGAATGGAGCGCAGGAACTGACATTGTATTGATTCAAGGCAACAGGCCCACTGTTAGTCAAAGGTAGAACAGAAGTCATTGGACGTTGCATGATGTGTTGTCAATCCTTTGTTGTACATTGTATGTAGACAGCTCAAGTAACATAATATAGATATGCATCAGCAGTATGGAATGGAGCCACATGTTGCAATACTTGCAACATTGCATTGCAATGTTGCAGTAGGGACAACCGCAATGACAAATATTGTCACTGTTGGGACATAGGATACATGTCGTTTTGACCGGGGATTACATCTCTTTTTAAGTGCTTTTGGCTTAGTTACATAAATACACCACTAAAAAAAGGTAATTTTAAAAAGACTATTACACCTCAGAAGAAACGGCCATCTGATCAAAAACTGGTGTAATTGATGACAATGAGATTAGATTATTTAAACTTTGTGTTCCCATGCATAGAGCTTTTTTAAAAAAAAATCCATCTTTAGGCTTTTAGCCCAACCGCAGGAAAGCGATGGACCTCTATCATCATTCTACAATTGTAGAAGAGGATGTTATGTAGAGTCATTACTCTTATGCAATTGATAACAAAGGAATTTGATGCAGGACAGTGAACCGAACCCCAAAGCTGATCGGGGCGGCCCGGATTGCCGCCCCGTAGAACGAAGCCCCCGATGGTACATAGTTTGGAAGAGAAAAATTTCTCTATTGCTCAACAGTTTCCTTATCAAATAATTTTACCATAGCTTTCATCTCATCAAACAGCATCACAAAAACATATCCTCAAATTCTAAATTGCCGGAGTTGTGTGGATCTGAAGTCGCAGTGTTTCAGCGTCAGCCTTCCGACCCAAGTTTTGAACTTCTGACTTTCTGAAACAAAGTTGCTCACTGCGAGGGGTTAGCAGCATGTTTTGGCGATTGCCACCTTGCCTCGAAGTCGCTACGATGCTGCCTAAAATCACGATCAACAGGCGCTCCGAGTCAGGCATTAAGCACCTCGACAGTGGATCTATTCAACATGAAGTCACTTCAGACTTTGGCCTTGATGTTCAATTGGCCCATTTTACTGAACGCTATGGACGTTTGGGGTTTATCCAAGACCATTAGTCAGCCTGTTCCAACCACGGAACACTATCCAGACTCATGGCCTCGCTTTGCAGGACCTGAAGAACAAGCACTTCATCATCAAGAAGTTTCCCAACTGGAAGGAATATATCCGTTCAATGTATGGCACTCATATCCACAGACAGAACCTTCTTGGCTGGACACGCAGCTCTTCAACGCACATCCCTCGGACGCCTATATAGAACACCTTGGAGAAGGGACACACCTTGAAGACCAGCTCGAGAGCCCTGGGGACTACCGCCAACCAAACCAGCTTCCAGGGTCCAAGGCACAGCCACAGTTGTGGCTCGACCTGCTCAGTGCAGACGACTTCGATGGAGCTCTGCACAATGATGGCTTCCATTCAAGTAGTCACTACGATAGTGTTACAAGTCTCAGGCGTCACTCGGGAGTGCAAAATATCGACTCTCATGACCCTCCGGCCGTCTGGACTGCACCTCACATCCAGCTCTCCCAATCAGTATCAGGACACCACATTCCTGCCGAGCATTTGACTAGCTCTTCGGAGAATGAGTTTGCTCATATCCTTGAGCAAAATCACAGAATTCAAACATCTGTCGACGTTCACACCTCTAACAACCCACCACCGCCAATCTTAGATAGCACTTCGGGACTCGATCTGCTCAGCGCAGGCGATGGTGAAGCTCGACACCATGATGCCTTCCATTCAACAGGTCCCTACAATAGCTTCACGAGGCTCAAAGGTCACTCTGAAGTGCACAATGAGTACCCGCAACATTCTCCGGGCTTTTCCTATGCACCGCACGTTCATATCTCGCAATCGCCATCAGACCACAGTATTCCTACCGAGCATCCGATCGATTTTCTGGATAGTAATCTTGCTCGTATGCTTGATGAAGATGACAACTTTGATACATCTCTTTTCTCTCAGGCCTTTAACAATGAGCCCACAGAAATCCCACGCGACGCTTCATGGCAACCCCCCCTTCCTCCAACAAGTTCTTCTGTAGCAAGCGGAAGATGGCCTCTTGATACCTTTAGGGAGAATCGCGATCATGTCACTCAAGACACGACTCACAGCGCACAGCCCAAATCAGCTATTTCAGATGCAAGGCCGGCGTCAGAGTTGTCTGAAACCCGTGAGTGTTCCTGACTGGGTTTGATTTGGAAGAGAAATCTTTTTCTAATCCTTGATTGGTCTAAGCGTCACAGGGCTCAGAGGTCACTCGAAAGTGCACAATGGATATACTCATGATCCTCTGGGCCTTTCCTATGCACCGCACACCCAGATCTCACAATCGCCATCAGGCCACAGTATTCCTACCGAGAATCCGATTGATTTTCTGGATAGTAATCTTGCTCATATGCTTGATGAAGATGACAACTTTGATGCACCTTTTGGATCTCAAACCTTTGACCAACCAATCTTACAAGTGGCTTCCTCGCGACTCTCTGTTCCTCAGGTCATTTCTTATATCTTGAACGGAGAACCGCCTCTTGAAACTTTCAAGGACACTTTCACCCATTTCACCCACAGCACGCCTCCAATCACACATTCAATATTACCTATTCCAGAGGCCAGGCAGGCGTCAGAGTTGCCTCCAAACTTGTGCGTGTTTCTGCCTCGACTGGAACAGGAGTCCAAACCTTTTACTAATTCTTCATTGGGCTACAGTGACTTCCGCCGTTTGCCAAGTACATCCAATCATCTCCATCAATTTTCATTACCGGCCAGCCGTTCGCAAGAAGAATCCCTGACAAAAGCACCCGCGCCATTGTTTAGATCAGGCCCACTCAAACACCCATTTCAGACGGAATCACCATTCTTGAAATACAAAGCGTATCAGAGTCACTTTACATTTGATGACAGTGAAGGATTCATTCGTCAAGTCAAACGAAAGTCTGAAGATAACGAAATCCTTACCTTGCCCTTGTCGGCTGCCTCGAGTCAGAAGCCCGCACTGTTACAATCTGAACCCCCTACAACTGCTGCACTCTACTCTCAAACAAATTCTATCCTAAAACGCAAAAAACATCGCGGCAAAGCAACTATACATAATAATCCAGTAGACCTTGAAAAACATCAATCAACCCCCAAAGCTATAGAAAGATACTACGGTCGAAGCTGGCGTCGAGAAAAATTGATAAAGGAGAGATTATTGCACGATGTTGATGCAAACCTTATGCAGAAATTCGTATCAAATTCGAATCATCTATCAATTTCACCTAGAGAATTAATTGACAGTTTTCATCCTAAAATCCAAGAATTTTTAAACTTGATCGGCTTAGAACGTATCAAAAAGTTTCATACACACTATCTTCAAACAAACATGGATAAACTTTTGGATAATTACTTAGAGATCTTGACCACATGCTCTGAAGTTGTTTCGTCTAATGGTTTACATACCAACATGGTACAAGATATCCGTGATGGTTACAAGTGGCTCATAGAAAAATTAGCAAGACTTCCAGGAACTCAATTTGAATATTTACCACTTGTTGGGAACACTGTAGGACCTGATGAAAACGCTGTCTTCATGAAAACGTTCGATGGGCTTTCTATATATCGTGGTACAGTCTTTTGGTTAGCTCATCCATTATATGACAGGAGACGTAACAGAGTGGCCACCACCTATGTCCTAGAATTTATGCGTCAAAATCGAATGCATTGGATCAAATATCTGACGCCTTCTACGGCTGGTGAGTTATCATCGAAGACTTTGTTAATTTGGGCAAAAAGGGTAAGACCATTGAAATATATCAGTCCACATTGATGAGGATGACAAGCGAGGTAATTAAGGTCAAAGAAGTGGTATAACCATTTGATTACTTTGATCCCAACAAGAAAGGATCACCGCTGACTGATAAGCCTGAGTTACGATGATTTTCGAAGTAATGCAACTTGAAAAATAATAATGTCCTGAAGTCAGTTGGTCAGATGTGGCAGCTCCTTGAAATGCTTCCGTCAATTACCATGTTCAGAGAGGATAGGTTTGAGGCAAAGAGCTCTAAAGTATATATATCAAACTCAAGTCTGCACGCATACAACAGCTCTTTTCCTCCTCTACATTCTTTTGTATCCCAATTCCTTCATAGAAGTCTACCACCCCCGCATATAGAGTACGTCAAATGTGTAGAAATTGGTTAAGGACCCTTTGTTAGAAATAAACTACCCGCATTCTTCCCATTATAACAAGGACCCTAAAAAGTAAGTTTTAGTGCTATGAAGCATTTGAAAAGCCCCCAAACATTACAAAAATAAGTCCGTTTATGCCCAAGGAAGAAATCCAAACACTATGTTGGCCATTGTTGGAATGTAGATTCTTATACATATGTGGGAGTCTCGGAGAACAGTGCAAATTGGACAGTTTGAAATAGCTATAGCTCATCCCTCTTGAAACTTAAGAAGCTGAAACATATGATTGGTGTAAAAGATTATGAGGCCTTACTCTAGGGAGAGCGAGAGGGCTTGCGAGAGAGGAAGCTCGCTTAAGGAGAAGGATTTACAAGTCGAGTTAGGAGATGAAAGGAAGACAGACGATGGATCGGGTTCAGATTATTGTTGATGGTCTTTCAACTTGCTGCCATGGTCATTATGTATCACTTTGAATGGTGTTTGGGCGAGGCTGTTTCTAAACACTATCAGAAAGCCACACTTGAGGAGCGCATTGCTAGCAACGTTATTTTTTTCAAAAAAATCTGAAGGGCTGGGAGGCCAAAATGCATAACTAAGATTTGAACCCCGCTGATAGGCTGATAGTCAAGTCCGTTGGAGTGTTTTAAGATTTTGTGTCATATGATTCATAGTTTCAAATGTCATACATATCTGCTTTGGCTTGCTACAAGGGGTCGACACTAAAAGCTTAGTTTTCGTGATCTCCAACTTGCCTCGGGGGAGGGCTCCAAATCGCCAATGTTTTCCAAAATCACGGCCAACAGGCACTCCGAATCAGGCATCAAGCGATTCGACCGTGGATCTATTCAACATGAAGTCATTCCGGACCATGGTCTTCATGTCCAATTGGCCTATTTCACTTACCGCTATGGGCGTTGAAGATTTATCCAAGATCATAGGTCATTCTGTTTCACCCACGGAAAGCCATGCACAGTCTCACTTTACAGGAATTTACGATCCGGCACTCCATCAACAAGAAGCTTTTCGATCGGAAACATATCCGTCAAATTTATTGCATTCACGTGCACAGGCAGAACCTCCTGGGCTTGGCACGCTTATTGTTGAGGCTCCTTCATCCGACGCCTCTGTTGGAAACCTTGGAGAAGGAATATGGGAACAATTTGAAGACCCACTCGGAAGCCCTGGGTACTACACCGAGTTAACCCAAGTACTTAGCCAGCTTCCACGAACCCAAGCAGATTCGCCGTTGTACCAGCTGAGCGCAGACGGCTTCGATGGCGTTCTACACGACGATGGCTTCCATCCAACAAATCCCTACGATAGCGTCATAGGGCTCTGGGCTCAGTCGGAAGTGCACAATGAGTACACTCATGTTCCTTCGACCTTGTCCCATACACCTCACATCCAGCCCTCGCAATCGCCATCAGGCCACCGCATTCCTGCCGAGCATCCGATTGATTTTCTTGATAGTGATCTTGCTCGTATTTTTGAGCAAAATGACAACTTTGATAAATCTCTAGGATTCCAACCCTTGAAGCATGAGCCCACAGCCATATCGCGTGACATTTTATTGCAACCTCCCGTTCCTCAGGTCATGTCATCTATTGCAAACGGAGGACGGCCTCATGAAACTTTCAAGGACATTTTCAATCATGTCACCCACAGCACGCCTCGAATCACACAGCCTATATCACCTATTCCAGAGGCCAGGCAGGCGTCAGAGTCACCTTCAAACTTGTTGGTCTTTCTGATCAGATTTTACTATGAATGAAAATCTTTTTCTAATCCTTGCATGGTACACAGTGGCTTCGGAGGTTCTCCAAGTACATTCACCCCGCTCCTTCAGGTTTTATCACCGGCTCGTCATTCGGAAGAAGAATCCCAGAAGCACGGACACGTGTCATTGCTCAGATCAGGACAGCTCAAGCACCTAACTCAGACGCATCCAGTTAAACCTAGATCGAAACGAAAAAATCGTCCAAAACCTTCGTTAATGGATGACAATGAAGGATTTGTCCGTCAAGTAAAGAGACGTGGATCATCCAAAGACGGCAAAATTGATACCTTGGTGGCATCGACTCCGCCGAACCAGCAGCCCTCACGGTTACGATTCAAACGCCCTAAAGTTCCTGCATTCGACTCTGAAACAGATTATATCTCAAGACTTGAAGAATATCTCCATGAAGCAACTATGTCTAATGATCTAGTCAAGATTGACGATTATCAATTAAACATCAAAGCTATGGAAAGATATTACGGAAAAAGTTGGCATCGAGAAAAGTCGAAAAAGAAGAAATTGTTGAAAAAAATTGATCCAGAGCTTGATCAGAAATTGTCATCAAATGCCCATCTGCCATCAATTTCACCTAGGAAATTAATTGATAAATATAAACCTAAGATCCAAGCATTTTTGAAATTATTCAAGATAGAGCGTGAATTTCCTGGTCATACAGAGTATCTACAAGAAAATATGCATAAACTTTTGGATAATTACTTGGAGATCTTGACCATATGTTCTGAAGTTGTCTGGTCTAATGATTTACATACCAACCTGGAAGATGATGTTCGTGAGGGATACGACTGGCTCATGGAAAGATTAAAAGGGTTTCCAACCAGGGAATTCGATCACTTACCAATTGATGGAAACATTGTAATACCGACTGACGATAAAGACTTTATAAAGAGGTTTGATGGTGGTCTTTCTGTATATGATGGTACAGCGTTTTGGTTAACTCATAAATTATATAAGAGAAAAAGGGAAAGAGTGGCCGCTACGTATGTATTAGAATTTATGCGTCAAAATCGAATGCATTGGATCAAATATTTGACTCCCTCAACTTCTGGTGATTTGATAGCTAGTACTTTATTATATTCAATAAAAAGAGTAAGACCATTGACACAACCTACCCCAAAATAAAGAGTACAAAAAGCGATGGAATTAAGCTGGGGGAAGGGGTCATAGAAGGGGTTATAGTCTAGATGGCATTGTAGAAGACCAGTTGATCATTTTGCTCACTGCTGACTAATAAGTACGAGTCTCGAGAATTTGTTCTATAGTAATATTACTTCACATGCAATAATGACCTGAAGTCAATTGTTTAACTGCAAAGTATACTCTTGGTCTTGCAAATCACTGCATTCTTCTCAAGTGCATTCCCTTTCGTGATCATCACCTACATCCCCTTTTTGAAAAAAGGCGTGAAGAATGAACATGAAAAATCAATGGAAGTCTCGGAATACCCATAATGTTACAGCCACCTCTCCCTGGTAAACATATTCGAGAGTACTCACCGGAACTGAAAGAGTATTTTCCTTCACATATCTTTGGTCCTTGATTCATGATGAATGTTATTGATCGACATTCTTCCATTGCTTAGATCTATATGACTATAATTACTGCTGCCAACATTGAGGCAAAGGTTTTCCAAGAGTAATAGACGGTTCACTGATGAGCGGTTCATCTTTATTCATCATACGCCTCGCTTTCAAATACTGACGCTGGGTTCAATAAGTTTTTAGATCCGTCAAAGTGAGATTCGATCTTTAAAAAGAAAGATCAAAACAAAACAGGCGAGAAATACAATTGCAATACCCTTCAATTCTAAAAAGTTGAAAAAAGCTAAAGTTATACAAATCCAATAAGATATCAATCTACCAATTCATCTTTTCAATCTTTTCTTTAACTTTTTCTTTAGAAGCACAAGCCGTACTTTTGATTTGATCACCATTTTCATCATACATAACTTTACAACATTTATATAATCTTTTAACTAATTCTTCACATCTTTCTGGTTGATATGTAAATCTATTTAAACATTTTTGAAGTTGACATGCTTCAAGTTGACAAATTTGAGGTGATTGATCTGTCTACATAACATAAATGTTACAATAGGTGAGATGGAAGTAAAGAAAAATGAGATTAAAGGATTAAAGGTCAGAATAGATTGTTGCTGAGGAATTTCCGACTTACTGTCATGATGATTCAAACCGATCTGAATGATGTTTTTGATGACCTGGTTTCTAGTTCTCTGCTCTTTTCTTGAACTTCTGTTCGGATGCGGTTGTTCATGAAAGAAGTTCAAACTGAGATTGGAAACCAGATTCATTCCAAATCATTCGCAAAGTACCCGAGCAGTGCTACCCGATGCAAAAGCCCCCCGGTCTCGGGCTTCATTCCGGGCTGGACCTGCTCAGAACTTGATCCGCACGTTTTGGTACCGCGGGACCTACAATTTGACAATTCATTTTCCAGCCTTTCAGTTTGCTTCACCTTCAATTCTTCATGATACACCAAAAAAAGAGATGCCTAGGTTCAACTCAAGTCATCATGATCATCCAAATCCATACATTAACTTGTTAAGTACCTTTCCCTTTGATTTGGATCATGAATTTCTAAAACTTATGCTAACCGAAAAACATATACCTTTTACCTTCTGGTATTACGCCAATCAAATGGAATTCATGATTGAAGTATACGAGTTTTAGGTGATGAAGGCAATTCTGGAATACCTATAATTGATTCAACGAAAGAAAATGCACGTCAAATCATGAAAGCTATCTCAGCGTTCGTTAAATCGATTAAAATTCCATAAGGCTGTTCTTTTTACAATAATTGATTCATGGTCTGATACTCGGTTTTGTTTGAAATAATCAGTCAAGTTCTAGTAAGTTCAATTCGAAAACTGAATTTGATGATCCTCATTCAAAATGCTGATTCTTTTGTTAATCCTTTTTGAATGATTGTAGCCGATAATGAAAGAACATGGAATGGGTTTAAATACGTTTACAGAGTATAAATGGAATTCAGAATTCGCAGGTAGAAATGTAATCTACATCTCATAAACTCATGATCAAATCGTCAACAAAAAACTTATTCAATACTTCCTTTTGTGGTGCGGTGGGACATTGATAATCAAGTGGAATGGAGGTGAAACTATTGAATTAGTTTTACGTAAGAAAAATGGACAGTTTTTAGTTGGTCACCTTTTTGTTTTTCTTTTATAAATTTATAAAAAAACAATTTCTTTCTGATCCAATCGTCTTTTTTGTTTAAAAAGCCAATGGGTTATTTATTATCAGTGATGGCTCATGAATTAGCACACATTCATCATAGTAAGCGATTTTCTTTTCCAAAAAAAAGAAATTCTAATCTTATTAAAACCATTGACTAAAGCAGAAGTAATTTATCATTTTTGTTCAAAGTGAATCATGGTAAATATGATTTCATCAAATCTTGAACTTCGAAATTCAATCAAGCTGAATTCATGATCTCGAACAGGTCCACAATTTCAAAAACTGAATACTAAGCTTCGTTCAGAAATTCGACAGTTACAAGCCAAAGGTTATTATGGACCAGGTAAGGGTTTGAAAAAATTCACTGTCACTTTTTACACAGATTCTAAACAGACGTTTCCATTTGATCTTTTCTTCTCTATAGGTTTTTGGTCTTCAGGTCAACGACTCAAAGATTCCGCCACTTCCGCGGGTGATGGAGCTCTAGTAGCTTCTGATTTACCACAATACGCTTGGTAAACTCTGTTTTCAATCTTTTTCGCATCTCTCCACCCTTGACATTTCTCGATCTCACATCTTTTGTTTCCGCAGCGGTGGGTCTAACACTCAAGGTACACGACGTCGTGTTTACAAACCCAAGACAACTACTACTCGCACTCCTCGTCAAAAGCGTACTGCTCAACAGTTTATTGGTGATGGACAAAAGCTAGAGAACGATGGACAATCATTCTTCCGGTAAGTAATTCTAACGACTCAGAGTTTTCATCACTAATTTCTTGCTTATGAATCAGAAAGCGAGCCAATGCGGCCGGGGCCAAGGAAACTAGAGCGCAAGCTGCAGAACTTAGATTACGAAGGGCTGGTATAATGAATAAATCACCTACTCTGAAACTTGAACCTCAATTTCAAAAGTCCAAAGCACACTTAAAGCAAGAATCAAAGGGTAAACAAAGACTAGAATCATCAGAAGCTTCAGGATCGAAAAGAAGATCCAATTCGGTTGAAGTGATCGATATTGCAAGAGTCAATAAAGAGAGTGAAGATGATGATGATGATGACGAAATTGAGATAGTAAAGCTTGAAGCTGAATGGGAGGATTTCAAAGAATCCGATCGAACAAATCTATCTTCACCCGATCAAGTTGAGGCTGAGAAGAAGCTTTTGAGGGATGAGATGAACGAATTAAGGGAAGGATATGAAGCCTTGGGATCGAAAGTTAAAGACTCTAAACCATCACTTTTACCGAATACCAAGGACCGATCTTTGAAGAAGAAACGGGATGATGACGATGACGAGATTCAATTTTTAGGCACAACAAAGAGAGATCGTGAAGTGACAAAGCGAAAGAATGAAGAAGACGTCGAAGTTCAAGTCAAGAAAATACCACGGAGAAACGAAAAGATACCTTTTTCAGATTTGGGTTCGTCATCTTCTGCAAGATTAGTAGGATCGAATTCAAAGACAATACCTCGAAACCCAGAGATAATGAAAGTTTTAGAAACTAAAACATGGAAGTGTAATATTTGTTGTATGGAGGTATGTAGTGAATTCAGTTTGATTTGATTAATTATGATCAGAAATGCTGATTGAAGGGTTTGATTGAATTCGGTTGTTTTTCAGAATGATGATGACTTTGGTATATGTAGTTCATGTGCTCGTCCAAAGGGTATGGCAGCACCTGATTGGAGTTGAACTTAGAGATCGGTTTATTCATGTTGTTTTTATTATCATTGTGATCATTGGTGTGGAATTGTGATAATTCTTGATGGACAGCCCTTTGGTTTGTTATTTTAGATCTGATGACGGTGAGTTTGTTTTGTTTACATTGTTGCAGTCATTTTGTTTTGTATTTTGATCAGGTTAATGGATGGATTTTGAAATATGTGATGTATCTTTTTGTGGTCGAGTATGTGAACTGGTTTTCTGATATCATGCCAGTGATCTGACCATTGATAATTTGATTTGATTTAAAATTTAACTTCATTTCATGTCAGGTCTAAAAACTTCCTATGCTTTATTGGCGGTAACGCTTTTGTAAAAATATCAGCAATCATATCATCTGTAGAAACATACGCTACTTTAAGTTGTTCATCTGCCGCTAATTCTCTCAACCAGTCTGCTGTACCTTTACTGTGAAGCGGCGGAAGCGGTGTAGATGCTGTGATTGGCTGTGAATAAAGTTTTATTTCAAACGTCATTCATGATTTCATTCAAGAAATTAAATTTGATGTTCTATACAAATAATCTTTTTTTCCTTTGAAAAAAATCGGACACCAACAGATACATCAATCACCACCCCGATTATAAATGATGAGCAAAACCCATCCACATCTTTGTTCATCATTTTTCTTCTTCCAATCATACTTTCAATCAGAGATCCCTCTTAAAATAATCTATATAATTCTCTAAAAACACAGTGATTTTTAAAGATATCTTAAACATCGAAACCGAAAGAAGAAAGAAAAGTATGAATCAATTTAAAAACCTATTTTCGAAAGAAACAAGCGTTCATCAAACTCAAAAAGATGATGATAAAAAGAAGTCTGACAAGTAAATTTTGTATTTCATCTTCATCTTTACCGTTTAGAAAATTAATTGAAGTTTTTTGAATTTGTTTTAGAATTAAGGCTGTTGTAAGTGAAGTTTCTGGACTTTTTAAAGAAGTTTTGGGCGTTTTCAGTGAAGGATCTGGTGGTCATCATAGTCATAGTGATCATTCTGGAGGTGGTGGAGATGGAGGTGGCTCATGTTAAATGCGTCAATCCTGATTTCAATCCTTTGCTAATCGTTTGATTTTCTCAACACATTTCTGCCTTTACTTCATTTCTTTTTCTTATTTGGTTGAGTGGATAAGTTTCAATTTTCTTGTGATGAGTATTGATCAGAGATAAGATTTAAAAAAAATTGATGACAAAGAAGTGGCCTTTCGTATTCCGATCCTCTTAAATCAAGATATATGTAATAGGAAAAAAGACAAAGTCTGTTTTCAAGACATGAATGGTAAGATTTAAAAATCGAGACAATTGTCATTCATGATGATTGATATTTCCTTCTGGAAAATTTCGTCTCTGTGAAAAACTGCAAAATTGGCTTGAACCTCGTTCTTTCCTCTTGGCAAATTTGCTACGAGTAAAACAATAGAACCGATTGCCCCGCTATTCATTATCAAAGGTTGTCGGGGTTTTGGGTAAAGTTAAGATTTGGGTTAAGATTCGAAAGGTTGTAGTCAGCTTTGCCGCTGTGCAGCTGATCATCAGCTGTATATCAATCAAAAAACATTGAGGTTGGTATTAAATATTCCAAGTCAGCTGAGGTCTTCTGGACTTCTTTTATGCTATGCAGGTGCTGTGCTCTTGAACGTCATATCACAATAGGTTGAAGAGATATACTTCAGAGATTGAGGTGATTCGTTACACATTCTCCTTGAGAACGCCACATTTTGGCTGCATCATCACTTCAAGTTCAAATAATCAGATAGCAAGCGACGTAAATTACATTACTGGTTAGTGATGTTTCATTTTTTCCCTTATACCTTTTGATTGCAATTCAAAGCTTGACTAAATCTTAAAAACTTGGACCAATTTCAAACTTCATATTTCTTTATCCTTTAAAACAGGTTTATACAAATTTTTCAAATACAAATTGGAAAAGGAAGAAAACAAGATGAAATTTTTTGAAAAACTGTTTTGTTTAAAATCAAATGATGTTATGAATCAAAAACCAAAAGAAGATAATAAGAAAGTTCAGGAGTAAATTTATTTTTCATCTTTATTTGAACTGTCAGACAGATGATTGAGGTTTTTGGATTTCATTTTGTTTTGTAGATTTAAAGTTACACCTAATGCTCCTAATGTTGCAAGTAGGGATTTCTTTTCGGGCGTGGATATTAGGGGTTACCGTGGTCTTAGTGAGACTCTTAGTGGTCTTGGGCGTCATTCTGGAGGTAGTGGTGCACACGGGGCTGGTGGTGGTACTGGTAGACATGGTGGTGGTGGTGATGGAGGGGATGGTACTGGTAGACACGATGGTGGAGGCTATGGAGGTGGTGGAGGTGGTGATGGAAGTGGTGGAGGAGGTGGAGGGGATAGTGGAGGAGGTGATGGCGGAGGAGGAGGGGATGGAGGGGGTGGAGGAGGAGGTGATGGAGGAGGCTGTTGACCCTGCCAGTTTGTATGCATTTTCAAACCTTTGTGAATGTTTTGATTCTCTCAAGGCAATATAGGTTTTATCTCTTATCTGGTTGAATGGATAAGCTTCACGTTTGTGGTGGGGGGTTTTGGATTGACTGAAAACAGATTTTAAAGACAGGTCAGTGAAAATAAAAGGGATTTGATGTGAATATTCTTGAATTCTTTATGTTTCTATCACATTTCTTTTGATTACACATTTTTTAGTTGTTCATTAACAAAATAGGTGACCAGAGATCTTTGTTTGAAATGATAATCCTAGGATAAATATATATCCCAATGCTTTAATGTTTGCCATTTTTTTTATCAAAAATTTGCCTGAGTGAAAAACTATAAAATTGGCTTCTTGAAGTTCTGCTGGGTATTCTTCTCTCAACAAATTCGGCCCAATTAGACCAATGATGCCAATTATCCTGCCATGCCTTGAGATAGGCTATTTGAAATCTTGGTGAGGGCAGATAAGAATACAGATTTGCAAGATTGTGGCCAGGTTTGCTGCTGTGACACTGATTGTGATATGTAGCTGTCAACTTGGATTTGAGGCAGATATACATACATTGATATACAAAGGTGGATATCATTTCAATCCTGCTGAGGTAGACTGATGTCTTCTGAGTTAACTTATTAAAGCCCTTGGAAATGATTTTTTGGGCTACAGGCTGTGTAGGAGCGGTGCTCTTGAGAATTCCTGAAAAAATTCAAACCATTCTTATATAAAAACTTTGGTGGGAAAGGACCATACTGGATTCTGCTGAGAGAAATACATACTAAAGAATACCTATAACCAAAAAGGAAACTTAAAGAATACCTATAACCAAAAAGGAAACTCATAATTCATATCTTTCTACCATTACTGGGACTCTTTCCCTTACCAATAATACTTACCGGGGTCACTAGAGCTTCAAACCTGTACACGGGGGGTGGGTGGGTTCGAAAAGAAATCTACAAGCTGAAGAGCTTGAATTGAGTGTGAGAGAGAGAAAGGACAGTGAGGATTTCCAGATTCGAGCGTGAGATTGCGGATGTGGGGGAAATTGACACTCGGGAAAATTTTCAAGGTTGGGAAGTCTTCCCTAACTTGAATTTCCTTTACCAAGTGTCCGGGAAGCATCCTTCGCTATAAGGCTATGCCCTGTATTTGCCCACAGTCCGATCTCGCTCGTATCGTGGAAATAGGCGGTACTGTCGTGCCTTTGGGTACCGCCACTCATCCACTCTTTAACTCGCTGTCTCTCATGAGTGTATATGTATGAAATCATACAGTATATTGCAATTTAGTTTATGAGTATCATCTAGTATGATTTCATAAGCCGGTTTGTCCTATTCAAACCTAAAGAGTTCATCTTGAGTTCTCTAGGTTTCTTGGGGGGGGCCCTCTGCCTTGGTAAAGGCTGAGGGAGGTAGGACACCGGTCACAGTAGGCGGGAGACCGCTTCCCCTTGACTCGGGATGCAGTCCTGAGCCTGCGATCACCCACCTACTGTGTCTCGTGTCAAGTCGATGGACAACCCCCCCGGGCTATGTGGCTTATTGTGTTATTAAAAACTACGATCTGTCAAGTTCGTATACAGCAAACTCAAAAAGGATCTGCATGGATCTACTTGGTGTCATATTCCTAAGTCAACATTAACACCAGCAAAGCTCCTCCGGTCAACTCCTGAATTTGACTTCCTCTAATACACGTAGCGTTTCCAATAACTCCTCTTCGCTATACTCTCTGATCAACGCCCGAACCAATACAAGACGGATGTCGGTATCGTATTGGTTTCGTGTCGCCAACCCGATACCAAAAACTCGGATTTCCCCATATCGGTTCAGCCAACCCGATATGGGGACTGGTGTTTTTCCATATCGGGTATCGGCCACACCATACAGGCCAATACCCGATATGATATCGCTTCATGTCGCCCTTTGTACCCCATTACAATGAATCCTGCGTAGCCCTGCGTTGGCTCACGCAGTCTCCTGTCACATCGACACTTCCGATCACACCACGACACCACCATTCCGATAATTCGTCGACTTTAGTGGCGATCTCTTTAGACTTAGCCACTGTCACGATGCCCCTCCGATGGCTCGATAACGAGATCCTACTCACCTGTCAACCCCAATCTTATCCACAGATTCGAATCAAACGGTGGCTCAGCCTCCACTTTCAAAAGGTCAGCATTTTCGTTATACTACTCTTCCTTCCTCGCATCCCCACTATTCCCCAATTCAACGCGGCTAAAGATCATTGATGTGTGTTGAGTTAAATCAGAAACACACCATGGCATCCACGCATGAGTCCGAGTCCACCCAATTACAACCATCTCAGGCTCTTTTGAACGATGATTCTGTTCCGAATCCCATTCCCAGTACCCAGAAACGCAAACGAGGACCTTCCAATACAACCGGCACCCAGAAAAAACGCAAGGATGTATGTTATCTTACTGTCCAAGTCATTTCATCAACCGCTTTACTAACTTTATTTATTTGATTTATTGCTGTATAAAACCAGAAATCAAATTATGTTCCCGAAGGTCTGGATGTTGACCGAGACTCTGATATCGAGATAACCGGAGAGACTCAGCCTGCACCTAAAGCTGAGGTGCGCACTGAACGTGTCCGTGAACTTCTCAAGTACTATGAAGATCCAGTCGAATGCCCAGATGAAGTAAGTGGCACTGGCTTCTATTTGTTCCCTCCTTTAACTTTCTTTCACAAACTCATCTACATTCTCGGTATTTGGATATTTTGATTCAATCAAGATCGGCAGCGGTATTTTCCGGTATTACAAGTGCCGGTTTTGTAAAAAATCTTTTTCAAAACCCCCGAATACTTATCAGACTCTATACAACCATCGCGATGGGGCCGAAACTCGACCAGTTTGCCAGAAACGACACGTTGCCATCAATCAAGGATTCGACCTCAATAAATCTTGGCCTGAGCAACAGAAGGCTAAAAAGGAACAAAATAACAACTTAGATCGATTTGTTGTCAAGCAACCTTTTGGAATCAAAAACCTCAATCTCATGCTGGTCATTTGGGTTCTTCGTCACGCGCTCCCGTGGGCAAGATTTGAAGACTCTATTCTTCGTGCAGCCTTTTGGTTTTCAAACCCGCTGGCAACTCTTTACTCGGCAACATGGGCAGCCCAAGCAGCCCAGCGCTTATACATAGGACTCCAAAAAAATGTCATAAGTAGCATCTTGGTACGTTTTTTTCTGGTAACGTTTAATTTCCTTTTCACTTTGAATTAATCTCATTAATCCATACCACACAGGAAAATGACAGTGCCTTCTGTCTAATGCACGAGGGGGGGACGACAAGGGGACGACGGCATGCTTTTATTGGGGCCAGTGTTTTGTTTATTGATAGTAACTGGAGATACCAGGTCCGACACCTCACCCTCAAGCTTGTGACATGGAATCACTACGGGGTTCTACTGGCTCGTCCCCTGGCTCGATTCCTTGTTTGACACGGCCTACACAAGAAAATAAGTGTATTTAATTCCTTTTTCTTTGATAATCACCTCGAATATTGAGCCTGACATGAGAATGTTGTTTTATCCACATGCTTGCGCAGACAACGGATTCAGGCGCGAACAACAACACAATGGCGACAGAAATGTCAAAGATCTTCTCTGAAGGTGAGGATCCGGTGTTCTGGGATGCAAGGGTCAACCATGTGCGCTGTTACGCGCACAAGCTGGCTCTTGTGGTCAAAGCCGGTTTGTGAAGTATCAAAATTGATCCAGGACATACAAAGCCAACTACGACTCCTGGCCGTGAACTTCCTACACCCTCGCTTGGACTTGACGACTCATCCAACTTTCCTGACGACCCAAACAACACTGAACCGGTTGATTGTCTTGAAGATGGAGAAGATATTGGCGGGGATCATGATGGTGATACTGACTCTGAGGTCGAGGATGGAGATGATTCTCAATTGCAGACTCACTTGGCCAGTAGGTGGAAAACTGATGTAGTGGTACAGGCAGTCCAAAAGGTCAGTTTCTATCATGCACAACCGAGATCATAGTCACATACTGAATGATGATTTTGTTTCCAGGTGGATCTTTTTGCACGCCGGGTCTGTTTGAGTGCTGCCCTGCGAGCACTCTTCAAAGCACAAAGAGAAGGACAGGGGTCGATCACGGCGGGTTACGGAATACGTTGGAATGCGGCGGTCCAGTCTTGCCAAAAGGTTTGTGAAGCCCAAGAGGTATGTCTGGACATATTGATCATCCTATAGATCATATCATATCCCTTCTCACCATGTGTTGTTTATGTTTTCAGACAGTGACCCAGATGCTAGGAAGTGCCAATAGTCATCTTTTTGATGAGATGTGTATAACTCAGAGCGAATGGGCTGCTGTGAGGGCCTCAAATGGTGTCTTAGAGGTATGCATCACTTGCACTTTGTTCTTCTAACCATCATTAACAGTACTGATATATTTCAAATTTGTAGATATTCCTCTCTTCGACCCTCATGATGGAAGGGGATAGTCCAACAGGAGCGCGTGTCTTGTCCGAGTATTGTCGAATGGAGAAAGCTTTAGAGAAAATGGAGGCTGAGACTAAATACAAAAGCTTACATAAGATGATCGGGGTAATGCGTGTGAAACTCGCGGTGTATCATAATGAAGCGCTCAGCTGTGACGCTCTTGTCATGGATACAGTTTTAAATCCAAGCAAGCGTATGAAGTTCTTTGAAAACTACTATCCTGCGGAGGTACCTCGAATTTGAACGATGTTGGATCAAGCTTTTCAAAGGAAAGTGGTATCATCAGAGGCAAACATCGAGATCACTTCAGCAACAGCAACATCACAAAATACAATCGAAACTACTCACGATCAAGACGACGACAATCTCTTTGGACCTTCAGAAGTGTCTGCATCAATCAATCGATCAGACGAATTAGAGCTCTATCTTGGCACAAAATATCCTTATAAGGACGGGTGTATCTTAAAGTGGTGGGAGGTGAGTGTCTGATTTTTCTCCGTTTTACTCTCTCTTCATGTCACTTATGTCTTATGTGTGGTTGATTTGGGGCAATAGGAGAACTCAAAATGGTTCCCATTAGTGGCAGCGCTTGCGAAGGATTATCTCGCATGCTCGGGTACCACATGTCCAGTCGAAAGGACTTTTTCCTCAGCAGCCGATGTCTGCCAGCCTGATTGTGGTGGCCTCAACTCAAGCACGATGGAGCGCGCTGTAGGCTGTAGAGAGTGGATCAAAGCGGGTGTGGCTACACCAGCAGAGTTTTCAGAAGCATCTGAATTAATTGAAAAATATTTAGTAAGGCAACATAGTAATAAAACAAAATGATCTCGCTCTTTGTATTTGTAAATACAAATTATATTACAGTTTGATTATGTGAACTGCAAAAAAAATACTGTTCGCGATCCCAACCAACTTTTACCGCCATTTCGTATCGGCTCGTGTTGCTTCAGCGAAACAATATGAGCCTCCCCCAAAAAAAATTTTTCATGTCGTATCGGGAGTCGGTTCATATATATCGGTGTCCCGATGCGACATGAAAAAGCCCTGATATATCGTATGGTATCGGATAGGTTCGGGCGTTGCTCTGATATATAACTTGTAAGCTTTTGACTTCCAACGCCCGACTCTAACAATCTCTTCCAACGGGTGACTTAAGTTCCACCTCAATGATGCACCTCCTACGCGAAAGGAGTGCCCCGTAAGTCGGCTTCCTTCCTGATTCAACCATGTTTCCGAAAACAATTTCTGACATCTCGCCTTCGTCAAGGTTATCCTTTTCCCATCGCGGGGGTAAGAGAACAACGGATCGTCGTCTGTAGCTTTCGTATCATTAATGAGCCTACGAATAGCGTCCACTGGGTCCAATAGGGAAGACTGGCGCTGGCAGTGAATTTCCTGTATCTCGCCAACCGCCGCAGTTTTTGCTGATCGAATTTTTATCCTGATATAATGTCCATCTGGGTCCCAAATCAGATCGTTTACTCGGATCTGATCTATCTTACAGGAGGATTTCACCAACTCCCCCAGCCTCGCCATACCCCAAAAGGCTGTCAAGGCTACCGTGTAAGCTACTTGTCTTTCTAATTCTCCTGTTGCGAGATCCTTCACCAACTCGAACAAGTGTCTGACCAAGACCGGGTTCTTCTTCTCTTTCGGTTCTAAGCGAAGCTCTAACTTTTGCGCAGCTTTGAGTATTGCTTCCACCCTCGGAGTCTCCTTATGCAGATAGTCGAAGCCGTGGAACAAATGCTAGGCTTTGACTCCTGACAAGTAAGTCCGGATCGTATTTGATTTGATAGGGGGGTAGTTATCGACGTCTGGTCGTCGATCTAACTTTGGGCCTGCCCAAACAGCGAAGTGACATAGAACTTCAGGGTCGATTGGCAGAAGGAGGCGTCTCGGGATGTCATACTCTTTTGCAAAGGTCATCAATTTGGAAACTCCGGTGTTATAGTGTTTTAATGTCGCCGGCGTCCAGGTTCCACCTTCTAACATGTAAGCTTTCACTGCGTTATCACTTGATGAGTCTACTCCATTTTCATCCTTCAAAAACTCCATTATCTGATTGACTTATAAATTGATCGATTAAAGTGACGTTTTATAAATCTTTGTATTAAATTTCTAATGTTGTGATCAAGAATTGTTGATCATCACCGGCGGTACAGAACAGGATCAATGCCTCTGAGTCTCCCCAATTCTCGACCAGGAACTTTTGATCACTCACTCCAATCGAGGCGATCGGTACTCACGGCGAAACTGCTGTATATAGAGGCACAGGGCAACACACATACGACCGGAACACGTTTCAAATTACATTTCAAGGAATTCAGCTAACGATTTCAAGAAAACGTCATCATGCGTTTCAACCACCTATCTTCATCTAAAGCACTTGGCGAACAACATCACGTAGGTCACTTGGCACTTCAATCACCACAACGTCATCTGCAGATCGCTTGTCTTTCCCCCGCGCCAACAAGTCTGCCATATTCTCTCCTGATTTTACACGTTGTGCTACGATATCGCAGTGTAAGTGCTCCAACAACTTTTGAATTCTTTTCCATTCTTCGTTTACTTCCACGTCTCCTGACTTCCTGTTATCTACTGCAGCCTGCGAAGTTGTGTTATCGGTAAGTACGATAAACGACTTCCCTCCTACATTCCTAAAGGTGCTGAGCATTATCAAACCTAGACGAATTGCGACGGTCTCAGCCCAGGAAATATTTCGTTTCCCTCTCGAAGCTTTCTGCATATTCCACCCTTCCTTCAGATCGAATTGGGCCCACTTGGACCCGACTAGCACTCCAATGCCAGTTAGCGATGCGTCACCGACCCACTCTACATCTATTGGAACTTGATCTGGTATTATCCGTCTTGGTTTAAAGGACTTCATTGCCGCCTGCCATTCCAGTAAATCTTCCCGTACGTCACCCGGAATTTTTCTTTTCGCAGATGCCACTTGCCATGCACTCTCCCACCTATATAAGCTCGAGAGGTAGAACTTTAGATGAGGAACAATGTGTGTAGTATGAACTAACCTTCCTACAAATTTCTGCACTTTCTTCAGGTTAAACGACCCTTCTGGTACCAGGAATTCCTCTATTTCATTTAGGCAAGCATCGAACTTCTCGTCGGGTAATCGCACCGTTCTTTCTTTTGAGTTCCAAATGAATCCAATGTATCTTTGCTCCTCTGCAAAGTCATGGACCTTTTCCGCATTCGAAGAAACTCCCATCTCTGAACTAAATGCAACGATATCTTGTATTGATGTATTATTGTCTACATCTTTCACAAGTAAGTTGTCGTCGACCCATTGGAATGCCTTGGTCAGATTAAATGCTAATACGATTATTTGTTTCCATAAATCAGCAGGTCTTCCAAACACGCTGCACCCTGCGACTCCACCGAATTGAATCCGCGAGTCCAGCCATAGTCTATTCGACAGGTCCATGAGAAATAGGAACCTCCATTGCGACGGGTGAATATGAATCTGCCGATAGGCCTTTTCCCAATCAAACAAGGCGAGTAAGTAATTTCCTTGATGATCTCTGAAGAAAGCTGCTACGATCTTAAAATTGTCCCATGTCGTGGCATAATCTTTCTTGTCAACGAAGCTGTTAACTGATGGTGTGTCCTCGACGTCGTGAGGAAAAGACAGGTCGTTGATTATTCTGAAGGAACCATCTCCATTAATGACACTTCCCATTGGACTAGACCTGAAGAAACCGATTTTGGCGAACACCTCTTCATGAGTAAAAGGTCCGAAGATCCTTTTTGCTTTCCGTTCTTTCTCTAACGTGTTTGCTATCTTTTCCGCTGCCATTTTTGCTGATTCATGGTTATCGGGAGTGTACCACCTTCTATCTCCCATCGTATGATCAGGTATACCCTGGTGAAACCCGTCTAAACATCCCTTTATGACTTCTTGCGCATCTTTTTCAATCCCATACAAGGCCACCAACGATCTCCATCTCGATAGATTCAGGTCACAAACGGCATACTCTAATGGCCACCTACTGTCATAGTGTCTGCCTGAGTTCTTATATGGCTTTATTCTTACAACACTCACGTCGTTAGGCACCCTCAGTCTAGGTCCGTGATCAGGTAAGGCAAGTTCCTTCCTCCAGTCAAACCTATAGGCAAGTAATGGAAAGGCAATTGAAGGTTAGCCAAGGGCAGAAATTAATCACAGAATCCTGTCATACGACGTTTATTTCATGGAGACCACGACATCAATGGCGGATGTCTCATTTAGGTCAGAGGGAGAAACGACGATATCTACAATTGACAGTCTACAAACATTGTGACTTGTTACAAATCAAGAAGAAACCAATCCAACCACAATCGTTATACCCGACTATCTTTGGGTGGTGGTAAAAAGGGTACGTCTAGAGGAAATTTCATCTCTTTGAAAGGAAATAATTCGGCCAATGGCTTACTTTGCCTTCCCGTTGTTTCCGCCGTACTTAGGGCTGTTTGCCTCTCCTCTACGGTCGTCGCGTCTGTCATCCTGACGCCAAGAACCACCACCTTCTCCCCTTCGGTTGGCAAAACGATCGTTCTCTCGACCACTGCCGTATCTTTCACTATCACGACCGCCGCTACCTCCGTTCCAGCCCCCTCCGCGACCACGACCCCTCACGTTTCTCCCATCACCTCTTCTATCGTTGTATTGTTGGTAGCCTGGGTTGCTAGGTCCTTCATAGAAAGGTTGAGGTGGATAATGGTTTGCATGCTGCCAGGACCGGGCATTGGGCTTGCCATAATGAGGAGTGTGACTAGGGGAATTCGCGACCTGGTATTGTTTCTGATGATTGAACAGCTGATATTCACCGGTGATAGGGTGAATGTTGGCTTTTGGTTGGCCTTCAGCGTACGGGTTAATGTCTTGAAACCGGGGTTGAAAATCACCGAGGCGTTCACATTCGGTTTGAGCTTCTCTTTCTCGATTTTCATCACGAACAGCGGGGTTTGCTAACTTGCCATCCGCATTCTTAAAGGTCATAACTGTCGACCGAATGGCTTGATCATATCTAAAGGCCATGATCCAGGATGCCCACTCTCTTTTAATCGCCATTACATTCTCTCGGTGAATAACGAACTTATCAGCAACATCTCCGTGTCCGTAGTGACGTATATAAGAAACAAAAAGGTCGAACGCCGATATCCATTCTCCAAAGTTCATTCTCCATTCATCAGGAACATCTAGACAGGTATAACGATCGTCTTCACTGTCTTTCTTTTTCTTCACTCTTTGAGACTGGCGCACTAGGTCTAATCGTAACCACTGAGGATTGAAAATTGATAGGGGAATGTAACCCTTGAATGGTTTCATCTTAGCATTGAACCAGGGTGATAAGGCTACCAAACCATCGACTTCTATTCCAGTCTCGCTTACTTCCACTTTTTTCTTTTCTGCAGCTTTAGGTTCATCATTGTCCTTGGTCAAATCGACTTGTTGTGGCACTTTCTTCGGGATCGATTTCTCCTTCACTTGGGCTGGCGCAGCGACCCATGATGGCGTGACAATTGAACTAGCTAGAGCAGTAGACATGCCATTGAGAGCATGGTTTGAAGTAGATGGGTTGTTGAAAACAGTAAGGCCTTTAGCTTTCAACCAGGAATGGAAACCGCGAGGGGGACTATTGCCCATTTCTGCGACCGTGTTTCTACGTGTTGGGGAACGTACTGTACGAGGAAATTCAATTAAAGGTATGTTCAGTTATCACTCTCAGTGCTGGAGGCTTCACGCGTTTGGTGGCATCACCGAAGGTGGGAAAAACCGAACTTCGCTATACGCGGCATCACTCTGGGTGGTTACAATTGAATTTGTGGCTTACAATTTGGCACATTATCTATATTATCTCTTGACAGTAAACCACCTGAGTGTAACACCGAAGTTCCTGGTGTCAATGGTACGTCTTGATTGTTTGGCGACTTATTGGTTGGAGCAATGACAGCTGTTGAGTTGGTCGACGTATTTCCTTCCTCACCGGGTACCGTCAAAGTAACGACTGGTGTGGTGGGCGTTTCAGCATTAGTCCTATTGGAGACTGTTGAATTTCCACGGCCGCGTCCTCTGCTACGACCACGACGACTTTCAAGTGTTGCAGTTGGAACGACGATATCAGAATCTGGTGGAGGGACTGAACCCCCTCTCAACCTACTGCTAGTCCTTCTCAGCATTTCATTGAAATTTTGCGTGTTGGTAGCGATCTTGTCCGCTGTTGACATTTTCTTAACTTGAATAAGGATTTAAATTTTTGATAAAGGATAACTCCAAGTAATGATATCTTTTTCGAAAAGAAATCTACAAGCTGAAGAGCTTGAATTGAGTGTGAGAGAGAGAAAGGACAGTGAGGATTTCCAGATTCGAGCGTGAGATTGCGGATGTGGGGGAAATTGACACTCGGGAAAATTTTCAAGGTTGGGAAGTCTTCCCTAACTTGAATTTCCTTTACCGAGTGTCCGGGAAGCATCCTTCGCTATAAGGCTATGCCCTGTATTCGCCCACAGTCCGATCTCGCTCGTATTGTGGAAATAGGCGGTACCGTCGTGCCTTTGGGTACCGCCACTCATTCATTTCAAAAAGTTTAAAATTTTGTTTTTATGTTTTGTGATCGCATGACTTTTAAAAGTCACCTTTTACCTAGTTTTTGATGAAAACAACATGAAAAAGGATATGGATGTTTGTATGAAGATTATAATTCTAGGATACAATTATCCAATGGTACATAATTGATTTTGAAAGTTTGTCACGGCAGGAAACTTTGGCTCCCGTTGAGGGTTTTCCCTGCGGCAAATTTTGTCGAGTGAATAATTACATATAACGATTGCTCCGCTATTCCTTGTCGGAGTTCGCTTGAGACTTCTTGAGGACAAGCTGCGAGTTGAGATTTGAAAGATTGTGACAGGATGGTTATGTGATCTGAAGCCGATTGTTAGCTGTAACAGGACCCCGGAATGCGCCGCAGGATGATAGTCCCCAAATTTTGGAGAAAAACCCAAATTCCACCATGTTGCCACTGGACTCGAGGCCTTGTTCCAAATATGGTCAGATGTATCAACTGTGCCTTCTGAAAAGGTCTCCAAGAGAATTAGCTTAACAAAGCCCTCTCTGTGTGGCCGCGTCCGCGCCCTCGCAGAGGGGCTTAGGACTAATCGTCGATTTTTGGCTTGAGCACTACACTCCTTAAGTGTCTCTAAGGAGATTTTCAAATGTTTACGCTTCCCTCACAAACCAACCTCACTTGGTCCTGCTGGGAAAGTTGTTCATGATCATTTTCTACATGTGTATATCTTGTTATCACGAGAGAAACACTACCCCACCATGCTGTTCTTGAGGGAGTTTTCAAGCCTTATGTCTCACTTGTAAAGGGGCATACAAGGTGAATTTGCACCGTACCCGATTTTTGAATCATTGCTACAGGTGTGTTGTAAGAATCATCAACCTCCTTTTTTGGCCACACCGTTCACACTGGCCATGATGCTAGACTACAAGATTATGTAGAATTTTTATCAGAACAACTTTCCCTGCGGAGTCAGGTGAAGTTTGTTTGTGAGGGAAGCGTTAAAATCCGAAAAACTCCTTAGAGACACTTAAGGAGTGTAGTGCTCAAGCCAAAAATCGACGATTAGTCCTAAGCCCCTCTGCGAGGGCGCGGACGCGGCCGCGCAGAGAGGGCTTTGTTAAGCTAACCAAGAGAAAAACAAGGCCTCCTGTGGCAATTACATGATGGAATTTGGGGTGTTCCTCCAAAATTTTGGGGACTATCATCCTGCGGCGCATGCCGGGGTCCTGCTGTAACTCTCAATTAATATTTACTGTCGTTCTCGAAAAGCTTGTCCAAGTTTTCCCGCCAAATTGCTCGAGTTTTGCGGGAAAACTCGGACAAGCTTTTCGAGAACGATAGTAAGGTCTACATATGTGATATCAAGTCTGCTGTGTTTTGCTGTGAAGTCGTATATACATTTTTTGCTGTGAAGTCGTCAACTTCGTCAACTTGTTCAATCTATAAACTTATCAAAGTCCCACGCTCGCCCATCCTCCGCGAGCATGGGACTTTGATAAGTTTATTCAATCTACAATCTTCATCAAGTTTGCCTCACAACTTCACTTACTGATTTTAACCTGGAGAACATCACATTCTAACTGCGATATCCTCAAACCAAGTTTAAACCGTCAAGGGTTCTTGATTGATTGGTACTTATCTTCATCCGCTTACCCCTACATCGTCCAGACCGAACTAATGTTGATTCGATCTGAAAAATAGCTTTGTTCGCATAAACCCGAAACAAAAACCGAAGAAAGAGAAAGATGGAGTCCGTCAAAAAACGTTTTCGTAGAACTTCAAAGAATGTTATGGATCAAAAACCAAAACAAGAGCAAGATAAAGAACCCAAAAAGTAAAGATCATTGTTTGATCTTCATTGAGATGAAGGTTTGGAATTCTAACTCGTTGTTTCGAATTTGTAGAGCTCGTGGTAAAGGTAGAGTTTATGATATCATTAATGCTGGGTTTATGGCACTTCGAGGACTTTCAGGTGGTGGTGGATACTACGCAGGTCGTCTTTAAGCTCAAACAAATTTACCAACTCCTCAAATTGATGATCTAACACAGCCTTCCAGACTCATTTGGAGGGCTCGATTGAAAGGTTATGACTTTTGTCTTTATTATGAAGATTTGATTGATCTGGAAGAAGATTCAAGACAATCAATAGATTGGCGAGAATCGTTTTTAATTTTGTCCTGACCTTGGATTACTTTTCTTGGTATTGCAGCCTTGTAATTTTGTAATTTTCTTGTAATAGTTCTGGTGATTTTTGAGAATTCGAGCTCCGTTGAAAGTTTCGTTTCCTTGAGCGCTGACAATTGAACCTCACATATCATTCGATATCAAGTTGAGTCAAGACTGTTATGATGAAGACGCTGTGATGTCCTGTGATGTCATTTTCAGGGTCATATTGTTGAACATGATGACGTCATTTACGTCTTGGTCAAGAAGGATATTAAGAAAAGGTAGGCAAGAGCCTCTCGCTCATTTTTTGCGACATGGTCTAGTGAGATAAAGATCACTCTCCTTTGAACATATACACAATCTCGATTTAGGTGAGAAGGACTATGTAGGCCCTGGACCCACCTGGACCCCATCTGTCTGAATCATAATGGGCGCATACTTTGAGAGGCTATGCAGCTTTACATGACTGAGGAAAGTTTCAAGTTTCGTCCTTGACCTTAAGATTGTGCAACAACTTTATGAATGAGATCTCTTCTTCTTCAGACCAAAACTTTACCCCACTTATCGATCCAATTTCCATAACGCCAGAATTTTAATCATCAACATTTATTGTCAGTTTCTCTGGCCTTTCCTTTTGCTCCTTTCTTCCCTGAAGTTGATCTTAATCTTAATCTTGATACTCATAATCGTTTTACTATCGCCACAGAACCAACTCTCTCTCTCAAAACATATAAAGATGGGTTTCTTACAAAGACTTTGCTTCGGATCGTCACACCATCATCATCATGATGACGACAGGTAACAATTCATTCGTCTTGAAGCTTAGCTTTAGTTGAGGTTGCTCAACTTTGATTTCTTTTGGGAACGGCTCTAGGTATCGTTATGGTGGACGTCGACCTTTCGGTCTGTTTGGTGGTGGATTGGGTGGGCATCATGGTGGACATCACGGTGGATATTATAGTGGCCATCATCATGGTGGTCATCATCATCACGGCGGCCATCATCATCATGCAGGCCATCATCACCATCACGGAGGTCATCATCACCATCACGGAGGTCACCACCACCATGGAGGGCATCATCATGGAGGGCATTGCTAAGATCTAGTACGAGGATGCATCTCCCTGTGAACGCTTCAATCTTATACGTAGCAATTTCTTTGTCCACTTTTATACACTTTCTCCGAGCGCTTTTTTAATCATCATCAAACAGATTGTAGCGTTTTTATATCTCTGTTCCAGAAGATTGTATTTTTTACCAAATGAATGAGCAAATTATGGAGCAAAATGACTTGAATTCACCAATGCTCCTGCAGATATGTTTGTGCACTGTATCAGAATAAGTGGTCCAAAAAAAAGCGCCCACCACCTTGCTACACTTTATTGTAAAGTCTACTTCGACAGCACATATCTCTGCACAAATTCAAAAACACAATCCATAGAAGGTTACAATTTATGGACACAGCCATATTTGGTACATTTGGTGCCAAAATAAAGAGGTGAGAATACATTCCATTGTTGCACACTCGAGTCTCGAGTCACTATTACTTGCAGATGGCCCTCTTTTGCAATCTTAATCATGTAGGTGTAGTTCGTATCTGGCTTTGATTTCCATATGCCCCCTAACTCCACTCTTGGGTGGTCCTTTCCCTTTCAGAAGTCGCCATGTCAGGACCCCGGAAAGCTCCTATGGAACCATCCGACGGGAAATGACGAAAAATTGACTGTTTGATACCTCAAAAAAGTTGTTTTTTGAGGCCTTTGATACCAATTTCGTCGGTAACATCCGACGGTTTTTGCCTTGATTTGGGCAGTTTTGCTCCTTTTCCGCTGGTAACATGCTGTATTCCGCGGGTTTACCTCTGTGACATGCCATTTCATACAGATTTGATACCTGTATTGCTATTTTACGTCGGTATGTTGTTACAGCTCTTTTTTGAAAATTGGCCGATTGATACGTATTTCGTCGGTAACTCAGCCAAAATCTCGACCCCCGATTGATACGTTTTTCGTCGGATGGTTCCATAGGGGCTTTCCGGGGTCCTGCCATGTCAGCAAACATGTACTCTGGAGAATGATGGTGAGTTGTGAACTTGTGACGTCAATTCATGCGTGTTCTACTCTTGTTGAATGTCGCGTGAGTGATACCTTCTTCGGGCATGACCCGCGAGAGAAACCGGAGTTCGGATATCGGCCAACGGTTACATCATCGACTTGATTGATACCACCAATTCATTCCATAACCATCAACTTTCACTTCCACACTGGCAGTTCATCCTAATCTTTACTGTCGTCCTCCTACAGACTGGATAGCAATCTTCGCTTTCAAATCTAAAACGCGAAGTACAATCAAAAGCCTTTATTCACACTCTTTTATTCTTCACACTCGGAATTTTCGTAATATGGCACCTCTCCCTAAGCATAATTATGAGTATGATCTCGTGGTGATCGGTGGAGGTTCAGGTGGATTAGGTTGTGCAAGAAGAGCGGCTCAGTATGGTGCAAAGGTAGCGATTATTGAACGAACTCCTGTTTTAGGTGGGACCTGTGTCAACGTCGGTGAGTCTTTTTGATTTTCTTTCGATCAATTCAGAAGATAAGCTTCTTCGACGACAGAGATAATCTCACTGACAATAATTTTCGAATTCCGAATGATCATGAATGACAGGTTGTGTACCAAAGAAAGTAATGTGGCATGCAGCTGATGTTAGGGAAAAGTTAAAAGCTGCAACTCATTACGGAATGAAAGTAGAAAACATTCCAGAGTTCGATTGGTCAGAAATGAAGAAAAAACGTGATGCTTATATCGAAAGATTAAATGGAATATATGAAAAGAATTTAAAGAATGATGGAGTAGAATATCTTACTGGTCATGCACGTTTTATTGATTCACATCAACTTGAGATTTCTAAAGGAATTCAATCTACTCATGCTCATTCTCAAGCTGATCCGACTACCAAAGTCACTGCTCCTGATGGTATTAAAACTATCACGGCTGAAAGGATCGTGATCGCTATTGGAGGTCGACCTGTGTTACCTGACATTCCGGGATCTGATCTTGCGATAGATTCCGATGGATTTTTTGTTCTCGAATCTCTTCCAAAACGCGTAGCAGTGGTCGGCGCTGGTTATATTGCTGTCGAATTAGCTGGGATCTTTCATACACTCGGTGCTGAAACTCATTTATTGATTCGACACGAGAAACCACTTAGATCATTTGATCCGATCATTCAAGATACTTTGCATAAACATATGGAACATACTGGAATCAGAATTCATCCAAATTCAAATGTTTCTAAAATCACTACCTCTGAGAAGGGTCCCTTTGATCTCACTAAACCTTTCGAGAAAGTGGTTGAAACGAAGGAGGGCGAAAGGATTACAGTAGATTGTGTTCTCTTTGCTATTGGACGTAAACCTCTTACAGATTTAATCGACTGTGACAAGGCAGATGTAAAGTTGGATAAGAAGGGTGATGTGATTGTAGATGAGTATCAAAAGACGAATGTGGATCATATCTTTGCGATCGGAGACGTTCAAGGTAAAGCTCTTCTTACGCCTGTGGCAATTGCTGCAGGAAGAAGATTGAGCAACAGGTTATATGGTGGCGTGAAAGATGACAAGATCAGCTATGACAATATTGCTACTGTCGTCTTCTCACATCCTCCTTGCGGGACAGTAGGTTTGGTGAGTCTTGTAACTCTATCTTGATGATTTTTTACACTATGCTCAATGTTTTCGACCTTTACAGACTGAAGATGAAGCCAAGGAAAAGTATGGAGAAGAATCGATCAAGACTTATACATCTAAATTCACTGCTATGTATTATGCTATGATGCCAGCAGATGAAAAGGAACCGACAGCGATGAAATTGGTCTGTTCTGGTCCTGAAGAGAAAGTGGTAGGGATTCATATGATTGGAATGGGTAGTGATGAGATCACTCAAGGGTTTGCTGTGGCGATTAAGATGGGCGCAACTAAGAAAGATTTAGATGATACGATTGCTATTCATCCTACTAGTGCTGAAGGTATGTTTCTTTTTTACTTTTCTGACTAAAGTGAATCATGTTCTCCAGATCGGTTGACGAATTTTGAATGGACGTATGGAATTTTAGAGCTTGTGACGATGAGATAGGTACAGATTCACCTTGATCTTATGAAGGACTTTGATGCTCAATCAATGGGTTCATCAATAGATTGGGTCTGTTATCAAACTCTCAGGACTATCATTTTCATTGGATATCTCTGAAGACTTTATTTTTTTGTGTTTTGCTGATGATTTCAATTATGTACTTGAGGAATGCGAAAAATGTGTTACTATAAAAAAAGCAAAAAAAAAGCATCTGATTCAAGATTTCTTTTGTCTTTTTTGGATTTCATGCTGATCAAACAATTGTAGTTTTTGTAAAATTTGACTGGAAAGATTCTTGCAAAAATATATACATACAGCTATTCAAGAGATCAATGTCCTGTTCCAACTTGTTTATTTTGTTCTTCTTGAAGGTTCATGTCAAAATAGGCCAAATCTAGCCATGTATCAGGCAAAGGATGCACCCAACTGAACAAGAAACTTCTGATACAGGCCTGTATTGTGTAAATCTTTGCTTGAGGGTCTGTGAATCATTGACAAAATCAAAAACAGTTTTTTTGAGCAGGTCATGAATTTCTTGAATAGCTGTATATATATATACTTTGTATGCCTCTTGTAACAGTCAATTAATGGTGTGTTGACTTAAGCAAATTTTACTCAGAACTTGCTTTTTACAAATATCAAAGTGTTATTGGGTAAGAAATTTCTGACCAGAAATCACATTCTATAAAATTTAAAACAGACAAAAGGAACATATGGGATATGACCAGCATTTTATAATTCAAGAATGTGATTTTTGGTCGGAAATTCCTGAAACAAATACATCCTTAGGTTGGTGGAGTAAGGTTCATCTTTGCATTTTAAATATTGAAGGATGTGCTTAAGTGAAGAGACCCTAACTCACTCCCATTAGAATAAAAACTCTGGGGGGAAGAATCAGATGAAGATTGTGCAAGTGGCTTACCAAAACGTGCACTTGGACATGTATCTCATCATTCAAGCTGTATCAAGGGGATCTCTGGGGTCTGCTGTACCATTTATCTGGACATATGTTGGTTTTAAAGTGCAATGGACTGTAATCACCAGAAAATTTCCAAGTGGGAGGGGGAAAACAATTAAGAGTATGATTTGTTGTAAAAGGATCTGTCACTTTGCACCTGAGCCATAATACCCAAAGTGCCCGTCTGGGCTGCCCCAGACGTAGGGGGCTTCAAGAGGTACAAAGGCTTGCTCAAAGGTCTCCAACATCCAGTATGTCCTCTATGGGCACAGTGACCCACACTACATATGTTCAGTAGGATGAATAAATTGGTAGATATCATGTACATATAAGTCCACTTGGTTATCTACTCATATGAATAAGCAAATCACATGTGATACATTCTGTAACATTTTCCAGTTTGATAAAATCACTTCAAAAATTGACTACACACACTCATGACTGGAAGTTTTGGTGTAATCTCATCAACTAAACTTCATGTAACACTCTTTCTGTTACTGTTGAATGGCTTCAATAGTACTGCCTGAGTAGCTATGAAGGTAGATGTAGTCAATTCTCTGGAAAATTTTCCACAATCATGCAAATTACATGATGTATCACAAGTGATTTACTCATTCAGATGACACCGCGGGAATCATTAAGTGTGAAACCCAATTGAGCAAAGTCGTGGTGTCCGGGTCCGTGACTTTTTTCAATTGCGGATCTTGTTTGCCATAGGTTTGCTATAGGTTTGCTAGCTTGCATTGAGCTGCCCTCGAGTTGTCTGCCTGAGCTGCAGTACATGTTATGCATGTTTTTCCTTTCAATATCCTCAGACCACTCAAGATCGTGTATGAGTCATGAGCTTTATTATGTATATGTTACAAGAGTCTAGACATATGGTACGTCCATTAGTCCATACTACAGCCTGAGTGAATGACTAGGTAGAGGGCAGCTCGAGACAAGCTTGCAAACCTATGGCAAACCTGTGGCAAACAAGATCCGTGATTGAAGGAAGTCGCCGACCCGGACACCGCGACTTTGCTCAATCCGGTTTCACAGTTAATGATTCCCGCGGTGTGAGCAGAGAACTGAGCAAACCTGTATGTACATGATAGTTAACATTTTACTTGGCTTGTTGCACATATTTAGTGTAGGTGTTATGGCTCAGGTGTGAAGTGCTAGATCCTTTTACACTGAATCATACTCTTGATTATTTTCCGCCTCCCACTTTGGGAAATCTTTTGATGTTTACAGTGATGGTTGACCTTGCTTGACTTTTGGGTCTCAAAGATAGTTTGAGAGGAATGAAATAATGTGACATTGAAAAGAAAAGAATTGGGAAACAGTAGGAAAAAACAATCTTGCTAAGCCAAATGTAACCACATAGATAGGGGTGATAGTCCAAGAGTATGGATAGTGATCAGAACTCAAACACATCATGGCAGCTCTGGCAGATTTGTGGTCTCTGATTCACATCAAACTACATATACTCATAAAGTTGTATACATTTTTGAATTGTCTATCATCTCTTGGAAGGGTTAGAATGCAGAGTAGCCTCTGTGAAAGGAAAGATCAAGTAAAATTTTGATACAAATGCTTCTGTCACATGGGACCTGTCCACCATTTCTCAAGACTCTCATACTTTTTTATCATGTTGAATTTTCAAAGAATTCCTAATACAGTGTCTCACTTTTCAAGCGTTTGAATTTGCCTCTGGGAATCTTGTGCTATGTAGAAACATTTTGATATGTTGATCAGATTCAAATCTAGAAAAACAAAATGAAAATTCAGTTTGAAATTCACTCACCTCAATACAAAACTCCATTTCAAAAAACTGTCCATCCTTTTCAATCATCTGTTGCATCACTTCACGAGCATAATGAATTTTGAATTGTCTTAAAAGGTTTTGTGTTTTAGGATTTTGAATTTGTGTGAGCTCATGTAAAGTTGAATCATAAGTTTTTAACCATTCCCAAAAGATATCCCAACTGATGACAGTCCATTTTGGAGTAAGGGTAGCAAATTCTAAATGATGGATAAGTTGAACAGACGAATTTCCTCTTGGTGACTCTTTGTGTTCATTCATATCTTTCCAAATTGGTTTGTTTATATTTTCCTCTACGTAATGAAGGTATTCAAGTGCTTTATTTTTTAACCATTTACGAAAGAATTCACTTGCTGATACATATACGGTTGGTGTATTTGTGAACTTTTCTCCAAGTTTATAATCTTTAGTTATCATGCTTAAATCTTGTGTCAATTTGCAAATCCATGAAACCTGACGTATAAAGATTGGGAAGATGATATGCTCTGCTTTGAATGACACGATACTATTGAAAGTCTTCATATTCAACTGAGCCAGGTGTCGACTTAAATTCTTGGTCATGGATTTTTCAACTGAACCATAAGCACGAGACATATCCTCAAAGAGTTCTTTGTTTTTCTCAATGATTTGTTTTCCTTGATGCGCATAAGTGAATACCAAATCACGTGTTTTACGATAAGATTCTTCATGACTCCTTCTAAATGATCTATGAACTTCTCCCTGTTGTCTTAAGTGATTTCTAATCTTTATAAGAAGAGAGCTGTTATTGGATGGAGGATTAACTTGTTTAGGTTTTCGAGTTGATGGATTTGTCATCTCTTGAGAAGAAAGTTGTGTTTTTCTTTCATTTTGTTTAGGAATAACCTTTTCACTCAAAATGTTTTCAGGGATTTGTTGGCTGTCTGTGTGATCATCTGCTGGAAACATTTTCTTTTGTTTCCTTTTGGTTTTAGACCTCCAATCGTTGGTAGTGTCGATTTGAATGCTCTGCTCATATCCATGAATGTCTTCAGTCCTTTTTCCATTGACAGTACTGCTTCCTGATAGCTGGATGTCTAGGATATTTTTGAGTTCCAAAGCGATTATTGTCAGTACTAGATTTGTATTTTGTAAAAGCATACATCAGATAATACCTGGAGTAGCTTCATCAACCAATTTTCTCTCTTTTTGATTTGACTCTGTGGAAGATTTTGACAAAATGTTTTGCTTCAGATCTCTGGAAGTCTTGCCATTTTGAACAATATCCATTTCTTTGAACGATACTTTGGATTGCTGGTCATCAAGCTGGTCGTATTTTTGTTCCACGGAATTCATCAGCCCTGAAGTTGGAATGTAAGGATCAGTTATTTGTAAATTCCTTTTGAAATTCTGCTGGTTTGAAGGGATCCTGACCATGTTCTGACTGCGATCCTATCTCATGTCGATTGGTTTTGCTGCCTGATATATCTTCCAAATTCTTGGTTCTGAGAAGCTTAGCAGGTGTCGAACCTATCATCTCCACATCCCGGTCAGAACCCTGAATGTTTTTATTTTGTATTTTCCTTGTGTCTTCTGAGTTGAGATATTTTGTCTTACGACCAATACCTAGCGAGCTTTTGAATACTGTACCTTTTGATCTCAGTTATTTGTTTTCAATGAGAATCCGTTGAATAGACTCACGATCTGATTTCCTCTTGTATTCATTCCACTCATGCAGAGCTGTTGACTGTTGGATACCTTGAGCCTCACTGACACTAGCGTGTTTTCTTTTTGCATTTTGGAAGGGTTCATTTGAGTCATTATTTGTATTCATAGATTCCAATTCTCTTATTTTTCTTTCTATAATTTCATTCACAACTAGAATTAGTTTATTAACCCAGTATGATAGTCAATGGACAGGAATTACCTTCAACTGATTCAGAATCATATTCACTAGCCTTTTTGTTTGATTTGATCGCCTGAGAAGCTAAATTCTCCAGCCCTTTATCCATTACTTGTTCTCTAGACTCAGTTGCATCCTTCCCTATGCTATGATCTGGGGACTGTCCCAAAGGTTTGGTAGTCTTTTTAGAGGCATTTGGGTATTTGAGTTCTATGATTTCACCAGGTCAACCCACCGGCATCAGCTTGGATCTGTATCTTCTAGAACAGTCATGACTTCAAAGCATACCTTTGTTGATTCCAGTGAGCTGGATGTTAGCCAAATTTTCAAAGTGTTCACTAACTGGGCGCATGATTTGCTCTAGTTGTTTTCTGAATTTTTCATCTGATTTGGATTCCTTTTTTGTGGGCTTTGCATGCTTCTGAATGTGATTTGCTCTTTGATCCCTTTCACTGGCAGGATATGGAAATTTGGCCTTCACATTATTATCTTGTGAGACACATTCTAAGATTGATATCAAGTCAGTTCAAGATTGATTACTTTTGTTATTGCAATATGGAATTTCACCTTTCAGTGGATTATCAACTGAACTGAGATCTCCATTACTGTAATCAACAACAGATGTTGACTTCAAAACATTGTCCAGATCAGGCATTTTCCTAGTTTTCTTTTTCAACCAGTTTTTCTCAATTGTTTCAATTGAAATGACATCATTAGATTCAGATGAGGAGACACTTTTGGTTGATTTCAATAGATCTGTTTTTCAAAGAAATCAAAAATTAACTAGAACCACATGATTTCATAACCATTTTTCAAGGCTCACCTTTCATTGCTTTTGACTTGCGGATCTTCTTGCTTGATAAGGTAGGTTGCAACCCAACATATTTTCCAATGTGAAGATCTCTTCTCTTAGTTTTGTCTTTTGCCAAATGATCTTGTGTATCTGATTGTCTGGAGTCCATTGAGCAAGGTGCCTTAAGGGCCTTATTTTCTACCATCCACAAAATCAGTGCTCAGTGCAAATCAATTCCATGCAGGACTGCACATACTGGACAAGGTACCTTCAGAGGGTTTGATTCTTGGAGAATCCATTGGAGTAGTCTCTTTTGGGTTTTCAAACTCATCCCAAGAACTCATGACTGAATTGATATCATCAAGATGATATCCTTTGTAATGATTTGCTGTAATTGGATTAAAGAACTTAGAACCCTAAACACAATTTATTTGATGGATTTTATTTTCAAGAGGAGTATGAAAGAAGAACTAAACTTACTAAATGGATGATGATCAATCATGGTGAGATCATTTTCTAAACCATTTGGAATCTTCTGATCAAAACTCATCACTTGATCATTTTCAGAAACTTTCCAATTTCCAAGAATTATACTTTCTACTGAGATAGGTTGAACTAATGTATTCAGATCATCATGTATCTTCTCACTAGAAAACTTAAAGCAATCTTGACCTTTTCTATAACCATTCTCCTTAAGATTCTTCTCAATTGTCCTTGGTGTTAAGATTTCTCTTGTGAAGGATAGAAAGACTTGTTTGGGAATCATTAAGCATATGAAGAAAGAAAACCATTTGGAAGGACAAAACATTGTTTTTTTTCTTTTTGTGGAATGTGATCAAAGATTAGGATCACAATGAATTCTTGAAAATTGGATTGAAATCAATATGGATACGAAGGATCACCACCAAACAAATCATTCAGTCATGTTTGATGAAAGTGAATAGTTTAAATATTATAATCATGTAGCTCATCTTTAATTCCATGTTTCAATCAAGTATCTCCAATAGTATCTGTGCACTGATTTTGAAACATTCAATCAAGGCGTGTATGGAGATAAAAGAAACTTAATTTAGGATCTTGTTACCACGTAAGCTTCATGAATATAGAAAATAGTGATTGTATGTCTTGATAATATGCTTAACTCCTTAGATTAGATTTGAATTTTGCTCAAGAAACATGTCTTTACATAAGCTGCCTGTCTCCCATTCAACTTGAGGTTTCATCAAACACTTGATCAGACATATCCATACCCACAATTGATCAATGTTTTCTAAATTTCTAAGCATACTTGTTTGAAGATGTCAAGCATTAAATCAAGTTTATGTATTGTACATCTTGTCACCACAGAGTATTCCATCGGAATCATTAACTCGGGTTTCTCAAGTAATTAAATTTTCATAAAACAAACGGTTTTACATGATACAAATCAAAACGAGATAAAAACTACAAGAAAAAGAAGTCAAATATCAAATCAAATCACTAGACTGATGATTAGACTGATGATTAGAATTAGAATTAGCAGTAGGAGAAGTCGAAGAAGAAGAAGAAGAAACAATGGAATCCATTTGACCATTCCAACCAGGAGCCAATCTATGAAGAGTTTGAAGTTTATTTAACCGAAGTTGATGTTGGATTTCTTGTTTTTCAATCAACTTAAGTTGTTCTCTTTTTGATAAATAATCATTTGCTGATTGGTATTGGGTTTTTAAATTTTGTGCATTTGTTTTTAAGTTTGATAAATAATTTAATGATGAACTTTCTAGTGTATATGGATAAACAAACTGAAAGTGAAGATGTGGTTTTTTGGTGTGAAAGGTTTAAATGCATTAGTTTTCTTTAATAGAAGAAAAAAACAGGAATTGAAGATTACTTACATAGGCTGTTATGTCATCTGGCATTGGATGTAAATCGGCTGGTAAGACGATCTGTGATTGAGATGAAACGTAAAAGTTAAGAGATATGATCGAATGTATGGATGATGGATTTGAAACTGACTGGTTTAGGTAACCAAGTTCCAGGTGCTTTGATGAGAGGAATGTTATTAAGTAATTCGTAAGGATGATGTGAGTTATTTTTTTGTTGTTGACTAGAGCCAGCTGAAGGTTTGAAGTCCATCTTTTATTCTGATGAGTTGGTTTGTTGGTCTTGAGAGTTTGTTAATGAGGTGATCGAGATACTTGAGAAAGTGAGTGAGATCCAATGACGTGAATGGGTCAAGACAGGTCAAGACTCAAGTTTAGAGTGAGACTCAGAACAGTTAAGGTACATAGCCATTTAAGCTACTTAAGCTTATGTAGTTGAGTACCCTATTGAGTTGAAAGTTGAAAGTTGAAATTTGAAAATGCAAACCAACCAATGAATTACTTTTTACCTTCAAACTCACTGACTTCTTATCATCATCATCATCAAAAACAAAAACAAAAACAACAAAACCAATCAAGCTCAGCAAAAAGAAACACTCTAGAATCTCATCTTGATCATCATGAAACATCCAATATTGAAGATTGGACTCAAATCGAATTAAACTCAACTTCTACTTCAAATCATCCATCAAGTTCATCTGATATTATAAGCACCAACCCAAAAGAAACTGAAACATCAACTAACATCAGAACCGTCGATTCACCTATTACAAACTTAGATCAAAGTCAATTAATTTCTAAATTATTACCAAACGAAGATCACTTACACGAATCTCAAGTTGATTCTTTAACTGATTTTGATCCACAAGCATGGAAAAGAGGTGAAGAAGTGACTAAAGATCATTCGTCTCATTACGAAACCCTTAAACCGAACTTGATACCGATTTCGAACCAACTTAAGAAAATCAATATCATGAAACCTAATGAACTTGAATCGAAACTATCTTATCAAATCCCTGTATCATCTTCATCTAATTTAACTAATCTAAACAAACCCTTTGATGAAGTTTCTCAATCTTCAAATTTAAATCAACCATCGAATTCGAATTTACCAAGATGGAGACCATACCTTTCTATATCTCGAAGAAAATCTAAAACCCTAATTTCAAAGAAACCTATTGATGAAATTCCGATTAAAGAAACCAAAGTAAATGAAAACCAAATTCCAAAAGCTTTAAACAAACCAAATCCGAAAAAAGAAAATGAAGAAGAAGATGATGATCAGAGTGTTAAGAATCGATGGTTTAAGATCGATTACAAAACTTTGAAGTTTATTGGAATTAGTAGTTTAGTCATCATCTTTGGAATAGGAATCGGAACTAAGTAAGTGATACTCCTTTTCTTTTCGAGATTTACATCATTTTTTTTCTGATGATTTTTTCGGGGGGATTAGGAAACGAATCAATTTGAACAAATTCAAGTCTATGATCTTCAAATCATTTAAACCTTTATCAATCTTTTAACCAAGTTTTAAAACCCCTTTCAACTTCATTTCCCTTTCTACATCGTTTTTTTTACAATCTTCAACTATCTACCTCATCTTTTTTTCTTTCTTTGCTTCATCTCTTGTAAACTTATTTTTGCATATCTCTTTTTCTCTATCTATATCTCTATCTAAACACGCATTGCAATCTTTCACTTACTTATGATGATCATGATTTTTTTTCTCGATTTATGTGTGTGTGTATGAGTATGTAACACTTTGTAAACCTTTGTTCAAAGTATCTTATTCAATTTTTAGTTTTCAATATCTGCATGTCTTTGTGATTCATAATTTAACTGAACTTGAGTTGTATGAGGATTTCGAACCACCTGGTTTTGAGTCTTGACCACATTTTCCTTTAACTGGGATCCTAAATAAGTGTTGAAAATCTGATCCCATCAAAGTTGTTAGACTAGGGAGTAAACGTATCTGTTCACCTTTCACGGTTTTCTACTACTTTACTCGATATAACTGTATCCAAACTTGAAGATACCATTGAAAGGAACTGAGAAAATGACGTATCGTAAAGCTTTGGCTACTAAAGTTCAGAGCTTTCAAAGTGCTACGCTACTTTGTCGAATATCGTAACAGTCATAGGGTTGCCGAGTGATATGAAATAAGATTTTCGAAATCTCATGTTTCTTTTTGAAATCAAAAAATGCACTATGTATACACATCCGATCTTATAATCAACCATGGCTAAATTGATTCAACAGAAGAACCTCAAGGAATTGAGAAGGAGAAGTCTGTTTAAAGAAAAGACTTTTAAGAGGTGACCACTGACCCGGGCTGACTTCCAGAAACATGTCGGATAAATTGAGTTCAGGGCCGGGTCAAAGCCTTAAGAACTTATGAGTGTGACCGCTTGAACAGTGATGATCAGTTCTCTTAAAACATCGATTTACTTTGTAGCAGACTCAGAGAATGGAAAGCTCAACCAAACCAGAAAGTTCACATCAAGTTCAACAAGCCAACTCAATCAATCAATCCAAACACCATCATCCATCTTCAACCACAAACTCAGAATTAGAATCAAATCATTCGATCAATACACCAATCCCTTCATTAACTTTAAGTCTTTTTCAACATTTGTTTGATGATCGATTAACTTGGCAAAGAAAGATAGGATGTATGACAGCCACTTTAGCTATTAATCTTTTTTTACCTTTTGTAAATGGGATCATGTTAGGTAATCTAAACCCCTCCCTTCCCTTCATCCCTCTGCCTCGAATTTCTTTCTACTTTCATATCAGAATTGATGAATTGTTTTTTTTTCTTTGGTGATGTTTTTTTTTTCTTAGGGTTTGGTGAAATCGCTGCTCGTGAACTTGTTGGAAAATATTTTGGATGGGGAATTGGACCGTTTAAAGAATCGTATCGAACAAATTCACAAACTCAACTTACAAAAGAAGATGAATTGATACTTATTGAACCTAGTCTTCAAATCTCAACAGATCAAAGTCGGTGGTGGAAACCCAGCAATCAAACTAAAATTGATCAAAGGTGAAAATAAGAAACCGGTTTAAACGTCTGTTTTTTTAGTAAGACATTGGATTTTTAGATTGGGTGAGTGGATCACTGAAATAAAAAGAGGACCGATTGTTGGAAAGCAGATTTTTAACTTTTTTTTGCTTCTTAAGACGGTTGAACGGTAAAGTCATAGATATATAGATCATGTAAGTTCTTACCTCCTTCTTTCTTTAAAGTCTGTAGCTTGGTATCTTGACACCACTTTCAATACTTTGGATCATAGCCAATCTGTCTCTGGTCACGCTCTAGTTATAAACCTGAACCAAGTCCTTCCCAGTACGTGGGATGTTGTAATCCGATCTGGTTCCTAAACACGTTCAACAATTTGGAATCTTGATTTAAGATATTTATAGAAACTCAAAAAAATTGAAAAACCAATCAAACCTATTTGATTTGAAATCAATTTCTATAAATTGTACTCTGAATGAAATGTAAAAAGATTAAAAATAAAGTCAAAGTCAAGAGAAAGAAATCACTTCAATCAAGTTGGTTTCAAATCATCCTACATACTTCTTTGAATCTGATTTTCACCCTTTTTTTTCTTCCAATCTATATATGTACAATTACATAAAGTAAACTACTCCCCCAAGAAGAATTGGAAAACATGCTTTAAGTGAAGTTTTTTGGGGGGGACTACTTTTTTCGAAATGGCCTTTTAGCAATGTTTGTCTTTTGTGCATTTTTTTAAGATTCAGGCAAGAATTTTGTAAAGAAAAAAATCTGCATAAAACCAAGATACATATTTTCAATTTTGGTACACCTAAAAACCTGTCAATGCCAATATAATATGTATTTTTCCAAGGGTGAAAAATGATTACATTTATTTTTCAAAATGATTAGAAATGGATTACTTGTGCATCAATTCTTCATTTTTCTGAATTAGGTCTGCATTATTAATCATTTTGTGCATTATTCATCATTTTGTGCATTAAACTCAATCAGTTTTTCACCTTGGAAAAATACATTATTTTTTGCAGTGTGATAGCCTTTGGCTCACGAGGCACTTTAAGCAATGCATAAGAAAAAAACAGCTTCTTGAGAAGCTCATTGATCCAGAATTTGTTTTCTCTGATGGGTCTTTGATCCTAATTATATATCAATCTTGACACTTCTCTTTACTTTTTTTACCTCATTATTTGCTTGTCTAGTTTTTCTTTGTTTGATAGTTCTTTGGGGTTTCCTCAAATTGCTTTCAATCTACATAAATTTACTGATCATAAAAACCCTGAGATGTTCTTAAAGAAATCTTAATTTGATAAACTTTATACAAATCTTTATGAATTTGGGATTTCTTTTTGATGGTCAAAGTTATTGAATCACTTTGACTTGAGCACACCTACAACTGTTGTAAGATCTATTGGAAGATTTTGAGGGCTTTGTGTTGTTGCTAGATTTAATGTAGAGGTCAAAAACTTGAAAAAGCCCTTTTGAGATTGATAACTCTATATACTGCCCATTGGTCCAATCAGGACCCTGGAATGCTCCTACTAAGGCGTCTGACCAAAAATGTCAGGTTTTGGCCTGTTTGAGCTCAGATGTATCTGTCCAAAAATGTCGGGTTTTGGGTTTTGGGAGGTTTACCGCGCATATGTATCTGACCAGAAATGTCGGGAAATTGGTCCTTTTGTGACATTTATGGGGTTTGAACCCACAGTAGTGTGGTTTTTGTCAAATGACCGGAGCTTTTTTGCGGATACCAGGGCTTTTACCCGGGTATCAAGGCTTTTCTCCGGGCCCGTCGCTTGGAGGTATCTGACCAAAAATGTCGGGTTTTGCCAAAAAAAAAAATTGCGACCAGCGTAATGTCGGGTTTTACGTCAGACGCCTCAGTGGGCGCATTCCAGGGTCCTGTCCAATCTGCACCAGGACAATAGAGCTCAGTCTGATAGTGATATAGCTTAGAGTTTATGACTTCAAAAGTTAAATCTGGTAACAACAAAACTTTTCAACAATCTTCCAGTAGATCTTACAATGACTGTAATCTCCTTTTCATTTCACTCAAGGTCAGCACAGGCCCCAGGGTGTTAACAAAGTGGAATATGTGACATGGCAAAAGACACACTGGCAAGTAGGTTACACGTGCAAGTTACTCTCAAAAGAGGTGCATCAAAAGAGTAGCATCAAAAGGCAAATGACAGACTCCCCCAATGAGTCAAGTTGTGCCACAAGCAATCACATCATCATTCCATTCCTCTTTAATTCCTTTTTTCAGTTGTTACATTCTTGTTATTCTCTATCAAAAAAAAATGTGTCTTGAAAAATCAAAAAATAAAACATAATCCAAGTTTCAAATTTTATATTCCTCAAATTATACAGTATTCTTCATAATTGTTATTTTTCAAACATTAGTTATAGTTTCCTTGTTCAGGTCAAAAAAAAAATCTTTGCCACCCACCACCCTTTCTGTCAAACAGAGGGTTAAGTTTTATGTGGTGCATAAGTTGTCCTTTTTTTCACACAGTTATTGTTATCCTTGCAGTAGAGCAGGGAGCAACACAGTGGGATAGCTCAGCACCAAGTATGGCCACACACAGTGCTCTCTCTTACCTTTCTTGCCCCGGGTCAAAAAAAACTGCAATGTCAGGCCCCGGGCCACTATGAGTAGCACAAGTGACTGTCTGTCAAAATGAGTCAAAGCTGATTCCTTTGTTTCTCTTTGATCTTGACCACATCTTTGATTATGTACATAAACTGATCTTTTTCTCAAGGATCAGTTTTTTGAATCATAACTCTTGGAATTTTTTTTTGAAAGTTTAAATTCAAAGATACTTAAAACTGATTCAAAAATAAGTAAATAAGTAGACTGCATAACATTTTGAAAAGATAAAAAGAGTTGAAAATCAAAGAAAAGATGGGGAAAACTGTTACCAACTGAGAGTTTTTTTCATCATTGTAAAGTTGCTTACATGAGGTTTAAATCTACTCCAAAACTTGTCATTTTTGAAATGTGAAAGGAGTACAAGAAGAACACACTGGGCTCTTAAAGTTACTCTAGAAGTGTTAACCAAGAAAATTCTGGATCTCACTTCTTGAGACTTCTCAACTCTGTGTACTTCTCAGATCTTGGAAAACTCATTAGATTTATACATACAGTCAATTTACAAAAGCTTGACCAAAGTTGCCTGGCAAACTCCAGCAATTTGGCAGGGAAATTGTGACAAGCTTTTCTGAAAGTTCCCTTTTTTATTCTTCATTAGTGATATTTTTGGTGCCAATTGTTGTGGTTTTTCAGTATGGTTGGTCATTTATGGTTCTTTTTGTTGTGGTTTATTTAGTCAAAAATATTGTGTTTTTTAGGGTTTTGTTATTTGAGGAGGTTTTTTTATTCAAGTTTCTTTTGTTTATGCAGTCTTGAGGCTTGGACATTTGTATCATTTTTGGTTTTTTTTTGTTGTAATGCTTGTTTCACTTGGCACTATAGGTTACATTTTTTATGAGTTTCATGTTTTTTTACAATTGTTATTTTCTTTGGCTACTAGCCACCCTGTAAGATGTTATTTTTGTTGTTATCATTGGTTAAGAAATTATCAATCCTAGGCAGGATCTTTACTCACACATCACATCTCACTGTTTTAGTGTTTTTGACATAATTTGTAGTAAGTTTCTGTTGATCTTATTTCAGAACAAAAGAAGAATAAATGATCAGAGAAATAAGAATACCAACTACATACATGATTTTTCAAAATTCACCTATAAGGGTACACCAAAATTAAAAACCTGTATGAAAAACAAGTATGAAAAACCCATTCCAACCCATTTGAATTTTGGCTTTTGGCTAAACATAACAAAGTCCCACACTTGCCTTGAGCAAGGCTGTAGTGAGCCAGGGACTTATGTCAAACTTGCACACTCCATAAACTTGCAGTAGAGACCTTTGCAGGGAGCCTCCATCACTGGCTTTCATCTCATTGCCCACCAAGGATTTGGGTATGGTCCAAAGAGAAAAAATATGTGCCTTACTCTGGTGGCAGTGCATATTGTACAGATTTACCTCCAAGAAAACTGGTCCCCTCCATGAACAAAATTGATTCAAAGTTTTGGCTTCAATAGGAAATTATGTACATGTGAACCACACATCTAACTGCTGCAAATGGGAAGTGATGGTGAAAATGGTGGGTTTTCTTCTAAGGCAATCTACATAATAAGAGCACTTTCCTTGGTGAAGAATATGTACAATATGTGCCTTACTCTTGCACATATTTCTTCTCTTTGTACCATGTCTGAATCCTTGGTATGGAAAAAGATAAAGGGGATTGAACTTGAAGGAAGCTCCCTGCAAAACCCACTACCACAAGGTGATGGAGCGTACAAGCTTGGTGTAAGTCCCTTGCAAGGCAGGCATGGTACTTTGTTAAGTTTATAAGCTTTTGGTGGGGAAATCTTGAAATCCAAATGGGTTTGGACAGGTTTTTCATATGGGTTTTGATGTTTGTGTACCCTTTATGTATGTAATTCAGTTGAGGCTCTTTGAGTCTCATGAGGAAAATATTACTTTTGCTAAAAACCTTGGCCCAATCAAGAAAAAATAAAACAGAATTAGACCCAGAATTCACCGCAGCAGCCACAACGCAGCAGAGAGAAAAAAGTTTGAGGGTGCTGTCACATGTGGTGTGATCTCCCTCCTATTCGGTCCTTTTGATTCCCCCGTTGCCGCCAAAATTTGTTCATATTCTCAAAATCCCTGCCAGCACTTCGTTTTCCTCACCAAACTCAATCCCCCGCTGCTTCTCGCATCCTGGAAATGTGTCCTATCCAGTGTGGACAATTGATGGCTGGTCTCTGTAAGGAAAAAGGTACGCTTTTTTGCATTAATCCCTCCATTTGTCTTTTCAGTGCATTTCATTCAACTTGCTGATAATCCCCAACAACATTTCTAGGTATCTTCTCCAATAACTACCATCATACTGTCCCAAGTTCAACCCTTTCGAGTTTGGATTCAATATGTCAAAGTTTGATGTCTGGAGATCACATCTTTTAATTACTAGGTCAAATCCAATCAAACGGAATTAACACACAAATTGTACCATCGTTGTAGTTTTCAGATATTTGAAGATAAGCTTGATCATTTAGAATCAATGAATTGTAGTTATCAAAGATTGTGATTGTATAGGAATTAGAATCGATGAATTGTAGATAAGAGTGGTGTGAAAATTGAAATTGTTTCAATCTTCTTCATAGGATTACAAGCGGATCGATCAGTTTTGGTCTTGTTCAAAAACATCAGTCTCTAGATGACACAAGAGAGCTGAGATTGTTCAAAATCTTCCTCATAGGAAGATAGGAAGGTCAATTGGTTTTGACTAAGCAAAGCCAATCGATTTTTGACTTTGAATGTCTTCAAGAAAACTGAAATGGTTTTTGATCCTGTTCATAGGACCATAGACGAATCGAATGGGTTTGGATAACTTGAAGCCCGATGATATCTTTTATTGCCCTCATAAGAGATCTGAGATGGTTCTCAGCTTGCAATCATAGGATTGCCTCATAGGAGAATCAATCGGAATTGATTGGTTGTGATATTTTTCATGACCAATCGATGATTCTGACAATCTCGACTACGTTGAAAAATCACTCACGTTTTGGATATCTTTCATAAATTATTTCATCTCAGACTTTTGGTATTCAGCAGAGCTCGCACCGGACAGGTTGGAGATATGTAAGATACCTCTCAATCAACTTGCCCTTCTTCATAAAAGCTTGTCATCTCTTATCTTCATCTCATCTCTTATTTTCATCTGTTAACAAAAATTCTGCTTGTTATCAACATATGAGGAGTAGTACAGACAGAGAGGTTTCACAAATCAATCCAACACCTCAAACCCATTGCAAAAGAGTGTGGGAAGGAAGAGCTGGTGAGGTGATGGTGAGACAAAGCTAGGTGGACCAATCACTGATATCAGACTGTGTTGCGAGGACGGTCATCTGAATCAAACGATATGGAAGGTTGTTAGAAAGTACCCCAATAGATGATGAATAAGATGTTATTTATAATGTAGCACGTAGAGTGACTTACCAAAAGTTTGACAAGCTCATCTTGCCAGAGTGTGCGACAAAAGAGATGGCCATGTGAGGGTGAACTAGACCCAAGAGATGAGTGACGGGCCAGTGGAATGGAATGGAGGTCGCACCACGTGTGACAGCACCCTCAAACTTTTTTCTCTCTGCTGCGTTGTGGCTGCTGCGGTGAATTCTGGGTCTAATTCTGTTTTATTTTTTCTTGATTGGGCCAAGGTTTTTAGCAAAAGTAATAAAGAACTTTTCAAAACTAGAGCTACAAGTAAGCAAACCATAAGAATCTTCCTAATCCTATCCCATCTAATACATAGCTCATCTCATCTTACAACCCCTCACTCATGATGAACTTCAGTCAACTTCTATACACCTTTCTCACACCTTTCAAAACCCAAAAACCCAAAAAAACCAAACTGAGAGCATCCACAGCTGTGTGCCATAAACCGTGCCTTACATAGATTTGGGGTATTTTTTCCCCCAAACACACATACTTAACTTGAGCAATGCTCTACATGCAAGTCAAAATATGCCAAAGATCTTCTTTTTCCGCTTGCACCCTAAATCCTTCATTCTGTACCTCACTTCTCCCATAAACTCCAACTTGTCAATCACCAAACTTAACTAAGTCTCTCACTGGCTCTGTGCCAAAAGCCCAAGCCCCAGCGTTGGCAAGGGACTTTGTTAAGTTTGGTCAATCACACTCTCCACAAATCAAACAGCTCAATAACCAACTTATAACCCATAATAACCCCCCCAAAATATGCTACAAACCATCCTGTAAGGAACCACATCTGTACATCCTTAAAAATCCATACCTCAAACACTACCCTAAAAGATCTATGCAACTCTCCGTACGTTATAAATTTACAGATGCTCTGAGAAAAAAAAACATTTTTTTTTCAACATTAATTTTTTTTCAATAATCACATTTCCAACAAAAAAATTTAAACCAAAACAAAAGATGTAGATATATATAAGAAAAAGTACTTTAAACAACCAATCAAAAAAAATGAGAAAAACATTGAATTGAATGAGAATGAATATTTAAAACGATTTAAAAAGATTCTAAAAAAAAATGACTTTTTTTCTTATTTAATTTTTATATCTTAAATGAAAGTAAAAGAAATTGTTAAATTAACAGAAAATTGAAAAAGTGAAAAAGTGAACAGTAAAGAAGTTAAAAAGTGAAAAACGACAACTTTTCTAATATAAAAAAGAACACATACACACACACACAGAATATTTAAAAGTAAATCAAAAGCAAGGTATATGTATATATTTATTTAAGTTGTTTTTTTCATTATATATAAAAGAAAGAAGAAAAAAAATCAATCAAGAAAAAAAGAGAAAAACAATGTGAGCCTAAGCGATCCGATTCCCATCTCCTTCTTCCAAATTAAACATTAAACACCCTATTATCTATCTATGACCTCCAACTCCAACTCCAACTCCAACTCCAACTCCAACTCCCAAAAAAACGTTTCCTTATAAACAAGTAAATCAACTGCTTCTAATCTAATCAGATCTATTCAACTTCTTCTATTCATTCAATACACACACATTTATATATACTTCTATAATTTCTGCATCTAATTCCTCATCCTCATCATCCCATCCTAATTTACCCGAGTTCCACTACTCCCAGGCCCACTCACCACCCAAGACTTTTCTCTTTCTTGTAAAAGCATTGCCCTAAGAAACCCCCCACCCCCAAAAATCAATCAATCAATCATTCGTTTGATTTCGGTTACAAAGTTTTGAGAGATCATCATCATTCAATGAATGACTTACGAAAGAAACCTAACCACTTCTGGCATCAACGGACGTCGATCCGAATCATCATCCCACATCTTTTCAATCAATCCTACAATCTCTCGTCCCCACTTTCGTCTGATCTGACTGGTAGATGGTCTTAATCCATTCTTTCCTACTTCTGCAAAAATCGCATGTTCATTCATTCCCTAATCGCCCCAGAAAAAAAAGTCAGAAATTGGTAAAATCGTTAAAAAGGTTTTTTTTTGGTTTTTTTTTTGCTGGCTTGCTACTTACTTGAAACGGATACGTTTTTTCTTTAAATGACCAACACAATACTTCCCAAAAAACCAATCCAAGTGCATAAACCTAATCCAAAGATCAAAGAAAAATCCCAAATCAACTTCATCAACCAAACCTATTCCCCCCAAAAAACCAAATCTTCCAAAAGAAAACCAGACAAAAGAGAAAAAACCCGGCTTACATCAATCGAATGATTATAAGAAGGATGAGCAACCCAAAGTTCCGGAGCTTGCCAATTTAACGTTCCACAAGTCGTTGCACACATCGACATCACATCTCTTTTAACTCTTGCTAAACCCTATGAAACCCCCAAAAAAAACCAAACCCCCAAAAAAATCATTCATGAGTCAATCTTTTTCAAATGAGAAAATTCATCGATCCACTCAACAAAATCAGTAATCTTAGCCGATCCATTAGCTGTGATCAAGACGTTAGGACTCTTTAAATCTCGATGAATAATCGAAGGAGTACGTTGATGACTATAAAGGAAGAAAGATCCAAACCCAAACCAAACCAAGAAAAAACAAATCTTCATCAGAAAAGACTCATGGTGACATGGTGATAAAAAATCTCATCCTCCTGCTTACAGATATTCAACCCCTCTAGCCGCATCCAACATCATCGCCAAGATCTGAACAAAAGGAGGACAAGGGATCTTACGAATATAACTAGAAACCAAAACCAAAACCAATCAATTCATTCATCTTTAATGAAAAAAAAATGATCCATAAATCCACTTACTCATAAAGATCACCATTCCTACAAAGTTCAGTAACGATAGTACAAGGCACATGACCTCCAACCGAAACCCCAATAAACCTCACAATATTAGGATGTCTAATGAAAAAAAAACAATCCATCAATCTCTCACACACACACAAAGAAAAACCTCATCTAATCGAAATAGAAGACATACCTCAAATCACGTAAGAGTCCTAATTCTTTAATATCCATATCTGTTAACCTACCTCTCAAATCACAAATAGCTACTCTAAAGTTCCTATACCTTCCCATATAAACATCTTTAAAACTACCACTTCCCACTTTCTGTTCTCTAGCCTATAATCCCAAACCGAAAAAAACACATCACAGTTAGTCATCTGATCATCAAGAAATAAAAACACTTTAGGGATTTCAACATACTAATTTCTCCGGAGGGATTTCTTTATCCGATAACTTTAAATCTTCTAAATCCAACAAGACATCCAAATCATCACCAGCCGAAGGAGACTGAGTCTCATCCGTTTCATCATCCGTTCCAGTCGTAGTCGTACGATGATTGGTGATCAAGCCCGACGAGCTCGGATCAGTATCGACCGAAGCCGGTGGCGAAAGTGGTGAAGGTCTCGGTCCCAAAGTCTTAGTTTGATCAATCTTAACAGTAATCGGTGTATCATTCAAGAGTCGAGTTGGACCTTGAGTCCCACCAATGATGACTTCTGACATATTAATCTTTGAGATCGGACCGATTGAAGCAATCTTGGTGCCTACTAATCTGATACTCTTTCGTTTGGAATTCGAATGAGTTGGATGATCTAGTAATGGGATCGTAGGAGGATGTTGCATAACCTCTGTGACCGGTTGGACTGCTACTTGGACTGGTGGATCGATACCCGTTGCAGCTAAGTAATCGGCTAATTGACTTTGAGGTGAGAAAGCTCCAGGCATAGGACTTCGTCGTTTAGGTGATGAACTTTTAATCGTTTCATCCTTTTCAATCAATCGGTTACGTAAGTTATAAAGAATCGGTTGGGGATTATGTTCAGGTGAACATAATTGAGGATCAATGGAATCTTCAATGGATGTTTCGGCCGTTTGTCCTGTATGGTGATGATGATGATGATCATTGTCTTGGAAAAATGAATGGTGTTGGTCATCGGATTCTGAGGTTATTGATGAATCTTCGGTTTCGGATAATAACATGCTGATTCGATGATTGATGTTGTATTCGCGCTAAAGAAAATTCATTCAAAATGAAAATTGAGTTCGTTAGTGATTTGTTTGAAAAGAAAATTTGGGAATAGATTAGAAAAAAGAAATCGTAGGGTGTCAATCTAAAAAGTGTTAAAAATGTTCAAGCACAAACAAAAGTATATCAAGAAAGAAAGGGTAATGACCCATAACACCAACAAAAAAAAAGCATCAAAAGAAAAAAAAAGTAAAAAAAGAACTAATCTCTCTCTCTCTAAGAAGATATTCTTATAAAAGTGATATTTTTGTTTTGAGAAAAAAGATACGAAATTTTGAAAAGACGAACCCAACCCAATAAAGCTTGAACCATTTCACGTTTAGTTAATTCATGAGTTTCACTCAAAAGATTTCTTTCACGACAAAGTTCAAGTAACCTGTTATGTTTCTTTCTCATAAGACTAGTTTCTGTAGCATGTGAAAGACTATAACTCGGAGCAATAGTCGAAGGAGGAGGAACTAAGGAAAAAAAAACCAAAAAACCAAAAAACCAAAACAAAATCAGTATGATGAAAAAAAAAGATAACAGGTTTTGAGAAAAGAGTTTTGACCTTGTTGAGCTCTATTGATGATAGTTTGAGGTGCAAGAGCTGTGATAGAAGGGTTAAGTGAATGATTACGAATCAATAACTCATCCGGTACACCTCGATAGACCATTGTCACAGGTGCAGGTTTTTCTTTCTTCGTAGGTCGTTTCGTATTGATCGGATTAGGATGATTGATAGATTGATCAGTTGCGATCCTGTCCCGTTTCTTAGGTGGTGGTGGTGGTCTCATGTTAGTGGGATGTGGTTCTAGGATTGGTTGGATTAGTTCGGGTGAGATGTGTTGATGATGTGGATGTGATGGTGATTGTGGAATGAATGATTGGTGTAGGATCGAATGGGTTGGTATTGTTGTTGCTGTTGTTGCTGTTGTACTTGGGTTTGTGGTTGTGATGGTTGGAGTAGGTGAAGTAGAAGAGTTTGTGATGCTTGGATTGAGTTGATCGGATGTAGATGATAGAGATAGATGAGAAGGTGATTGTTGATGATGATGAAGTAAATGATAGTTTGGTAATAAATGAAGAGGAGGAGAAGGAGAAGGAGCGATATCTAAACGATGTTCGAATTGAGTTAAGAATCTAGGATGAGCTGCTGATGGTACTGCTGCTGAATGAGTAGTGATAGGTTTTGTATGATTTGGTGAATTTGATCTGAAGTTACGATCCATGTTGAGTATTGAAGATGAATGAAGAGGATTGATGGTTTTTGATGAGATTGGTTAGATCGAGGAATGAGAAGTGCAGTAGTATCCTTCTAGTAGTCAGTCTTTCAGTAGTCAGTCTCACTCTCAGTAGTCTTTGTCAGTGGGTGTTTAAGTAAAGAAAGGGTTCGATTCGATTCGATTCGATTGAGTCACAGTCAGACTCACAGTCAGAGTCTTGAGAATGATAGGTTGGATTATCGATGGACGATTATGTAATCTGTTCACACACCTACCAATCCGGTCAATTTCATCTCATCTCATCAGGAATTGTCTCATCACCTCATGAACTTCGAAGCTCGAGTTTCATCACGTACTTTATCTTGTACTTATTCTTAACTTCAAACATCTTCTTCATCCAAATTCACTTCATAAGTTTCATCTCTCCCAGTCCCTCCACTTTCCTTAAACGATATCCATCATGATACATATTCATCCTTTAGAATCCAATCCAATCCAATCCAATCTTCTTCCATGATCACACTACATACATCTTGATCTTCATCTGGATGCATTCCAAGCATAGGCTAGATTTTTTAAAACCTGTGTAAAACCCATACATAGTTTTAACTTTTGGGTTTGATTCGTCACAAAGTTGAGCAATAAATCAAAGCAAGAGCCATCCTCCACACGAAGTGCAAATCTCTACCAAATCCACTATGATCACTTTCATGGCTAACTGCAATCAGAACATCTCTCTCTTCTTTTTTTTGGGTCACATAGTCAGAATACTCACTTCTTGACCAACACTCACATTCATGCTAGACAAAACTCAAAAAACCAGTGACATAATGATACACAGTCGTTTTATCAAATGTACTGCGCTTGATGAACTCTTTACAATTTTCAGATCAAGTATTCTTGCAACGGAATAGATCCGGTAAGAAAAAAAATCTGCACAGTATATTTAACAAGAAAAAATAAGATCATATGGATGGTTTCTTTTTCATTGATGCATAAATCATAAGCTTAACTGAGCCCCTTGATCACCAGCGCGTTCAACTTCAACTTCGCAGAGGGGCTTAACAACGCACTGGTGGTTTTGATTTTTGGCGTGTGAGCTCCAAGAATTGATGTGCTCCTATGTTGTTGTTTTTTACCTCACCGTAGAAAATGTTAAGCTTAAGCGCTGGTGAAAATCATCTCATTTTAACTTTTATCCATCAATTCATGATTCAAAAATCTGATGTGATCTCTGAATTGGTATGGGTTTCATAAATTCACAAATATCTGTCTTACTTCAGAGTCCTCTTGAGTGTTCAAATTCTTTATGACTGATAATGGGAGTACATACCTAGATATCAGCAAAATACTCATCATGGCTCACACTTTTTGTCAAACCAGAATAAAAACCACACAAGGTGTTCTGTACATATGATTTGCTTATTCAAGATTGAGCCAATAGCTGAGCCAATAGCTGAGCAGCTCTGGATGAACATCATCATACAACATGTAGCTCCCAATTTATCCATCCTGTTGCACATTTGTAGTGTGTGTGGCAAGTGTGCAGTGACCAATTATACTTCCAGTCATTTTCCCTCTGCTCAATTGAAGGGGAAAATATTTAAATGACTTCAGTTTGTTTCTTATTGATTTCTTTTATACTTTTCCTTTGATTTGATGTTTGGATTCATCTTTTTTAAGATCTTCTCATTGACATGCACAGTCTAGTTTTTCATATTTGATTTCCAGTTTCATATCTTAATCAAAAATCAGTTAAACCAGAGTCTCTTGAACTTTGATAGACAAATTTGTAAAACACAGATCAAGTTTGATTTTAATAGGTTCCTTCAAACTAGAAAAAAAATGAAAACTTGAAAAGAAAATCTTTGAGCCATGTGATTTAAACACAACTGATATAGAGCTATAGTGCAATCATACCACTGTAAACATCATTCAACTTCCCCAATTTGGCAGAGGAAAATGATTAATAGTACAGTTTTTCATAAAAGAATCTAATACTGCACACCTGGGCCATTTCACCCACACTACATATGTGCAGCAAGCTAAGTCAATAGTTGTCTATCATGTACATACAGGTCTGCTCAGTTTTTTGCCCATCAGAATAAATAAATCACATGTTATACCACATGTAACTTTTTCGACTTTGAATTTTTTTTCCCAAAAATTCACTACATATAATTCTGTAGCTGCTCAGGCAATATTGTTGAAGCTTTGTCTTAGTAACAGAAAGTGTGTTACATGCAGTTGAGTTGATGAGATCACACCAAAACATTGAGTCAGTGTATGTAGTCAATCTTTTGGAAGCTTTTTTCAATCTGAAAGAAGTTACAGCATGTATTACATATGAATAACTTGTCCTGATGAGCAGATAACTGAGCAGAACTGTATGTACATGATAACCACATATTCACTGAGCCTGCTACACATATGTAGTGTGGGTGTTATGGCTCAGGTGTGGAGTGATAGACCATTTTATGACAAATCATACTCCCAATCATTTTTCCCTGCCCACTTGGGGAACCCGAATAATGTCTGCAGTGTACTTTTTTCAGTACATGCTTTTTTGGTTTCTTCAAAATTGTAAAGCCCTATGAAGGAGTTCCACTCCAAATACAAAGTCTAACTTTGTGATTACACTACAGCCTTGTATAGCATGTATTTAATTACACAGTTGACAATTTTTTTTCTTCAACATTTCATTTTTTTCTATAGTTTGAAGACACCTAACAATAGCTTTACACCTTGTTGGATTTTGTGATTAGAACTTCCCAAGAACTTTGGAAATCTTATCTGTTTGAGATGCCCTCAGTGCTTGTGATTCAGATTGGATTGGTTATGTTGGTGTTCTTTGAAGATGAAGTTCTTTGAAAGTAGGAAAAGTGAAAAGATGGATTCTTACAGAGCTAGAAAATAATCTTAGAGCAAAAAGAAACTAATCCTTTTCTAAAAATCTATTCTACATCATATAAATGATTTATGCTAATAGTATCTTTTTAGTGGAATGTAATTAGCAAACATACTTAATTACACAATAAAAAAATTGTTGCATGGTAAACATCATCACAAATAGATACCAACTTGATACCTTGGCTAGGATATGTGATGAAATTAGAACATAGAATATCTTGATCACATCCTATCACTCCTTTTTGAAAGGAACTTTGAGTTATCATCATACACACATATTTCTATCTGTATCTTCTTGTGGTTCCTGCCATTCTTACAAATCTCAACACTTGCTTTAAGTTTGAGGCTTGCTAGGTGGGGAAGGAGTTGCATGCAGTTGGAACAGGTGCCAAGAAGAATGGTCATCTATGGTACCTGATCATCATTCTACTCTGTTTCCAAGCCTAGTGAGGATCTCATACCAATCTTTTTTGTAAAAGACAGATTTTGGATCATGAGGCAACTCAGTTTACAAAGCATATATAATAAAACTTCTTCCCCCTCTCTCACCATTGGTGAGCTGTGACCACCTACTTGTCTTTAGAATACCATGAGGAACAATCATCAAATACTTTCAATCTTTCTAATATGCCTGATTGGAAACCTATTAGCCACAGAAGAAAATGTGATGGGTGATCTCAAAAGTGTCAACAAAAGGATTTTTGATTTTGATCTCAATGAACCACCACCACCAGAGATAGAGGACACAAATCCAAGGCCAAGTTTGGAAAACAACATGATTGATAAGAGGTTTGAAGTAGGTTTTGGTATGAATTCAGATCTGGAGAAGATTGGTATCCAAAACCCAAGCTCATGGTCTCAAGAAGCAATCCGGTTATCAAATCTTGAAATGGGTGATTATAAGTCAAATGGATTGCAAGTATCTATGGGAGAGAAACAGGATGGAGGTTCTGATCACTCAAACCTACAAAGTGTTCCTGAAGATGGATCTAGAAGACATCTGCTAGAAGATCTTTGTCAATCAGGACAACTTTGGGTAAACAGGTATCCTAGATCAAAGGGTATGAGGATACCCTCTAAGGCATTTTCATCCAAAACTTTCAACAGTCTACCAAAGTTGAATCTCAGAATACAACATAACCTTGATGGAAACAGCCTAAGGAGATCTGAGATAGAAAAACAACTTCATCTTTCACAATTTTCAACTAGATTTAAAAAACCTATTGCAAATCCTGAGTATAAGGGAAAATCCAAGATGAACCTTACTCAAGATCCTTCCATGGGATCAAAAGGTTAGTCAGTTTATTGGGGTCAATCCTTCTTTTGAAGAAAACTCATCTCTGACATCCTCCGAGTCTTAAACATAGACAAGAATGCTTTACTGTCAAAAGAATACTGGGAACAACCAGGATCACAAGGATCTAGACAAGTGGATTTGCCTGACAAATCACTCAGTTCTTCTAATGAAAAAAGGGTATCCAGAGGTCTCAAAACCTGGAAGATAAACCAAATGAGGATAAGAAAGAATCTGGCCAAAGACCCCACAAAAGACCATGCTCCTCAAGAAAGCAATGCTCTGGATGATAAGATTCCTAAAACAAGTTTTGGAATTCACGAGAAAGATCAAAAATCTCAAACTGAAAGTCTTGAAGGGAGTTCAGATCAACCAGTTCCAGAAGAATCTTCATCCATCACCCAAACTGAATTCCAAAGAAAAGTATTAAGTTGGTATAGGAACAATGGATTCAGTAAGACAGAAACTTCAAACCATTTTAAGATTTCTGTTAGAACCATCACAAGATATTTGAAGTCAGAAACCCAATCAAGTATCATTGAAAATCAATCTAATTCTACTTCAAGAAAAATCAATCTTCATAATCGGTTTAGAAAAACATTTTTTTCTGATGAGTATAAAAGATGGGCAGTCAAATGGCATGTCAAACATGGACTTGTTCAAAGAGATAGTGCTACTGCTCTTGGAGTTTGTCAAAGTAACTTGTGTCTTTGGATAAGAAAATTCCCATACAGTCCTACTTCTGCAGCCTCAGGGAGAAAAACAAAATGATCAGTTGGATCTTTGTTGATCTTATTCATTC